GCACAGGGGTTAAAATCTCAGCACTATGAAGCAATTGCCAGCCATTGTGATGTGACTTCATTGCCTGGCCCAACACATGGCACAGCTGACACACATGGCACAGCCCACTGTGCCTGTCTCAACTGCTGCTCCACTCAGCAGTGTATTTCAGTAGATCTGCGTGTTCTTCTCCCCCCGGCCTATGATGAATCCTCTCACTCCTGCACATCTGGCCTACACCAGTTGTTGTATGCACAAATAAATAAATATATAAAAATAAAAGAGCCCCCAGGGCACCATTACCAGACACAGCAAGTAATAGTTCATGATGCCCAGATAAACATCAAATAATTTTCGTATCAGTTTGTGCCATGCACCATTTGAAACATACTTGTGCTTTAATATTAATTTTCTAAAATTCAAGTCTAGCTAGGTGTCCAGTACTTCATGTAGCAAACCAGCACATAGCGCAGGATTTGGTGATGTATCAGAATCTGAGAGGAAGACAGCACCACCCAGCCCTGGAGGGTCACAGAGATGACCCGCCTACTAGTGAAAGTGGACATATCAATCTGGAATCTGGCCAATGAGGTCAGCAGCTCCTCCTGGGAAGAAGGCAGAGCCGACAAAGGTCAGTGGCTTCCCTTCCCTCACACAAATAAATGCTGTCCATGAAAAGTCCTGTCAAGTGAGATGCCACAGAAAGGTTAAAAGTGAAGAAGTTGGACCTCCCTGGTGGCATAAGGGGTTGAGCATAGCACTATGAGGCTGTCTGCAGCCTCAGCAACACGAGTTTGATCCCCAGCCAGCCAGGGAGCAATCCACATGGAGCAGCACACCTCTCTTGTCTCGCCTGCTGCTGCCCTCAGCAGTGTATTTCGTCAGTCTGCCTGTTCTGCTCCCCACTCTGTCTCTGGTGAATCCTCTCATCCCCACCCCCACCCCCACCCAAACACACCTCTGGCCTGTACTCCAGTTCTTGCATGTATAAATCTTCAAAAAAAAAAGTGAAGGAGTTTTCAGATGACTGCTCCCTGCTAGATGCCTGCTAAAATGGTCCAAGGAAACTCAGAAATATCTGCATGAGACAGTAAGCCCGGAAGAACCCAGACCGTGTGCTGCTGGAAACCTTATCTTGAAATCTAAGACCCAGGAGCCCAACCAAGTGAAGGATGGACCGGGTGTGTTGGATGGAACTGGCACTGATATGTGGGAGCTCAACTTTGCAAGCCGGTTGTTAAACCATTGGTAGCTTGCAGTTGACCATGGTGGGAGCATTGACACCAGGGAAATTGGCAGATGCTACAAATCAGCCGCTGCCTATGCTGCCTCACCTGTCTGCTGGACACGCAGGGAGAGGCAAGAAGCAGGATGCAAGACACAAGGCGTGGACATCCCCAACCTGGGGCCGCCTGCACACAGCATGAGTTTGGCATGCTGGGGAGAGCCCTACAACCTACAGAGTACACCCAGGCCGAGGGCACAGAGGCCACACTATGCCAAGGGTATACAGGGGGAGGTAGTGTGCTCCCACCTATGAATGATGGCCCTGCAGGGATGCTCCTGGCCCAGAGAGAGAAACTGGCTTCACTATCCCAAGTCTCTCCAAGCCTGAAAAATTCAGATTCCTTGTGGGCCTAATCTGCCAAGGGCTCCACCCCCTCATGCTCTCTGCTGACTTAGCTGTCCATGCCTCGCTTTTTCGTTTTCAGAAAACATTGCTTGTGCACACTCCATGACCTCCCCTTCTCCACACTTTAGTCACCACCTGACGGTGGGTCTCCCACAAGGATCCTGGAGGAAGAGCAGGAAGCAGATCTGATATCTGCATTGTTGGTCACAATGTACAAATAGGCCTGGGAAGAGCTGCCCTACAGATCTGTCTGCATCCCTCTCTCCTCTCGTTGCCATAGTGAGCGACCCATCAGGTCCTGGGCCCCAGGATGGGAGCAGACGCTGGAGAAGCCTGCAGGCATGAGGACCATGCAAGATGTCCATTAGGAGCATTAGCAACCCGGCCTCGCCTCTCTCTGTAATGGACTAAGTGTCCGCCTGCACGCTAATGGGTGCTTGGCCACAAAGAAGCCGCAACAGCTAATGCCTGGTCTTCATTATGTGGATTTCAATGAGGGCTGAAGTGCTTTCATTATCACCACCATCGTAGACCTAGCAGTGCCTGAAGGACTCAAGTCTAGGCTAGGAGCATGAAAAAGGCGATGGGACTAAGAATTCAGAGAGCAGTCAGCATTGCCAACAAACACCAGCCGGGCTTGTGGGTGAGAGCAGAAGCTGAGTCACCTGCCAACTCCCTGTGGGGTCAGTGTCATCGGCCCATCACACTGGGTCACAGGCTCACATGCTCTATCACATGCATGCGTGGAAGTCACCACTTACCCAGGCAGCCATCTTAGCCAGGTATGCCAAGAGACAACCCTGGGGTGGGAGGGAAGGCTCAGTGACCCAACTCCTCCTTTGGAGGCCCTCGAATTCGCAGACGTCTAGAGGAAGGTCCTGCCAGAACCCAACAAGCCCCAAGTGAACTGTTTCTCCCCCACTCCAAGCTAGGACTTGGGGTCTCTTCCTTGGGGAGAAGGGAGTATGCTCTATATGTGTGAAAAGGGAAATGCAGGCAGGTGACAAGGACACAGGGACATCATTAGGACTCTTGACATTCTGAAGGTTAGACAGGGACATGCTTAGGCCTCTCAGGTAGGTGAGGGGACTGTACCTCCTTGACTGTACCAGTGTGGTCGTCAGATTCACTCTGGACAATGAAATTTCATGGAAGTGACATTTATCATTTTCACAGACATGAGAGAATAAGGTAGAAGTAATGTTTGAAGAGCCAATGGTCAAATGTTTTCCAAAACCAATGAAAGACATAATGCACAGAGTCCAGAGAGCTAACAAAAAGAAATCCACAGGGAGAAAATAAAACAAAGATAAAGAAAATTTCTTTAAAACTGACATATGAAGGGCCTCCCCTGGTGGCGCAGCGGTTGCGCGCTGGGCTGCGAAACTGCCCTCAGGCTCTACAGTGCCAGTTCGATCCCCAGCCACCCGCAAGGGTCCCACATAGCGAGCAGATCTCTCCTGCCACGCCCGCTGCTCCTCTCAGCAGTGTATTTCGTCAGTCTGCCTGTTCTGTTCCCTGCTCTGTCTCTGGTGAATTCTCTCACCCTCCCGCGCTTCAGACTGTACCCCAGTTCTTGTATAAAAAAATAATTAAAAAAAAAAAAACTGACATATGAAAATGGGCCTCCCCGGTGGCGCAGCGGGTTGAGCGCAGCGCTGTGAAGCTGTCCGCAGCCTCTGCAGCGCTGGTTCGATTCCCCACCGGCCAGGGAGAATCCCACATGGCGAGCAGACCTCTCCTGTCTTGCCCGCTGCTCCCCTCAGCAGTGCTTTCGGTCTGTCTGCCTGTTCTGCTCCCTGCTCTGTCTCTGGTGAATCCTCTCACCCTCCCGCAACTCTGGCCTGTGCCCCAGCTCTTGTATAAATAAAAATAAATCTTTAAAAATAAAAATAAAATAAAACTGACATATGAAAAGAAATAGACTGCCTTCAAAGCAGCGGGCTAAGCACTCTGAATGCTCAGCCACAACTATGGAAGCCGGGAAAAATGGACCTTACTTCAGTGTGAAGAAGGAAAGTAGCATGACTGTACTTGGCGAAAATAGCTTTTAAGAATAAGGGTGTAGGACCATCCCTTGCAAGGTCATCGATCGGCCGCTGTGGCTCTGTGCTGGTGTGCCTCATCTCCGCCCCCAGGGGCACTGGCATAGTCTCTGCGCCTGTGCCCTAGAGGCTGCTGCTGATGGCCGGTGTCAATGACTGCTACACTTCAGCCAGGGGCTGCACCACCACCCTGGGCAACTTTGCCAAGGCCACCTTTGATGCCATCTCTAAGACCTACAGCTATCTCACCCCCGACCTCTGGAAAGAGACTGTGTTCACCAAGTCTCCTTACCAGGAATTCACTGACCACTTGGTGAAAACCCACATGAGTCTCTGTGCAGAGAACCCAGGCTCCAGCTGTGGCCACCACATAGATTTTATACCAGGAAATAAAGTGAATTATGCCTGTGGGAAAAAAAAAAAAGGGTGTAGGGGCCTCCCTGGTGGCGCAAGGGGTTAAGCATTAGCACTGTGAAGCAATCCACAGCTACTGCAGCACAAATTTGATCCCTGGCCGGCAAGGGAGCTACCCACATGGCGCAGCAGACATCTCCTGTCTCACCCGCTGCTCCGCTCAGCAGTGTATTTCAGTAGATCTTCCTGTTCTGCTCTCCACTCTGTCTCTGGTGATCCTCTCACCTCCCACACCTCTGGCCAACACTCCAGTTCTTCTACACACAAAAAAATAAAGCAATCTTTAAAAGGTGAACTTCCAGAAGAAATAAGTGCCCCAATGGGAACTCACAGACACAGCAGGCAGGAGTCGCAGGGGGCCAAGCCTAAGCAAACGCTGGTGATGTAAAATGACAACAGCAGTACTGTCTGAAGTTACTTAAAATTAGGCTAAGATACAATAAATCAGAAAAGGCATAAATTAAGAAACAGCCCAGGATGAGTCTAACACTTTCATTAACTTTAAAACTTGCTAAGTTGCCTGGGAATGTTGTGATGGGTTGAATAGCCACTGACAGATAAAAGATGACGTGATTTAGTATATTTATCATGTAATACAAAACCACAAAATGGAGGAGGTGAGAGTGGAAAGATTTTTAAAACTGGCTCCTTAAGAGCTTTCAAAATAAACCAAAGAATGGGCAGAGAGTTAGCAGTGGCATGTGAACCATGTAAGCCCAGACACAAGGTTGGTAGATTGAAGCCCAAAGCGATCAGGAATTCAAGGAAGCATCCATATTTAAAGACAATTAAATGACACAAACAGCACCACAACTAATGGTAGATGGCAGCTTCCCCCAGGCCCAGCCCCCACAGCAGGGACAACAGGTTCTCGGGGTGACTCTCAGGGGCCATTGTGACCCCCACCGTGACTGCTTCCTGACATCACACAGTGCACCTTTTAGAGTCAACAGGCCCAGGGCTGACTCTCTTTGCCTCCCTACAAGAGCTATAGCGCGTCTGGCTCTCGCATCTGCTGTATGTGGTGCTTCTGCTTCTGTCTCACCAACCACTGATAACTGTGTTCTCTGTGCACCTGCTCCTGACAGCACCGTGTCCCTTGTCTAACTCGCCACTCCCAGAGAGTAGGGGACACCAGCGGTCAAGACCTTCACCTCCAGAGTCCAAGGCCAAGCTGGGCACAGGACAGCTGCATCCTTCTGACCAAAGGGCTTTTCCAGGAGAGGCATTTGCTTTTGATTTGGGGCTGCAAGCTACTCTGCTTCAAGAACACCTCATGGAACCTGAAGCCTTAGAGATTTGCCCTTACAACCCGCACCACCGAGTGCCACTCAGCAGATTTCAGTACCACCTTGCATCCTGCCGGAGAAAGAACCCCAAGAAAGCCAAAAAGATGGCCAGCTGCAAATACAACGCCTGCCACGTGGTCCCCATCAAGCAGCTGGAGGAGCATGAGGCTGTGTGCGTCAACAGGAGCACCATGGAGGAAGACGACATCTTGAGCCCCCTGAAAGTTAACCTTCCGGGTTCAGAGCAGAAGGGAGACACCCCTCCAGTGTCTCCCTGGCTCACTCACCCCGACACCTGGAATGTTGATAGCACCAACTGCCACCCCATGTTTGTCCTTAAGACTTTTGTTCCCCAGAAGCTTGTTTGTGAAAGCGACACAAGAGAGTCAAAGAGAGAGGACGCCCCCTCAGCCCCGACCACATCCCAGAAGACCCTCAGACCAGGAGAGTAAACCAGCAGCAGCAGAAAGACACATGGCTCTTAAATGCAAGAAAGGAGAGTACACTCAGCAAAATAAAAAGCATGCACAGTCAATTACGCTGGGAGACTTTTCTTTCAAATAGCAGCCTGGTAAAGATGAAAGGGGTTAAGAATATTCTGTTAGCAAAGGTGGGCCAAAGAGGCACTTTTTTAACATGGGTGAGAATGTAAGTTGATATTCCCCAGAGGGCATTTTGGCAATTGTCAAAATTATCAATACCCTATGCTTTGATGGGGACATCCCACTGCCAGGAATTTATCCTGTAAGTATAGACACGTGGGAAGAGCGATAAGTACCAGGTTATTCATTGCAGCATTATTTGAGCAGAAATATAAATGCTAAATATTCAGAGGATTTGATTAAATGAATTGTGGTGCAGCCCTGTGATTGGAATAGTTCACTGCTAGGAAAAAGAAAGAGCATTCTTCCTGTACTGATATGGAAAGGCTTAGGCATATTACTCAGAGACCAGACAATTTCTGCTCTAAAAGGCCAGAGAGTAAATATTTTAGATTGGAGGTTATGGTCTCCATTGCAATCATTCAGCTCTTTGTAGCATGAAAGCAGCCACAAACAATGTGGGGACAAAAACAGATTCCAGTAAAATTACTTAAGAAAACCTGTTATGGGCTGGATATGTCAATTCCTGGTTTCACTAATAAAGGCAAGTCTGGAACACTAGATATATTAAGCCACCATTTTTATATAGTTGCAGGAGAAGACATGCCTATATATGTGGATGAGTAAAATTTCCCTTCAAAAATATGCAAGAACAGGGTCTCCCCATATAGTTTAAAATGTATACTCTGGTCCCCTACAGAAAACATTTGCTGACCTTGTTACTAGGAAATATGACTCCAGGGAAAATAATAGGAGACTGCAGGCTGGGACTTTACTATGTACCTTTCACATTTGACCATGTGCATTTTTCAGTCCAAAAGTTAAAACGTACACTTTTTAAAACAGCAAAAGAAGTCTTTGATAAATTTTTCAAGTTTTTAAAATAGTTATAACATTGCCACTCTTGATTCAACTGTTTCTACAAAGTATTAACCACTTCTCTTGGGGTGGGGTAGAGTTCTAGGTGTTAGTCTTAGAAACTCCATGACTTAATAAAACGCAGGAACTAGAACTGCCATATAGGAAGCAGGTGATATAGAATACATATCGCTGCAAACTCAGGCCAAGAAGACCAAGAAAAAATTAGTTTTTAATTTTTTTGGTTATTATTTTTTAATTTTTTTGGTTTGCAGTAGGAGTGAAACAAATTGGTAGTCGGATTAAAATCATTAAAACTGAGTGATGGATATATTTTATTTTGTCTCTACTTTTATGTAAATTTGAAATCTTCCATAATGAAATAGTTTTAAAAATATTATATGTATGTAAATTTATGTGTGTGGTGTGTGTATACATGTGTATAAGTATTACAGTGTGGTTGGTATCCTGGTATCCTGGATTGGATCCTGGAATAGAAAAATACAATGGCGAAATCCAAAGAAAAATTGATGAGGCCAGAAGGAACATGGAGGAGATTATGCTTCAGAGAACAAGCGGTAAGTGAAGAGAGACACCTGGAGGCTGTGGGCAGGCAGTGGGAGGCTGCCATATAAACCACAGCACTGCCATCCCACCAGCAGCCCCAGAAAGGGGAGCCACCATTTGGCTCTGATTGAGGGGAAATACATGCAGAGGAGCTGGGGTGATCCCCATGGGCCAGGTTCCCAGTGCAAGGCACAAGGATAGTGCCCTGGGCCACACGCCCCTGTGCCACTCAGGACTGGTATTGACCTTGAGAGACTCACTGAGAATGTGCAGAGACAGCAGTCTTGGGTACAGAATCCCAAAAGGGAGTGCCACAAACATGGGCCTGCCTCCCTTCTCCCCCAGACCCCGTGCATTCATACCAATGGCTTGACACCCACCAAGCACCCCTACCCACTGATTCAGCCCCTACAATATCAAGTCTCAGACAGACCTACAGAAGCTCAGAAAGGCTAAACATCCAAAAACTATAAAAACCACAGTGCCTCCTGCTGGAAGGGTAATAGTAGTTCACATTTCTAAGATCTAAAACAGCAAAATGGACAGACAAAAGCACCCCACATGGCAAATTGAGACCTCAAGGGAATATGACACAAGAAGAGAGCTCTCCAGAATCTAACCAGAGATAAGGAAGATTTTATCTTCCTATCAGATAGAATTTAAAATTACCATGATAAAGAAATTCAAAGAAATGGAAGAAAATGCAGAAAAGCAAGTCAAAGTGATAGAAAAGAACTCTGAAAAGCTAATCAAAGAGAATTTGGAAAAATATGAATGTCATGATAAACATAATAAACAGAAAATAGAAATTGAAGATTTAAATAGGAAAATAAGGGAGATCAGTGGAGGAGGAAAAAAATCTACTATGGAAGCACACTAGACTGAATGGAGGATCAAATCACTGACCTTGGAAGTGTTAAAGCACAAAAGACCCAGGGAGGGGGGCCTCCCCTGGTAGCGCAATGGCAGCCTCTGCAGCGCCGGTTCGTTCCCCGGCCGCTGGCAAGGGACACACAGACACACAGCACAACCACCACCCCCGCCCCCCTCGGAGAAGAAAGAAAAATACAAAAGATTTAAAAAAAAAAAATGAACATTTCAAGTGCTACCCATCTCTATTTGGAAAGGCAATGAGGATGATGGATATAACAGAAGGTAAACAGAGAGGAGGGAACAAAGAACTTATTCAAAGAAAGAAGAAAACTTCCCAAAGCTGCAGAAGGAACTGAATACACCAGTCTTGAGCCATAAGGAACAGCTGGGTTATCTAAATGTACTGAAACCTACACCAAGACACTCAATTGTAAAATGACCAAGAATTCAAGACAAAAACTACTGAAAGTGACAAGAGAGGGGAAAAAAGGTACTCCCATCAGGCTATGTCAGACTTCTCTGAGAAAACCCTGCTGGCAAGGAGAGAATGGAATCATGTACTAAAATACTTGAAGATTAAAAACTGCCAGCCTTATATGATATCCTGTAAGATTTTCCTTCAGCTATCAGGGAAAAATAAAGGTTTCCCCAGACAAGCAGAAGCTGAAGGAGTTTGCCCACAGCACACCTCTCCTACAGGAAGGTTGAAAGGAGCCCTCCTACCTAATTCAAAGAGCAGAAAATACACACACACACACACACACACACACACACACGCAAAAAAAAAAAAAAAAAAAAAAAAAAACCTCAATAAAGCCAGAGAACTAAAGACAAAAACAGCAGTAGCATCTCCTCACAAATCAATAATCACCCTAAATATAAATGGATGAATTAACCAATCAAAAGATAGTTGGATCAGGGCCTCCCTGGTGGCGCAAGGGGTAAAGACAATCTATGAAGCAGTCCTCAGCCTCTAGAGCAGCCTCTGCAGCACAAGTTCGATCCCCGGCTGGCCAGGGAGCTACCCACATGGCGCAGCAGACCTCTCCCGACTAGCCTGCTGCTCCCCTCAGCAGTGTACTTTGGTCAGTCTGCCTGTTTTGTTTCCTACTCCACACCTCTGGCCTGTACGCCAGCTCTTGTATACATAAATAAATGAATCTTTAAAAAACAAATAAAGCCAAATTTAAAAAAAAAAGTTGGATCAGAAAACAAACCCCAACATTCTTCTGTTTCCAGGAGACCCATGTAAGCTCCAAAGAGAAACATTTTATGAAAATTCATCCAGCGCAAATGGGGACTTAAAAATTGAACCTATACCAAACACACCTGCTTTTTTTAACTGCTGCACCTTGCTGCTCTGGCTGACAGCTATGAAACTGATGATTGCAAGGAGCAGCCTTCAAGTCCAGGACTGGACTCAAGTCCCAAGTCTACCCCCATGTGGCAATTTCCCCTCAGAACTCAACTGCAATGGGGCCACCCACACCAGCTTGCATCTAAGAAAGGAGGGAGAAAGCACTCTGGAATGATGTGACAAGAGCCCATCTTATCTGCGGCCCCAACTGTGTTCTCTCATCCCTACAGTGACTCTGAAAGATGAACAATCCTCTCAGTTGGTAGCCAAGCTCCCCAAGGCTCACGGCAGGAAAGAGACACAACTATTGAGAGTCCAGCTGGGATTCACATCCACATCCATCTGATTGAGTCTGAGCTTTCTCCATGGCTGCCAGAAGCCCTGGGGAAGAATCAAACCACAGGCACAGTCCCCAAGACTCCAGATTCCGGAACCCATCATCCCTCTCATCTCCAGTAGTGTTCTGGGAGCTCCAGTTCTAAGTCCCTCCTCCACCTTGTTGAGCCCAGACTGCATTGTTCAGGGTCCTCAGGGTTTTTGAGTGAATACAAGTCCACCTTGTGTATTATTGGCACAATGCTGAGTAAAACGCATCCCCAACATTCAGTGGCTTCAAATATTAGTATCAGTGTCAATTGGCAATTGTACAATCTAGGTCCACAAAAAGCAGCAGACCAAAAAACCAGGACATTGGCTATTTGAACAAGAGGATTGTCACATTTGCCTCCACTATGCCTGCAGACTACACATTCTTTTCAGATGCATAAGGAACATTTGCAAAAGGGGCCAAATGCTCGACCACAAGGTGAGTCACAACACTTTCCAAAGATCTGAAACCACAGACTGTGTTCCTGATCACAGGAGATTTAAGCTAAACATCAACATTAAGAAGGGCAACGCCTCCCCCTCTTCTCTGACCCTAGCTACCTTGGAACCCTCTCCCTGCCACATTGATTTATGCTGGAGCAGGTATTTACTGAGCACCTGCTGGATACATCTGGGCTGCTCTCCGGACAGGGTGCAGGGGCTCTTCCTTGGAGAGGACAGACATCCTCCCTCCGGCCCCCTCCAAAAGGCACTGGAGACTTGGGCTCTTTACCTGCCCTTGTCACCCGGTCCCAAAGTACACAGCCCCGTCGGGGTCCATGTGCAAAGGATACCCCCTCATCCTTAAGGTGGAGTTTCTTTCTCAACCCCTATCAAAACTCAGCTTTAATTTCCTTTCAACACATTTGACCAAAGGTGGAAACATAAAATGCATCTTACTGGGGGTTAAATCACTGTCATTACTAAAGCAGAGCCCCAGTCATTTCTGGAAATATCTAAAACAGGGCCTCCCAGGGCCGAGGGGTTAAGTCTCAGTGCTTCACTGACAAGGACAAGGTTCGATCCCTGGCCTGGGAGCTGATCCACTTGGCGCAGCAGCCTCTCCTGTCTTGTCCACTGCTCCCCTCAGCAGTGTATTTCAGTAGATCCTCCTGTTCTGCTCCTCGCTCCGTCTTTGATGAGTCTTCTTAGCCCCACACCTCTGGCCTGCACCCCAGGTCTTGTATGCAAAAATAAATTAAAAAAAAAAAACCATCCTGGACACAGAATTGATTCACATTGAGGTCTGCTGTGAAAGTGGCTAATCCAAGCAGTCAGATTCTCAAGATAAGCCTGGCCTATCAACAACCTTTCCCGGGTCCCCAATTTCCCCCCAAACCAGGTTCCAATGCCTCTCCATCATTACTATTATTTTGATATTACAAGGGGGAGAATTTTTTCTCTGGATGGAGAATCATTTTCTTCACAATTGCTGTCCAGCGGTGGTGCTGGCAGCTGAGTAGATGAACACCTCTCCCCATCAGCAGAGGTGTTCAAGCAAAGGCCACACAACTGCTGGAAGAGGCTGCTCTAGAGAGAACCTGAAAATCAAAACTGCCCCCAAGGATCTTCCAAGACCCAGAAACAGCCCACTTGACTTGCTGCCGCAAATACACTGACAGCCACTAGGGGGCAATAGAGTCACACTATCATGTCAAAGGCTTACCTAGCCCAGCGCACAATTTTTCCTGAAAATGCCAAAAACCTAATTGAAACATAAGCGACCAAAAAAAAAAAAATATATATATATAGATAGATATAGGATTATCATGGCCCATCAATCCCACTTCCAAAATGCTGAAAGCAGGATGTCAAAGAAGGATTTTCACACCCACATTCATAGCACAAGCCTAGAATCCTCCACAGGTGGATATATATAATGGAATATCGTCCTGCCTTAAGGAATTCCAACACACGACACCATAGGGAGGAAACTCGCGACTGTTAAGTTAATAAGCCAGACACAAAAAGACAAATATGACAGGACTCCTCTTACAGTACATGCCTAGAGGCCACACTCATTGAAACACAGAGCAGGACCTGAGGCGGGGACACAGGAGATGTTCCACGGCATGAATAAGCTACCACCACTAAATTCTACGCTTAAAAACGACTAAGACAGCAAATGTGTTTTTACAAAGAGTCTGGCCTGTGGAAGGAGCCGGGGCTGCTGCCAGGGCCAGAGGTGAGGGACAGCCACCAGTGGTCACTGTAGGGGCCAGCAGGGCAGGAGGTGAGAAGGGCTAGGGCCACGCCCTTTTCCCTACACCATCACTCCCAAGTCAGTAACTCAGACTTGCCACCTGCTGCTCCTCAGTGCTCAGGGCCTTCTCAGCTACCAGCCAGGTACCTCCAGGGCCCAGCAGGACAAGCCCCATCCAGTCTGCAAGTGCAATCACATCAGCAGCCAAGGCCCTTGAGTGTGGGTGGCCTGGGGGAGGCCATGTCACTGGCAGCGCAGTCGCATGGCAAGGACCAAGCAAGGCCTAGACACACCACACCCCTCCTCACCCAAAGGCCAGAGTCCTAGAGCCTTGAGGGACAGATACCCACTGGGTGCAGAGGAGAAACTGCTCCCACACTGCCCCTGGGAGGGAAAGTGTCCGGGCCTGGGCCTGAGCTGCACACTGATGAAGACCCAGTTCCTACATACTTCGGGTCGAGGCCGTCAGTAGGAAGCACAGCCAGGCCCGGGAGAAAGGTGCAATCTAGAGCAACACATGAGAAAGGCAGTTTTATTCAAGAACATGTACCAACGGGCTGCGGGAATGAGAACACCGGCCAAGTCCCCTGTCTAAGCAGGGGTCTGAGGTGAGGCCAGGCCTGACCAGGGCGCAGGAGCTGAAGGTGCCTCCTGTGTACTGGGGAGAGGACCGGGCAGGCCCAGGGGGGCTTTGTTCTGTTAGCACCATGGACTGCCCGCAGCTGCTTGAAGACAGGACAAGTGCCCTTGTCTCACCTGGACAGTCTGGGAGGACTGCTGAAGGAGGCTCCCTGCAGGCAGCCACCCGAGTGTGAATCTCAAATTCCAGAACACTCCACACCCCAGCCCCCTGTAAACATGAGAATGGGCTGTCCAGGCCAGGCGCCTCAGGACAAGATGAGGGTCCGCGATGTGTGGCTGGGCTTCAAGCGGCCCAGGAGCTGGCGCGCCTTCTCCTGCATGAAGAGCTGGTCCCTGGTGCCCCCGCAGGCCACCGTCTTCCAGGCGCTGGTCATCTGGGAGGAGGCAGGAGGGTTACCACCCAGGTGGGACAGTGTGCTCCTGATGAGCCCAGCTGCTGAGCCTGGCTGGGTGAGGGCGTTCCTAGGACCCGCCCTCCCTCCCTCCAGAGGCCAAAAATGCTCTTGCCATCCCTCCAGCTGCCTGGTGATCTTGCGGGAGTCACTTCCTGTCTCCAGGCTTCCAGAACTAAAGCTGGAGACTGGACCAGGCGATGCAGCCACCTCCCCTCCAATACCCCCAGTCCTACCCGACGACAGTGCACAGCACCTAGATGGAGCTGACGACATTACCAGTGAGCTATGCCCTGTAAGAGGTGTGTGCGGGGGGAGTGGGGACATCCTCCAGCAAGCGGGTCCTCTGAGAAGTGGCCCCTGGACTAGATTTGAAGCCGAAGTATTTCAGGCAGTGGAAACGGCCCGTGCAAAGGCCGCAAGGTGATGGGGTCAGCGGGGCCAGTAGCCGAGGGTGATGCCACGTGGCCAGCACTCACCGGGGCCGGGGCTGGAAAGTGGCCTCGGGGCTTGTGGGCCGCCGCCGCTGGCTTCTCGGGCTTGGCCTGCAGGAAGCCCTGGTTGAGCAGGCTGTTGTCCCTGCCGCCTGAGAGGGTGAGGCTGGAGGAGCTGGATGGGACACTTGTCTGCTGAAATCAAAATCAAGTCAAAGTCTCACCATTTGGCTACGAGCTGAGTGGGAAAAAGAAACACCCACAGCCACAACAGACCAGCGACTCCTGCTGTCTAAGCTCGGGGAGGACACTGACCTCCCCAAAGTCCCAGTTTCTTCTTCCAGGTGGTAAGCCCATTTAAAGATTAAGGAATAAAGATTCTGAAAGTATTTGCACAGGGCCTGTTTCAGAGCTGGGAGCCAAGTGAATGCCCAAGAAAGCTGCTTCCTAGTACAGGAAGCTGGTTCTCCCCGCTCAGGCAGAGACCAGAGTGCTCCTGGGGCAAGAAATACCCACGACCAGAGACGCCTGCATGCACCCTACGGGCTGCACAAAGCACCCAGGGGTCCCCACTCTGCTCAGGGCTTACCCCCAACAGTCTGTTGGGCCTGATGTTTCTACAACAGGCAACACCCTGGGGGCTCAGGGAAACCACACCCCAGAGAGCAAGGGTAGTATCAGGGCTCAACCCAGGGCTACCTCACTCCAAGTCCTGGGCACCTGCTGCAACGCTTTGCTTTTCGCTAAGTATTTTCCTGCTGGCCTGCAGGCCTGGCGGGGACCCCTGGTTTCCTCTGCAAGATCTGTGGGTGCTGCTGCCGTCATACTAGCAAGACCTGGCCGGGCAATCCTGTCTTTTGGCCCCCACTGAGTGCCAGGGCCAGATGGGCTCACCCCGTTGTGGCTGCATGGGGTCATCGGTGTGGTCTCTGGGGACCCCGGCTATGTGGGCAACACCCCGTTCCTCAGGTTGGCCTGGGGCTGATATGGCTCAACCTGGCTATGCCTGAGACAGACTCCATGATCACCCCCAAGAGCAGAATGCAAAGGAAGGTGCTGGGGACCCAGATCCAGATCTCAAACCTCCCAGTAACGCAGCTCTTGCTGAACAACTTCTCTGTGGAAGCCGAGGCGGGGGCCCAGCCACACCTGGAATCACTGGACCCTCTACCTCCAGGGTCCACTCCACAGGAATAAAGGGCTCCAGGGGCAGGAGGCCTCCGGAGACTCCAGCCCCCGCCAAGAGGAGCCTCCGGCGCTGCCTGGGGGAAGAGTGGCTGACGGGTGCTTCTCTCGGACCCTTACCAAGGACAGCGCCTTGGGCAGCGTGGACATCATCAGCTTCCCATCCTCGTCCACGATGTCAAGAGCCAGAGACTTGCGGACTTTCTTGATGGGGCTCCGCCGCAGCTGGGGTGGGGGAAGGAGGCAGTTACGGGCTCAGCGCGCCACGACGGAGCCTGCCCAGCCACAGAACTGGACCCTGCTGCTGCAAGTGGAGCCTCCAAGTCAGGCGTGGCTGTGAGGCCCAAGACCCGGGCCCTACTGGCCCCTGTGCCCTGCCAGATGCTGCAACAGGGACACAGGGATGCTCCTCACCCCAAACAACCCAAGCACAGCCCCCAAGCCTCTAACCACTGCCAAACAGCACAGCAGAGAAAAGTCCTTCAAGAATCCTCACACCTAAAATATTCATCTGCAGTCAGGTAATAAAACCCCAGCAGAAGCAGGCCCTGCGCCAGCACCAGAGCAGGGATGCCAGCCCTCGCCTGCACTCCTGCGAGTAGGCTGGAGTGGGCATGACACAGAGGGCCCTTGATGCCCCAGGACTAATCCTCACGGCCCCCAAGGAGCAGTGTGCCAAGAGTGATGCCACAGCACAGAACCAGCGTCCAGCTTGGAGGACCGGCCAGGTTCTCTAGGCCTCCATTCCAAGGCCCCAGCACCGTGGGCACCTCCCTGCCCACCTGCCCCAGCTCTGCCCACTATCCTGGCACACTGCAGTCCCCACCGGCCCCTCCCCAGGAGAGCATCTGGCAAAAGAGGGGCCTGAAGTCTCCCGCTACTGGGGGCTCCACAGGCAGGACAGCAGGCACAGGCTAAACTGAGCCACCCTGTGTGCGCAGGTGTCCCTGCTAGCTCTCCACCACACCTGGCCTGGCCGTCCCCCACCTGGCTTACTTCCTCTACGGGGTTCCCTCAGGAAAGAGACGAGAGTCCCTTAGTGCCGTGTGGGGGAGTCACATCACCTCACCAACCACCACTGTGGGGTCGCACAGGGCACGGGATGGCAGCTACACACCCAGCACCTCCTACAGCCTCATCCCCGGCTCTGCACTGCTCACCCCTGGCTTCCTCTTCTGCTTCTCGGGCCTCACATCATCCTCGATGACCAGTTCAATGCCGGCCTCCGAGCGCAGCACCTCCTTCAAGTCCTCTTCCAGGTGGGGGGTCTGGGGCTGGGAGGCAGGGTAGGGAGCCAGGTGAGGCCCTGCACCTGGTTGGCTGCAGGATATGGGGATGGCGGAGCAGACCCAGCCCCCAATCCCCCACCACTGTCCTGGACAATCAGAAAGAAGGCCCAGTGCCATGGCCCACACACATTATCCAAAGCCATTAACTGCCTGCCCCAGACACAGGCAACACCCCACCTCCCTGAGGGCCACGTGGGCCAGAAGCAGCCCCTCGCACAGCACCCCCCACACAGCTCTGCACAACAGCTGCTTCCTCTGCAGGGACATCCAGCTCAGCAGGAGCAAGAGCTGGCCCAAATCATAGCTGTGAGAACCCCACACAGGCCAGGCCCAAACTCCCTCACCCTCATTCCCCTCCACACTGGTTCCATTTCCTTTCCATAGGTCTGGGGCCGCCAGGCAACCTCTCCAGCTTCAGGGGAGGGAGAGCTAGGGAGCACAGCAGGGGCAGGACAGCCGCCTCAGAAGCCCCTCGCAAAGCCCCTCTCTACTCTGATAAGTTGTCAAATGCAGTCAGACTTGCCCCCCAAGCCCGTCAGGAGGGCATGCAGACATCTCAGTATCTTGAGGCCAAACCCCAACTCGGACAGGAAAGGGTGTTGCTAACCAGTGCCTGGCTGGTGACTCAGCTCGTCACAGGACTGGGGAGACCAAGCCCCCTCCCTTTGGCTTTCACATGAAAACCCCAAGTGGCCGGGGGGGGGGGGGGGTTGGGGGGAGTTGTGGTGGGGGGGCAGGGCCCACAGACCGTTCACAGGTGGTGCTTCTCTAAGTCTCTCAGCTTTAACTTGTTTCTAAAACACCTGGCTGGTCCCTTAAATCCAAGGAGCTGGCTCTTTCCCTCAAGTTGGGAAAAAGCATGACCCCCTCATGCACTGGGGGGCGGGCGCAGCATGCACACCGCCAGGCGAGAACCCCCAGGAGGCACGTCCTCCCCTTCCCTTCCTGGTACTTAGGCGGCAACATCCAATGACTAAGTGACGCAGCCTCACTTCCCACTGGTAAAAATCAGGGTGCCAGCGAGCCCTCGGCTAGTTGGGAGAATCAGGAGCCCTGAGCCAGGTGAGGCCCCATGACACCTGGCGCGCAGGCCCCGCCCGGCCGCCCCACGTACCAGGGGCTTCAGTGGTCCGTACTTCTCCAAGGCATTCTTGAACGGCGTGGGGGTGTGGGGAGTGTTGTCCATGGAGCACTTCTGATCGGGGGTCACAAAGCTGCAGCGCCAGAGGGGGGCTTAGCGACGGGGTGGGGTGGACACGGCTGCTCCCCTAGAGCCTGGCCTCAGCAGCAGGAGGGCACCTGGCTCGCATGCAGCCTTCCCCATGGCCCTCTCTTGGCCACCCCTCCCCTCCCTGCCCCAGGCTCTTAATCAGCTCAGAGGGTGCAAGTGGGGACCCGCTCTGCTACTGTTCTCTACACTCACTCCACTCCAAACCTAGGGGCCTGGTTGTTGTTCTTTAAACACAAAAAGCAGGTTTTCATGTTGAAGCCACTGCAGTTGACTCTGCCTGCGATTTTTTCTCAGTATTCTGCACGGTCCCCCTCCCTGCAGGCCGTGCCGACTGCCTGTCAAGTCAGACAGCATCCATGGTGAGAAGTTAGGTGCCCCAAATGCGCCTTATCTGTCCATGAGCCACGCCCTTCCAACACCCCTTGCTGCCTGTAGCTCTTTCCAATGTCAAGATTTTTTGAGTGAAGAGGTAGGGAAACAAAAACAAACAAACAAAAAAAGCCTTCTGTGACCATCTGGATTTAAGAGTAAGCAGGGAACCTCTGGTCCAAAAACCTACATCCGGGAGCAGGTTTACTGTCCCGCTGACCCAAGACTTGATATGCAGCAGATGAAGCCACGAGTCTCAGGACCCTGGACATTGGGTGTGAAGGGCAGTGATCCCCAAGATCATAACAAGTGAGGGGAGCCCTCCACAGTGAGAGACCCCCGGGCACAGAGCAGGAGGGGGTGCAGGAGAGCCTTGCCTTGCAGAGACAACGGAGAAAACAAGGCAGTTCAGAGTTCACAAGTCACAGCATCACCGTAAAGGAGAGGCTGCCGGACACCTGCAGAGGGCCCTGACCTGAGGGGCCTGCTTAGACCCCAGAAGACCTGACCTGGAAAGATCATAGGGGCTCCAGAGAGCGGGCGAGAGCCCGGGGTACTCTCATGGCCCTTGTAAGGCTACTGCCACCCAACACAGAGGATTTGCACTTGAAACTTGTAAACGCCGGAAGGTTAGTGTTTCCTGGCGACCTGGACTCCCTCCATTCCTGAGATAAGAAAGTCAAACTAAAAACTAAAGACAAGGAAGAACAAGTGAACTCCCAGACTATGCTGACAAAATGAAGGCTGAGGGGGCCAGAGAAGAGGTTGCTTTCTTGAAACAGGGCCTCAGGGTTTTTCCAGAGTGGGAGGGGGCCCCACTCGAGGCCAGCAGCAGTGGGGGACAACACTCACGCAGCGTGCTTCTGGTGCAGGGGCGTCTTGTCCCGGTGCAGGGGTGTGGTGACCACCACCTTCTGGCTGCACACTGGGGTGGACGTCAGGGAGGGGCTTTCCAGCTCCAGCGTGTCCTGCTTGTTCCAGAAGTTAAGAAACTGCCAAGACAAAGGAACCAGACAAAGTAACAACCTGTCTGGATTTTTGAGTCTGCAGAAGCGGGGTCAGTCCTTGAGGCCCAGTGTGGTACTCTATCATGGCAGTCCTAGCAAGCTGTAACCCAGGGTTCGCTCAGAAGTCACCCCCAACACACGGGCCAGGCCTCAATCCCTCTGTAGGAGAGGACAGCACAGCCACTAAATGTGCCACCAGGAGGGAGCAGACCCAAAGCTTCCACCCACCCTTCTCCTGTTTGGAGGCATCAGGCTCCAGGACCAGCCTCTGCTCACCCCTCCAGTCCAGCCTCCCAGAGCCTGACCACCCCTCCACTCCCCACAGCCCCAGGGCAGGGCAAACCCCTGGGGATACCTAAGGCCCAGCTAGGCCCCTGTCCACACCTGTCACTCCCAGCTCTGGATTCACAGCCCCCACTTCTGTGCCTTTACTCAAGCCAATCCATCCCCAAAACCCGGCTCACACACCAGCCTAGGAAGCCAGAGCCCCTGACCTCTAGGAAAGCCAGGGTTCCCCCTCAGTCCTCCTATGTTACAAATGGAGCCCAAGGAAGCAGCACCCAGGTCACATGCTCTCAGTGACTTATTATCCCCACACTTTCCTCACTGAGTCTGACCAACTCCTTCCAAGCCTGCCCCCTACACACCAGCTAAGTCTTCGTGGGCAGGGCCACCATCTTCACCTTTGTTCCCCACAGCTGGCAAATCTCATTTAGAAGAGTTGATTCTTTTAACAAACATCACGTCCTTTCCATTTCTGTCCAGTTATCACCTACTACATCCCAGCTCAAGCAACAACTCCTCCTGGATGACACCTCGGCCCCCACCCCCCACCCCAACCCACCTACAGGTGTCAGCTTCTCCTCCGTTCCATTCATCACATTTACATAGGCCATTTTTCAACGGAAGCTTCATGGAGCAGACCTGGTTCTGCTCATCCCTCTGCCCCAGCACATGCCCAATGCATGCTCGAACCAGCCCCTACCGGCACTGAATACGCAGCCAAACCCAACAGGCAGTGGAGGCTACACACCTGGGACGGCGAGAAGGGCAGGGTCTTGACAGGTGTGCTCTTGGGGGTGAGGCTGTTGCAAGAGTCCAGGAAGGACAGGCTGGCACTGTTCTCCGAGACGGGGGACAGGGCCACGCGCCTCTTCTTCTGCCGCTTGAGCACCGAGGGTGGCGTGCCGATGCCCAAGCCCCCCACATCAGTGCTGGGGGAGATGGGAATCAGCTCACCCCGGCTGCTCCGGCTCAGGTCAGAGATGGTGTGGCCGTCCAGGCGGTACTCGGTCACGCTGGGCACTTGGGAGGCAGGCTGGCGGCTGGGTGGGGCCTGCTGCTCTGGCAGCTGTGGCTGCACAGGGCTGTTGTTGATGCTACCCTCTGCGGATGGCTCCTCGGGGAGGTCAAACTTACTCAGGTCACACCAAGCATCGGGGTCCTGCCCAGAGAAGGGGGTTAGAGATGACTGCAGTGCTCTGCTCTTCTACCAGCAGATACAACAGGACTCACTCATCAAAGGAAAATACACAAGGGCAGGGATGACCCCACAGTCCAGGACCCATCATCGTTAATGCTTCCTTGAGAATTCTTCTATGGGCAAGTCTATGTCCATAACACAATGGAAGTCACATCGTGCAGACAGGGGCTTCCTGTGATTTAAGGGAATGTTCCATGAAGTATTTACGATACACAGAAAGCACAAAGGAAGTGCAGGTGCTCATCAGTAGACCAAAGAAATAAATCCCCATCATGTCGCTCCATGTCTGCCTCTCTTCTCCCTCCCTCTGCCCTAGGTGGGAAGCTGCATGCATTAATTTATTTATCTTCACACCTTTATTCTTTTACCACTTACACGTGCCCCTAAATATCTACTATTTTGCATGTTTTTAACCTTAACAGGTATTATTTCTTTATCCTGCATTTTTTTCATTTAAAATTTCTATAAACCAGGAAACAATGCCTAATTATATTCCTAAGAGTTAAATTTTACTAGTAGCAAATATTCATAATGATGGTGAAAATTTTTTTTAACTTTGACAACCATTTTTAGGACTGTAAAATATTCCAAGACCCACATGTCACTTAATTTCCCCCTTTGGTTGGACATTTAGTTTTCCAAAATAAAAAATAACATCTTGGATTACAAATCTCCTCCCGCATTTTCAGTTATTTCTGTAGTAGACTGCTCAAAGTGGAAGGCCCGGGGCATGAACAGCTGAGGCTGAGGGTCTTTATCTGCAAGGACAGGGCCCTGCTGGGGAGGGTAGGAGCACCCACCATGCTCCATGGGGCTGTCAACCACCCATGACAACCCTACCAGGGAAGCATCCCTTCACCCCATCATAAGCTAAGAGGGCACGAGTTGCCCAAGGTCACTAAGTTTCTAAGTGCAAACCTGAGTGCCACCCGGTTGCCCGTTTTTGCCCAGGAAATGACACCAAAAGTTTCTGGACAGAACCTTCCACTTTGGCCCCTGGAGGTCTGGTCCTGAGTAGAGCCAGACCCTCCAGTGATTTCCAATCCTTGGGACCTGCAAGGGCCTGGGGTTGTTCATTCCTAAGGGCAGGCCCACACTCGCAACTACAAACCCCAATCCCAGGGTGAATCCACAACTACTTCACAAACCAGAGGCACACTCTACAAGGATTCCCTGGAGCGGAGCTGCAGGAAGAAGGGCAGGCGGAAGTATCTCTGCAAATGCTCTAACTCCCACATCAGCTGTGGAAGTCACTGTAAAGAGCCTCAGCATCAAGCCAAACAGCATGGCCCATGTGGCGCCCAGAACACGCACCTGCTGAGTGACACTGGACAAACCTCTTCACCTCACTGAGCTGGGGAGTCCCTCACTGGTGAGGAGCCCACCCACTTCACAGGGCTAAGACTCTCCAAGAGCATGAGGGTAGGTGGCCAGTAGGTAACCAGCCTAGCACACAGTGGACACTTAAATGTTAGACACTACAATTACCAATTCAGCTCCGGGGCTGACTCAACAAAAGTGAGCCTCTCTCCCCTTCTCCACACCTATCATGTAGAAAATACAACATGACGGTAAAGACCAACAGGCTTTCTTGCTGTGTGACCTTGCGGCCACTACTTGACCTCTCTGAGCCTCATCTACAACCTTGAGAAAGGACACCCCTCACAGGACACCAGGTGGACGGCACGTGAAGCTCAGAGCCTCGCATTTCCAGACGTTCAAAACACTGTCATTAGTCTCAGCAAGAAGCCAGGTGGAAAGGTGACTTGGTCCCACTGAACTCCACACCCCAGCTGTCAGGCCTCTGCCATCACCTCCTGAAAGCCCCTCCACACCGCAGGTCTCGCTGACGCAGCTGGGAGTAGGATGTCACAGCAAGAGGTATGGCCCCAGTGGGCAAGGCTCCCCCACAGGAGTCCACAGCGGCATGGCCTTAAATTGGGGTACGCCACCTGATGGTCAGAACCCACTCAAACCCCAGCACCTCTCATGCCCTCTCCGGACACTATCCCATGCGCTTCATGCTGTTACTGGCCTTAAACACCCTCTCCCCATTATCCTTGAGGACTCAGCATGGTGCCACCTCCTCTGGGGAGCCCTCCCACCCCACCCCATGGGTCCCCAGGCTGTGGTTCCGGGCGGGACCAGAAAGAGCAGGACTCAGGAGTGAGAAGGGGGCCCACCCATGAGCAGTGCTCCCACGGGTGGGTCTGCCTTGGGCCACTGTGACCATTACCGACTCGATCAGGTCCAGGGCTTCAGAGAGGCTGGACTCTGCAGCAGGGATGAGGAGGTTGGCGGCCTCCACCACCCACTTGTAGGGCAGGCTGGTGTCTGGTGGGGAGCTCGCCTCGTCCTCGTGCTTGGAAAAGTCCTCCAAGGGCTCTGGGGTCCGCACTCCATCCAGCTCTGCAGAGACAGGGTCCTGCTCCTGAGAAGCGGCGGCTGCGGGGGCCTCCTCCTCACTGCTTTCCTCCTCCTTCATGGCCGGGGGTGCGGGGGGCCAGCTGGCGACGAGGCTCCCCTGGGGACACAGGGCATGGCACAGCCTTTGGAGGGCTTGATTCAAGATACAGATTATGCAGCTACGGACGCACAGCCCAAATCTGACAGTAAGGAAACTTGACTCCAACTTGACAAACCTATCAAATAACTGATCCAACCTTATGCTTCAAAAATACCAGTATCATGAAAGACTAAGACAGTCTGATGGAGTATTCCAGATAGGAATGGGTGAAAGAGCTATGTCAACTAAAGCAGGGGGGCCATGGGCAGGAAAAAAATGGAATCTGGACTGTAGGTTAGAAGTCCTGAATCGAGGTTAACGTCCATGGTCTGGAGGTAGCCCACTGTGGGCATGCAAACGAGTGCCCTTATTCTTAGGAAACACACACTTGACGTCTTAAGGGAAAGAGGCACAAGGTATGCGACCAGTTCTCAAATGGCTCGGATTTTTTTTTTTTAAGATTTATTTATGCATGCATACAAGAACTGGGGTATAAGCCGGCGGCGGGGGGAGGGGGGGCAGTGGTGAGAGGATTCACCAGAGATAGAGCGGGGAACAGAACAGGCAGACTGGCTGAAATATACTGCTGAGGGGAGCAGCGGGCGAGACAGGAGAGGTCTGCTGCACCGTGTGGGTAGCTCCCTGGCCAGCCAGGGATCAAACTCATGCTGCAGAGGCTGCGGATAGCTTCATAGTGCTGTGCTTAATTAACCCCTTGCGCCACCAGGGAGGCCTGGCTTAGATTTTAAAAAGCCATCTGAGTAGAGAAGAAAAAAGTGAAGCAAATCTGGCAAATGTTAAAAACTAATGAGTCCAGTCAAGGGCATATGGGAGCTCTCTGCAGTATTTCTGCATCTTTTCTGTATGCTAAATATTATTTCAAGATGAAAAGCCTGGAAAGGGAACAGGCAGGATGCTGTTGATGAGGCTGAGAAGCCCTGGCAAGCAGAGACCCTACGGCAGGGACTGACAGCTGTGGACAGGAAAGAGAAGAAAGGGCTCTGGTAGGCAGCCCCTCACCTGGCCCTCGGCAGGCCGGGTGCTCTGACAACTGTCCTTGTCCTCAAGCTCCAGCAGCAAGTACACGGGGGGCTTGTAGTCTTTGGACTCGTTCAGGAAGCCTCCTGTGTCCACCTTCCTTTTGATGGTGGAGTTCCAGTGATTCTTCACAGCATTGTCTGTCCTGCAGGGGAAACCAGGACTGTGTGTCATCAGGGCGGTCACTGACCTCCCTGAGCTGCCGCCTCTGCGGGTGAGGGTTCAACCTGATGAACTGAGGTCTCAGCTTTCAGATGAACCTCTCCCGTTTGGTGAGGAGCAGCTACATTCACCTCTGCAAAATAAGCAAAGGGCTTGTGCAGCCAATGGTAAATGCATCTCAGGTGTTCTGGGACTGTCATCCCCTTTCCACTCACCGTGCACATGCAGAAGCCGCAAGGAGACAGCTGGGTGCTGACTCCTGAGGCTGGGTGACTTGAACATAAGCCATGTTCAACTCCCCGCGACTGAAGACTGGCCAGAGAGGACAGAGCGGGGTGGCCCAAAGGATCTGCTACTGTTCACTATTTGAGTCTCGGTTTCTCTATCTGGAGATCAGAAGACCTCTCCACACCCCGTCATGACTGAAGCAAGGAGGCATATGTAGAGCAGCATGACGCTGAGAGCAGCAAAGAAGGCGGGGAAGTGTGGTGGCAGGTTGTTAGGGTGGCAGGACAGGGCAGCAGGGTTGCACGGGGAGGACAGCACCACGGAAATCAGATTTCACCTGAGACCCCATCCTTCCCCAATTCTCCCCTTCCAGGCGAGAATCTTTTCTTAAAGAAATCCTGGGTACCTGAATCTGTGTCTCAGGTTCTGTTTCAGGGGAACTTGACCCTAAATATTTGCTCACCCCCTACTGCCCATCAATATGGGGTCCCCCAGGCTACAAAATGCTTCATTCTTTGGAGCTTCATCTTCAGTCGCCCCAGGGGGATCCGGGACCAGCAAGTAAGACAGCAGGTGCCGCTTACTTTGCAGAGTCTACTCCAAGCACTCAGAGGACATCGGGGGCCTGACCAGGATCTGGAAGGTCAGAGAAAACTTCTCTGAGGAATTAACACCCCACTGAGAAGTTCAGGATGAGAACGTTGGCTACACAGCAGGCAGGAGGCGGAGGTGCTTAGGAAGATCGTGCTCGCAAGGTAAGGGTCCAAGGGGCAGAGTGGCTAAAGCCCAGCAGCCAAGCAAGGGTGACAGCGGGTCAAGGCGAGGCTGGCGGCACGGCACCTGTGCGCCAAGCAGGTCACCCAGAGAAGAGGCCAAGTCTTCGACCCCCATGTTAGAAGGGCCAAAAGGATATGCTCATGTTTGGGTTTGGAAAATAGACATTTCAGACTTCAGGGAAATATGCCATCTGGCATTTTATCTCCCAGCCGTGACAAAGGACGGAAGATAAAGCAAAATAAGGCAAACACACACAAGGGAGAAAACAGCATAGAAGACAGCAGCGGGAGATCCTTACATGTTTCCAGAAGACAGGAAACAGTTAGGAGAGTGATAATTAGGAACTGGAAGTTGACTCCAGATACAGACCCTGGCAAGGATGGTGCCCCATCTGCCCAGTAGTGGTTCAGACAGAGTCCCAGGCCCCAATGGCACAGGTGCCGGGAGGGCGGGTCCTTCTCCAGAAGAGATCACCAGACAACTCTGGCCACCGCGGAAGACAGACCCAGCAGGGAGCAGCAGGGAGCAGAAGTGGGAGGATGTGAACAGTATCGAGTGGGAGGCCTCGGGCACTCCTCCCAGCCTGCTCAAGGATTCCTGAGTCCGGCCAGCGCCCCACCCAAGGGTGCAGGGACAGCCACCCTGGGAAAAGGGAGCCATTCCAGAGAAGTGTGACCAACTCTTGGGAGGCCAGGTGCCCCACCTCTGGGGACACTGCTCCGCCCTGCCTTGTACGTAGGCAGCTCACCTCCCGGGCAGCATCTTGGCGATCTCAGCCCAGCGGTTGCCCAGCACCTTGTGGGCCTCACAGATGATGCGGTCCTCCTCCTCCGTCCAGCAGGACTTCTTCACCTCGGGGTTGAGGTGGTTGTGCCAGCGCTCACGGCACTGCTTCCCCAGCCGGCCCTTCAGGTGCTTGGCAATCAGTGTCCACTGCTTCGTGCCGTACTTCTTGACCAGCTCGATGACCTTGGAGTAAAGCTGCTGTGAAGCCAGCAGGACTGGACACCGCACCCACCCCAGGACCTCACTGTGGCTGAGAGGCACTACTGCCTGACCTGCCGGACGCCCACACCAACCTCCCTCCCACACCCTGCTGACACAAAGGGCAGCTCACAGCCCCGTGACCTGAGGGGTGGATGGAGCCCACGGCATGGGAGGCACCTGCCCCAGTGGTTACCTTCTGGTCTTCCTCTTTGGTCCAGGGCCCCTTGACAAGGTCTGGGTTCAAGACTCTCAGCCACCGGTACTGGCATTGCTGGTCAGTGCGGTTCTGAGAGAGGACAAGAATCACAAGAACTCCTCGGCCAACAGGCTGGGGACCTGGCTAAGCGCTGGGCTCAAAGGGCTGCAGCCTGTGGCCACTGAGGCTTTTCCTTATTCCCTCCACCCCTCATACCATGCGGCCAGAAGGCAGGACACATATGCTGCCTGTTCACTACAAGAGGGCATGAGTGGCCTGGGTGTGCTCGGACCACTGCAGGCAGCCACCTTCCTGCCTAAAGCCTCCATAAGACCATGTCCTTCCTGGCTTCTGGGCTTTTTTTCAATTTCCCTCAAGGTTTCAGATGCCACAGAAGAGGAGACAAGGAACGAAGCAAAAATGGGTCTGGTGACTTTGCTCCTGAGCGACCCAGGAAACAAGTCAGAAGGTGGCTCATGCCACATCCCTCCCCACTGAACACCTGCAGTCTGGGGGCGGGGAGCGGGGGACCCACATCACCAGGAGGCTCTAAGTGCTGGATGTGGTGGCACCAGCACCTGTGCAGGGGCCTCACTGTGGAGCTGCTCAAAGTACCATTTCCCCTTAGTTTCGGTCTCACTGCTGAGAAACTGGCAGCAACATGCTCCTGACTTGCAGGAAGAGATGCAAATATGTCACTGATCATTTGCCACAAATGTCACAGACCTACAGACCACCAGGTACACTGAGGCTGTGGGGTGGGGAAACCTGTGTCAAGGCGGCTCAAATTCCGGTTTGGGAAAGAAGGTCCTAAGAAGGTTGTTTTGTTCTGAGGGGCTTGGTAAGGAACTCCCTTTTTTCTCACTAGCAGATCTGCCCGGGGTCACCCAGAACCCCAGTCCCTAGGGGAGGGGCCACAGAGGAACAGCACTCACAGGGAAGTGGCTGGCCAGGAACTTCCAGTCTTGCTGTCCGAACTGCCTCACCAGCGTCCTCAGCTGCTCGTCCTGCCAACACCGAAAAGACAGAGGGCTCGGCTCACACACATGAAGCCTCACGGCTGCAGCAGCAGAACTTTCTCCAAAAGCACAGACTCATTATTCACCATGCGTCAAGTGAGAACCAACAATGTGCTGGCTACTACAGGCACAGGGCTGCCCCAACCTCATGGGACTCAGGGTCTTGAGGGAAGCAGGTGTTGACTGAAGGTTCCTATAAGCAAGAGGAGAGCCCCCAGGTGCTGGGGTATGGATAGGCAGATGGTGACTGTCCACTCCAGAAACAAAGGGACAGGCTCAAAGTCTAGTATAAAATGCAGGAGCAGGTGAGAGATGGGTGGGAGGTGACCCTGGAGGGGCTGGCAGGGGCCAGACCACAGGCAGGCTCGGCAGACCCTGTTATGCAAAACCATGGACACATGCTCGCTTCGGCAGCACATATACAAAACCATGGACACACTTGAATAGTGAGTGGGTGGTCACGGGCGACGTGCTTGCTGTGAGGTTCACTTTGATAGCTGCAGGAAATGGGGTGGTAAGAGCAAAAACAGACAACAGGAAGCCACTACACCCCAAGCTAGAGAGAACAGCTGGAGACGGGGAGGCATGGGTGAGAAGGCAAAACAGCATCTTTTAAACAGTCTCCAGAAAACAAACTACTGGTTCACACAACAACATGGAACCGGAACATGATGAGTGACAGAGGCCAGACGTGAAGGAGCGCACTCCAGACGGGGACGAGCAACTGCAGAAATCATTAGCAAGCTCCGGGGACGAAAGGGAATGGGGGCAGTGGGAGGGGAGCTGGGGGGACGGATGGACAACAAAGGGGTTCAAGGAACATTTGGGGCAGTGAGAATGTTCTCTAACATGATGGTGCTGGTAATTTCAAGGTGACACCCTAAACTGTACTTTAAATGGTTGTAATTGTGCATAAATATCCCTCATCCAAACTGATTATCGTAAATACACATGTGATGTGCTCCTGGCAGAAAAGTAGGACATCACAGAAATCCAGGCCCCCAGTGAGCCCAGGACGCCATCCCCTCCCCTGCTGCTGACCATCACCCTTGCAATGGGCAACAGACACTTTGCGGTTTCCAGTCTCCCACTCCCACAGACGCATGGACCTGCCCCACCTGCCAGCTCCATGCCCTGTTCTCTCCAGGGCTGTCCTCTCTTGCCTGCCCAGCACAGCGCCCTCCCCACCAGTCTCTGCCTCAGGCTGCCCCCAAACCTAGCCGTCCTACACACAGCAGGTCAGCTCTCTGAAGTCCCCCATGTTCCTGTTACTCTCCTGCTGTAAACACCTTCACCATCAGCTGCACCAGCCTACACATCTGAATCTGACATTTGGGGCCTTCCAGGATCTAGCCCCAAGTGTTACTGTCCACGTCACTCACTCTCCCTCTATCACCCTACCCACCAGCCAAACCCAGGAGTCCCTGCCTGCACTTCCCCACCTACAGCTAGTTCCTATTCTAACTGACCACTGCTTTGCCCGTTTTACACATTTTGCAATTTTCCCTGCCTGCTGGATTTCCAAATTCTTTCCATGAAACTTTTCCTAACCATTTTAGACAGCAGTCCCTTCTCCTTCTAAAGGTATTTATTTCAACAGTCACCAGGACTCTGGTATGCTAGGGGCCTTCGCGCCAGGCAGCCCAAACACAATGAGGAGCACGCATACACGAGCCCCGCCACCGCGCCCTGGACCGGCCCCCGCTCATCCACTGTCTGCGCCCATCTTATCTCCCCATCCCAGGCGGGGAGATTCTGTGGGGGAGGGCACAATCCTGCTTGTCCACTAAGCCCACAAGAACCCGGCCCACACTGAGATCACCAGAAAAATATATTTCTCCTCCAAAGAAATGTATTTTATGATTCAAGAGTGAAAAAAAGACCTAAAACTAAACACACCCAGGAAAATAAGAGGTAGAGTTAAAAAGCCAGTAGACCTTCCCGGTGGCACAGTGGTTGAGCGCTGGGTTGCGAAGCTGCCCGCAGCCTCTGCGACGCCGGTTCAATCACCAGCTGCTCCCCGGCCACCGGAGGAGGGTCCCATATGGCGCGCAGACCTCTCCTGCCGCCCGCTGCTGCTCCCCTCAGCAGTGTACTTCAGTCCTTCTGCCTGCTCTGCTCCCCGCTCTGGTGAATTCTCTCACCCTCCCGCACTTCTGACTGTACCCAGTGCTTGTATAAATAAATATAAATAAATAAATAAATCTTTTAAAAAAATAAAAATAAAAAGCCAGTAGAAGGCTAAAATGTACTAGCCATTTAGAAAAAGATCTGACAAATTCTATAAAACTAGGGCCTCCCTCGTGGCACAAGGAGTTAAGCACAGCACTATGAAGCTATCCTCAGCCTCTGCAGCACAAGTTCAATCCCCGGGCGGCCGGGGCGAAACCAACATGACGCAACAGACCTCTCCTGTCTCACCCGCTGCACCCCTTGGCAGTGTATTTCAATCTGCCTGTTCTGCTCCCCACTCCATCTCTGGTGAATCCTCTCACCCCCATGCATGACTGGCTTGTACCCCAGTTCTTGTATGCATAAATAAATAAATCTTAGGGCCTCCTAGGTGGCGCAGCGGTTGAGCTCTGTGTTGCGAAGCTTCCCGCAGCCTCTGCAGCGCCGGTTCAATCCCCGGCTGCTCCCCGGCCACTGGAGGAGGGTCCCACATGGCGCGCAGACCTCTCCTGCCGCCCGCTGCTCCCCTCAGCAGTGTACTTCGGTCCTTCTGCCTGCTCTGCTCCCCGCTCTGGCTCTGGTGAATTCTCTCACCCTCCCGCACTTCTGACTGTACCCAATGCTTGTATAAAATAAACAAATCTTTAAAAAAAATAAAAAAATAAAAAAAAAATAAATAAATCTTAAAAAAAAATCTATAGGGCCTCTCTGGTGGTGCAAGGGGTTAAGACACAACCTATGAGCTATCCACAGCCTCTGCAGCATGAGTTCAATCCCTAGCCAGGGAGCTACCCATATGGCGCAGCAGACCTCTCCTGACTCGCCCGCTGCTCCCCTCAGCAGTGTATTTCAGTCAGCCTGCCTGTTCTGTTCCCCACTCTGTCTCTGGTGGTGAATCCTCTCACCCCCTGCACTTCTTGCCTGTACCCCAGTTCTTATATGCATAAATAAATCTTTAAAAAAAAATCTATACAACTAGACTCCATGACTGTACTGAAGTGTCCTCCCTAGAGAAATAAAAACTATCCATTCTCAGAAGATTCATGTAGGAATCCTAACAGCTCTAGCCACAAAAACCTGCAAACAACCCAAACACCCATCAACAAATGAAACATACCATAGTATATATCATGAGTGGAATGCTACTCAGCAATAATAAAGCAAATTACTGTATCTCACAACATTATGCTGGGCAAAGAAGCCAGACAGAAAAGAATATCGGGCTGTACGGGTTCATTTATAAAATACTCAAGAACAGGCAAAATGAATCAAACACAGACACACACCAGATCAGCAACTGCCTGGCACCAGGAAGATGGACTGACCACAATTTGAGGGATAAACAGGGTGGTGCTTATCTGAGTACACACATTTAACTGTTCACTTTAAAAGGTGCACTTGATGTTTTCCCTTGGCACAACAGCAGCAACAATTCTCCTGCCCGCCTGTGACTATGCAGGTGGCCTTTTTCTTTCTCCTTTTCCCAATAAACCTGTACTTTTAAAAATGTAAAAAAAAAGGGGGGGCCTCCCTGGTGCTGCAAGGGATTAAGTCTCAGCACTATGAAGTTATCAGCAGCCACTGCAGCCTAAGTTCGAACCCCAGCCAGGGAGCTACCTACATGGCACAGCAGACCTCTCCTGTCTAGCCCGCTGCTCCCCTCAGAAGTGTATTTCAGTATATTTTATATTTGCCTGTTCTGTTCCCCACTCTGTCTCTCTGGTGAGTCCTCTCACCCCCCCCCCATCCCATGCCACACCTCTGGCTTACACCTAGCTCTTGTATGCATAAATAAATTTTAAATAAATAAAATGTAAGAAAAAAGGCAGGCACATGAATTATACTTCCATAAACTTGATTAAAAGATAAAAAAGTGAATCAATTCAGAGCGTCATGACACAAGATTCAATACAATTAATTTAAAAATGAATAATAAAGATGGGCCTCCCTGGTGGTACAAGGGGTTAAGCACCATACTATGAAGCAATCCTCAGCCTCTGCAGCATGAGTATGATGCCCGGCCGGCCAGGGAGCTACCCACATGGCACAGCAGACCTCTCCTGTCTTGCCCGCTGTTGCCCTCAGCAGTGTATTTCAGTCCATCTGCCTGTTCTGTTCCCGGTTCTGTCTCTGGTGACTCCTCTCACCCCCCACATCTCTGGCCTGTATCCCAGATCTTGTATGCATAAATAAACCTTTTTAAAAAATTAATAAAGAGAAAGTTGCAAATTTGGCTGAACCTCCTAATTATCAAAGGACAAGAAGCACACTGTCCACAATGTAGTACACGTCAGCTTCCGGGAGACACAACAGCCAGTAGCCGGCACTGAGGTCTAAGGGACATATTCCCTCATATTTGAGCCCAAGAATGCTGAGAAAAGACATCAGGGTGAACCAGAGAACACATCGGATTCTTTCACCAGCTGCTCTTTTGTCCCAGCAGTCAGGACACTCACTGGACACATCCCAGGTTCCATTCTCAGGCCAGCCCACCGATGGCCAACACACCCTGGAATTGCCCCTCACTCTCACTCACCTCCTCGTGGGTCCACTTGACCTTGCATTTGATGTCTCTCTGCTCTGGCACATCGGAATCTGTGTCCTGGTAGTGCAGTTCATCCAGCTCCTCCCTGTAGGGAAAGCAAGGTCAAGGGTATATGTCTCCACATGCTGAGCAAGATGGACAGCCAGTGGCAGTCATCTTGAGGGAAGGTTTTGATGGGGGCAGACTTTTACTCTTTCAGCTTTTGAAAACATGTATGTCCACCCTCCTCTTTTTATTCATTTTTTAAATGGAATTTTGGGCTATTTTTACTTCCTTTTTTATTTATTTTCAAGAACAATCTGTTTTCAAAAGCTACAAAAAAAAAAAAAAAAAAGCGATAGGGTCTCCCTGGTGGCATAGGGGTTAAAATCTCAGCGCTATCAAGTTATTGCCAGCCACTGCAGCAAGGGTTCGATCCCCAGCAAGGGACCTAACCCACATGACACAGCAGAACTCTCCTGTCTCACCCGCTGCTCCCCTCAGCAGTGTATTTCAGTAGATCCACCTGTTATGCTCCCCACTCTGTCTTTGGTAAATCCTCTCACCACCACCCCCACCTCTGGCCTACACCCCAGTTCTTGTATGCATAAAAAAATAAAAAAGAAGTCACAATTTCACCATGAATGTTATGATATTCAAAACCAGACACCATTTAATATTTTCTTTTCAATAAACATTTTTAAACTTGCATGGTTATGTTAAGGATCAAACCTGATGTCATGTAGTCATCATGAACCACTATTTTATTATTACTGGGGGAAAATATTTTAAATACATTATCTCAGTAACTATATCTATTTTTGCATATGTCCTCTCAATCCATGCCTACTCACAGACTTTACAGAGAGAAAATCAGAATATAAGCAACTTTGACTTCTGGGTGTTTTTATTTTGCAATAGGCAATTTTTCAAGTTGCTCCAAGATCCTCACCTTCATAAGGTTTAGTGATTATGAAAATGGAGATCACAGTTCCTCCCACACCCCATATTAGGTGCTCAGGAAGGTGAGTAATCTCCCAGCTCCACCTGGCGGGGCGTGTATCAGGTGACCTCTTATCAGCTAATTCCTAAATTAGGCATTTTTAAGCAGGGAAAGTCCACAAGACAAGCACAGCCTCAGTGACTAAAGCGGGCTTCCTTAGTCCCTTTCCTTCTCCAGAACTCAGCATCACCCCTAAGCTTCCCCACATCTAGGAAATCCCCAGTCTCAGAATAGTCTTAACGTGCAGCTGCCTATCTCCTTGGCAGAGGTCAGCCCCCCATCCCATGCCCATTCCCCCCACCATATTGGTGGGGCCAGGATGAGGGTTGTTTGGGGTGGCTCAGGGAATGACTGGATACTGAATGAGTGGATGAAAACATGCAAAGCTGTTGCCTATTCACTGATAAGATATGCTAATTAAAGTAAATGCTTTAGAGGCAGGAAAATGATGCATCTAAACCCAATCAGGAGGATCTAGAGCTCAGCCTTGTCTTGCCCTCCACTGGGGCCCTCCACCTCACCAATGAAGGCAAAAATTCAACAAGATACTAACAGAATGCAGCCGTTTTTAAAATCACTTCCCCTGCCCATGCCTTTCTGAGAGAAACCTTCGGCTTTCCAGCATCCAGCTTCTAACAGCTCAGCACAAGATGAAAAGGTGTCTGTGTGAATGCTTTCTGGTGCTCCAGCCCTCTAATTAATGGGGACCAAAACTCAGATAATTGGAAGAATTCTGTGAAGACAGACTTCTACTACCATCCATTCACATGCATTCTCATATCCCCATTTACAGATGTGGAAACTGAAGCTCAAGGGGGTTATGCCACTTGCCAGGTCCACAGAGCCAGACTCCAACCTGCACTTTGAAGGGTTCCCCTCATGATCCCAGCTGAAAAAGCAGAAGTCAAGGCAGCATTGGTAACCACATGAAGGTCCCACACACCTTTCCTTTGCATTGCAGATTCTGCTCCTGGCCCAGGTGAGTCAGAAGCTGAGCAGGAAATGGGACACTGGTGCAGAGGAATTACAGCCCTTGCCAGGGAAGGCACTCAAGGACATGGGGTACAACAGAACCCATCACTCACATGGGATGGGGTTCCTCCACTGAGCCCCAGGAGTGAAGTGGCAGAGAATATGGGGTTTTGGTGGGGTTTTCTGAAGTAACAACATTTCCTGAACCAAAAAGCAGGACAGGGTCTTTCCTGCAAACTCCTGGGAACTGCAGGTGTCCTGGGAGATGCGGGCCTGAGGAAGACAACCTCTGCCAGGCACCTGACCCCTGCCCAGATTATTAGATGCCTCCCCTCTAAGAGGAATTCCCCCTTGTGGGGAAAGCCAGCAAGGACCTACAGCCTTGGCCTGAGAAGGCAAACAGCACCATCAGAAGAGGGGTTTAAGGTTACCGACACTGCGACAATCCAAGAAGGGAACCAGGCAGCACCCCCCTGTCCTCCCTGGCTCTCTGACTGTCTGAAAACTCCTGCGCTCCGGCCGCAGGTGCACTGTTGTAAGAAAGGGCTCTGGAGGCCACACCTGGTTCGAGGCCCCGCTCTGCCGCTAATTCTCAGGGGGGGTAAAATGGAGACGGCAGTTCCTGCGCGGGCCCCAGGGGCTGCGCGCACAAAGCAGTCTCATCCAGGTCAGCCTCTCCCCCTCACCTTCAACCCCAACTGCCCCCAAAGCCGAGTGCCACGGGAAGACAGGTCTCTCCAAACGAAACCCCACCCAGAACTCAGAGATAAGAGACAAAAAAGGCCCCACCCAACACCCTCCGCAGGTCCGGGAAAAGGCTCGGGGTGCTCCGTGCGTCCCAGAGTGCAGTGAAGAGACGCCCCCTGGCAAGTCTGAGCCCCAGCAGGCCTGGGCGAGCGTCCGCAGACTGCGGCCTCGGGCGGGATGGGGCGAGCCCTTCCCCGGGGCGCGCCCCTGAGGGGTGCAGGCCCTTCCAGCTGACACCGCCGCCCCCCCACCCCGCAATTAGGCGGGAGACACAATGACATCATGCAGGCCTTGGCCCGGGGCCCAGGAGACCCGCCCGCCCGGATCTGAAGCCCAGCAGGCCCGGGGAGCAGGGCGGGGGCCCCCAAAGCCCTCCAAAGCCCCCGGCCCCGCGCGCGCCCCGGGCCTCGGGCCCAGACGCAGCGTTTCCCGCGGGGCCCTCCCGTCCCGCGCACTGGGCCGGGGCGGGGCGGGGTGCGGGCGGGGGGTCGGGGCGGGAGGGACCCCCGGGCGGGAGGGCCCCGCTTACCCGCGCGTCCGCCGAGACATCCCCCCGGCCCGGGCCGCGCCGCGCTCGCCCGCCCGCCGGCTGAGCCCGGGGCGGGAGCCGGGCCGGGGTCAGGGCGCGGCTGCTCCGGCCGCTCCGGGCCCGGGGGCGGCGCTCAGAGGCGGCAGCGCGGCTCCAGGTCCCGCCGCGGGTCGCAGGCTCCGCGGCCGCCGCCGCGCGCGCAGAGGCACTTTCCTATCTCCCGCCAAGCGCTCGGCGCCGCCCGGACCTGGCGCGCGGGCCAGCGGGCATGCGCGGGGCGGGGCCTCCGGGGCGGGGCCGCGCGGGGGCGTGGTCTCCCGGCGGGGCGGGGCCTCTCGGAGGCGTGGTCTCCTCGGCGGGGCGGGGCGGGGCCGGGCGCCGAGCCCCGGGGCGGGACGGGCTCCTGGCGGGAGAGGGGCTGTCTGGGGCGGTGCTGTGGGGCGCCCGGGCTCTGGCCAAGGATCTGTACCCGCGGCCCTGGCGTAAACCACAACGCCGAGACTGAGGAAAGGGAGTGGGGCGCAAGGAGGGGAGACTCGGAACCGCCGCGCAAAAATTCCAGACAAGCCCTTGAGGCCCCACCCTAAAGCATCTCCCACACCTGCTAAGACAAGGGTTGGTCTTCCTGGTGGCGCAGGGGGTTAAGCAGGAGTTCAATCCCCCGCCGGCCAGGGAGAAACCCACATGGGGCAGCAGACCTCTGCTGGCTCGCCCGCTGTTCCCCTCAGCAGTGTGTTTCAGTCAGTCAGTCAGGCTGCCTGTTCTGCTCCCCACTCTGTCTCTGGTGAGTCCTCTCACCACCCCCACCTCTGGCCTGTACCCCAGTTCCTGTATGCATAAATAAATCTTTAAAAAATAAGTAAATAAAGACCAGGGCTGCCCTGTTCCTTAACTCTTTCCCCTCTGCTAGGGTCACTCAAAACCACTGTGACATTTCTGAGATGTGAACCTAATCTTACCTCAAAATTTAAAACCTCTTCCTCACCCTCAGGGTAAAATTTCTGCTAGATCACCACCCCGCTAGCCAAAGGAAACCTGCTGTTCTCCAGGCTTTTGTAGGAGCCTTTACCTGAGTCAGAACACGTCCTGCTCATTCCACCTGACCACTCTTTATCTTTCAGTCCACTGCCCACAATCTGCTTGTTTTTTCCCCTCTCTGAACTGTGGGAATGCTGAGGTCCAAGAAGTCCCTCAGTTCACCCCAGTATTCCCCAGGGTGCTGAAACAAACTCATAGAGGCCCACCAGGCTCCCTGGGAGAAGAGTTAAGAAAAAGGTAAATGAGGGCCTCACCTGGTGGCACAGGTGGTTGAGCCCAGCACCATGAAGCTGTCTACAGCCTCTGCGGCAACAGTTTGATCCCTGCCTGCCAGCGAGGGTCCCACATGGCGCAGCAGACCTCTCCTGTCACACCCACTGCTCCCCTCAGCAGTGTGTTTCGTCGGTCTGCCTGTTCTGTCTCTGGTGAACCCTCTCACCCTCCTGTGCATCTGGCCTGTACCCCAGTTCTTGTATAAATAAAGAAATATTTTTTTTTTAAAAAGGTAAATGAATTAGGAGACAGGAGCCTTGGGAGGCCTGGCTGAGCCCCAACCTCTTAGCCCCTGCGTATGTCTTAGATCCCTCTTCCAGAGACTGCTGGCCACATGGGGACAGTTCAGCCAGCTGCTGCAAGCTTCACTTACCACAGCAGAAGGAAAACCAGTGTCTTAAGTGCTGAAAGTTTCCACGTCAATTAATTCAGGACATCCCCTTCTTCATTGCTAGAGCATATTTAAGAATGCAAACTAATGGAGGATTAGAGTAGGAAAATAGGGAAGGAGGCATCACAAGACCAGGAACTGGCATCACAAGACCAGAAACTGGAGATGGAGTAAAGATGATAAACAAACATCATCATAGAACCAGTTATAGAGATGAAAAGTCCTCTGGCCCAGCCTGGAAGAGGGGATATGAAACTGGTAGCCATTACAAAAACCTGCTATAGAAAACACCCATAGGAATGGACCAGAGATGGGGAAATGTAGATTGAGGGTCATAATAGAAAATCACAGACCCTTTCAAATCTACCTAGTCACACCCTGGAAGTAACTAACCTAACTATAGTTAATAGTTACACAAAGAAATGGACCCCCTCCCCACAGAAAGGTTGTATTAGAATAAGCCCATCCCTTCCAAAGGCTGCTCTCCTGCCTACCTGTGACTATACGGGTGTTTCTTTTCACCGACCTTCTTCCTTTGCAAAGCAGCAGAGACTGCTTGTTCTCTGTGTCAATGGAGGCATCTCTTTTAACAAACCTGTGCCTTTCAGGGGCAGCTTTTTCTGTCCGCTTGAGTCTATGCAAGCGTCCTTTCCTTTCCTTTTATATCATAAACCTGCCCTTTTAGATATAACTAAATGTCGCTGCCTCATGGGGAGACTCTCCATGTGCCATTGAAAGGAGAGCTTGGGTGAAACTTTTCTCAGAGGTAACCCCAGGACCCTGTTCTCTGAACCCAACACCTCTCCAAACTGACATTACAAACATTACAACTCCAGACTTTCTGCGGTTTAATTCCCAGCTCCATCATTTACTAGTTTTAGGACTTAGACAAATTACTTAACTCCTCTGTGCCTCAGTTTCCTAATCTGTAAAAAAAAGACGTCATAAATTGAGTTTTTTTTTTAAGATTTTGTTTTTATTTATTTATGCATCTTCTACAAGAACCGGGGTACAGGCCGGAGGTGTGGGAGGTAGGGGGGTAAGAGGATTCACAATAGACTGAGTGGGGAGCAGAACAGTCAAATGGACTGAAATACACTGCTGAGGGGAGCAGTGGGCAAGGCAGGAGAGGTCTGCTGCGCCATGTGGTCAGCTCCCAGGCCTGGATCTAACTCATGCCTACTGTACCTGCAATGACTGGCAATAGGTTGATAGCACTGAGATTTTAACTCATGCGCCACCAGGGAGGCCCAAATTGAGATCATTTTCACTATTTACCAGGCACTGTTTTGTACACGCCATAGTTTTGTTACAGGGCAGGGAGAGGGGCAGCCCAAACCCCGCAAACCTGCCTATTCTAAATGGGTTACCACCCTGTTACAGTTTAAGTTAAGTTATCCTCACAACTCCTCTATGAGGTTGCTCCCCAAGTTACACTGTTAGTAAAAGGCAGAGAAGGGATTCAAACCTGGGTTGTCTAGTTCTAGAGTCAACCACAGCACTGGCACCAATTATTTTATTTTATTTGTTTGTTTGTTTGTTTGTTTGTTTATGCATACAAGAACTGGGGTACAGGCCAGAGGTGTGGGGGTGAGAGGATTCACCAGAGACAGAGCAGGGAACAGAACAGGCAGATTGACTGAAATACACTGCTGAGGGGAGTGCGAGTGAGTCAGGATTAGTCTGCTATGTCATGGGGGTAGCTCCCTGGCCGGGAATCGAACTCATGCTGCAGCGGCTGTGGACAGCTTCATAGGTTGTGTCTTAACCCCTTGCACCACCAGGGAGGCCCACCAATTGTTTTTTAAAAGAAAGAAACAGCAGCTTCCAAATGGAGTCCTTCATGCCATGCCCCTCCACAACTGACTTGAGACCTCACATGACTTCAGCTTCAGCCCCTCCCAAGAGTGAAAATTTGAACTAACTAATCTGGAGCTTCAGCACTAGTGATGTCATCTGCATGATAAAGACCCCCTATGTTCCTCCAATGAAAGGCGGATTTGCCTGAAATGATCTTTCCTTTCTTTTGCTAATAACCTTGTTCCATCATTAAGCTGATATCATTAGGTTACATTTATATTTTTTATGCTGAAAAACATTTGTATTGTTATTGCAGTAACCTTGCTTTACAACACTATACATATTTTAGAAGTCCAGGATCACACCTTTTCAAATGTGTGTTCCCATACCACACCCACCAGTCACCCTCCACTGCTGTCCTTTGGCCCCCCTCCATCACCTACTCTCTGACTATAAGAACCTTCCATTTTGCACAGCTTCTTTTAAAAAAAAAAAAAAAAAAAAGATTTTATTTATTTATGCATACAGGAGCTGGGGTGCAGGCCAGAGATGCGGGGGGCGGGGTGAGAGGATTCACTAGAGACAGAGTGGGGAGCAGAACAGGCAGATTGACTGAAATACAGTGCTGAGGGGAGCAGTGGGGAGACAGGAGAGATCTGCTGTGCCATGTGGGTCAGCTCCCCGGCTGGCAATCGAACTTGTGCTGCAGACAGACTTAACCCCTTGCACCACCAAGGAGGCCCATTCTGTACAACTTCTTGCAGCACTTTTCCGCTTGTTAGATGGGATGCCCAATTCATGAATCTAATAAAGTCGATTTAGATCTTTAACATTAACTCAGTTAAATGTTTGCTATTTGAGAGTACTTCATAAGGTGGTTGTAATATTAAGTAAGTTAAAGTGTACAAAGTACTGAGAACAATTCCTGGAGCTTAAGATATTACTTTTAGCTATTACTGTGACCCTTGTGCTGCCCTCGTGCTGGTCCTCAGATCAGGAAGCTGCCCTACACACAGCATACCCCCTCACCTGGATTTACAGTCCCATTTCAGGAGAATGATGCTCAGGCAGGTATTTTGCCCAAGGCAAAAGGCTGCTGAAGAGCCCCTGGAACCTGGAATGGGGCCAGTACACAGGTAGGGAGGGCCTAAGAGGCTCAAGTCGGTGCTGTGAGGCAGGCAGCAGGCACAGCACCCCAGTACCCAAATCTGTCATTTCCACAAGTGTGCCTTCTGCAGTTGTCATCCTACCAACAGAGGACTCCCAGCATGCTAGGTGCAGCCACACCTGGAGTGGCCCCTGGCCCCAGGACCAATAAGATACAGACTGCACTTTGCTGGGAAACTTCCTGGACCTGCCCTCACCAGACAGACAGGCTCCGGTCATTTGGTCATTCCACAATCTACCCTACCCCAGGCTTCAGATCAAGGGCTTGTCTTGGGGAAACAAGAGTCAAATCTGCTTATGAAATGCTCCAACATTTTTGTGTCCCACAACAGGCTGGACACTGATTGATGACAATGACTAATGAGAAAACATGATAAGTAGGATCATATGGCTCTACGCTGAGCTTCTTCCTACTTCGCAAGCACCCTCCTTCCTTATCATCCTAGGCCTCCCACCACCATACATACTCCATCCACAATTCAATTGCTCTCTCAAGAGCAGGGACACTCCTACATTCACATGATCGGTTTGCATGACCCTAGATGTCCATCTTCCAGCATTGGGATAAGTGTGGGGCCATCCACCACAGCACAGGGCAACCAGCTCTGCCTGGTTTTGACCAGACTTACGCCCCCAGCTGTGTTCTTATTTAGGCACTAGCCAAGGATTGTTATTTGGTCTCCTAGAAACCATTTAACCCAAGTCCCTCGAGTTCCTGATGAGGGTGGAGCGCCTCCCAGAAGAGTGCCCAGACCCTGGGCTGCTTTATACACACACTAAATCCAGCCCACACCCCTGACCACCTTAAGCCTTCTGGGGCATCAGTTTTTGCAAACACGTAGTTCTTTCTTTTGTAAGCTGCACCTCAGCTATCAAGCAGATTGGGGCGTTGAAGGCACACTATCAGAGGACAGCAATGGACGCCAAGATAGAAACCGACAGCACAGCCCGCCCCTGGCGGTACCACCACCGTCTGTGAAGACAGAGCGGGGAACTCAGGCCTTGGAGCCTGCCCAGCGCTCTCGCCGCCGCGGTGGGCCGGGGGCAGGGCCCTGCCCCTTCCCCGAGCCCGGGGTGGTCCGCCTCGCAGGCCCGCACCTGCGCCCGAGCGCCCAGGTCCGCGCGCGCACGGCGAAGCCTCGCGGGAGGCGCCCGCCTGACGTCACTAGGGGGCGCCCGCCGGGCCCGGCCGCTGCGGGGACTCCGCGGCGCCTGCGGTCGCGCGCCAAGCCCAGCGGCGGCCCCTTGCCCGCCTCGCGGGTTCCGGTAGTTGCCGGGCACGGAGCCTCGGAGACTCCCGCCGCCCTCGCGGCCGTGGGCCCCTGACAGCTCTCCCCCGCGGCTTCGACTGTCCACGCCGCGCGACCAGGCAGCTCTCCAGTCGGACATCTTTTGCAAAGCTCAGGGACTTCCTCTCTCCGTTGCTTGTATGAATTGCGGTTCTTATGCTCCCGCCAAACGGTTTACCCTTCAGAATCCCGTTCTCCCAGTAGCTTCCCAAGATATCGCCCCAGGTGATCAGCATCAAAATGCTGCCAATCTCTGATCTTTAACCCCATTTTGAAAGCTGTTTCAAAATGACCTTGGCCCACCTCTTTACTCTCCCCCTGAAAGCTCTTCCTTCCGCATCCTCATCTGCACAGAGCCCACTGGCTGAGCTGACCCCCAATGGCACATCCACTGCACACCAGCAGCGGCCCTGCCATCTTCTGTCTGGAAGGTCCCCAAAGCTGGGGCCTGGGATATCCAGTACACTACTTCGCATGTCCACACCAGACGCCCCATTCTAGCAGGTAACTCTCCCACTGTCCTTGGGGCAGATGATCACATTTTGCCCTGTATTCTAACCCAAAATGAGTGCTAGGAGGCAAAGTGTGAGTGGAGACAACAGCCTCAAAGTGGTCATGTCCTGTGGGCAGCTGGGTGCTGAAGGGGTGACCTGCGCCTAGGAAGTAGCTACACCATTTTATCTTTTCCACTAGGTATTGTAGGGCAAACAGACGGTGTGGACAAGTTTGTTTTGTGTCCTGAACTTGTCCAAAAGCTGTACAATATTCACAACAAACCAGTTATTTATGCCTTTGATAAATAAAAGACAAGATAAATGAAAGAAAAGACTTCAATGACTACTTTATAAATTATAAAAGTACAGATTTAACTAGATTTAATTTAAAAAACTGAACATATCTACATAAGGATCTGTGAGTTAGAAATGCCATCACTACCTGGGCATTACAGAAGGTGCACAGACCTCCCACAGCTCATTCATACAAGAAAGAGTGTCTAGACAGTATGGATAAGGAATAATTCAAAAATAGTTTACAAAGAGAGAATCAGGAGGAGAAAATGCTTCCAGGTGTAATCTTCAGAAATTGTTCTGGAATGGTGCTTCACTTGTATCAATGTCATGCTCCTAGATGAGGGAATGAGACAATTTTAGTATTTCAATTAAGGTCTTTGATCAGCAATTCTGAATCGCCACTTACTGAGACACTTAGGTCACCTCTGGCTTTAAAAGCTGAATCCAGTCCAAGGATCAAGTTCTACCATTGCCCACCACGCACCACAATGCATGGAGAGAAACACTGCACCAGTTGAGGCACTGACAAAGATCACACCAGACTTCTTGGCCTTGGGGACCTGTCTCTGTCTTGCCACCAGGGTAAATACTGCTGGGAACCTACCTAAGCCCCCATCCCACACTGTAGGTAGGGCTGAGCAGCTCTACCAATGGCTTGCCTCTGGGTTCTCCTTCACAGGACTTACCTCAGAGCCCTGGAAGGCCTACACACTCATGTCTCGCCTACCACAGAGCTCAGAGACATAGCAACTGCATTGCTCTTGGTCACTGCCAGAGCCCCTATTTCTAGCATCATGCCTGGCACATACGAGTACCCAGCAGAGCCAGCCGCCTGCCAGTAGAACCCACTCAGCATCTAAAACTTTAAGCACCTCTATATTAAAGAAAGGACTATACTGTTTAATATCCCACCACCACCACCTTACTGTATCATGAATGCTGTCCCAAGTCCTTGATATTCTTCTAAAACATTTTCTTTTTTTTTTTTTTTTTTTTTTCATAGAGGCATGTTTTATTTATTTATTTGTTTGTTTGTTTTTTGTTTATACATGCACTGGGTACAGTCAGAAGCGCGGGAGGGTGAGAGAATTCACCAGAGCCAGAGCTGGGAGCAGAGCAGGCAGAAGGACCAAAGCACACTGCTGAGGGGAGCAGCGGGCGGCAGGAGAGGTCTGCGCGCCATGTGGGACCCTCCTCTGGTGGCCGGGGATCGAACCGGTACCGCGGAAGCCGCGGGCAGCTTCACAACCCAGCGCTCAACCACTGCGCCACCAGGGAGGCCCTCTTCTAAAACATTTTCAATGTACAGATGTACCCAAGTTACTTAGCCAGATCCCTAGTGAGGGAGACTTTTACTTAAAAAATGCTGTACTGAGCATCCTGGCTGGTAAATGTATACAAATAGAGGAATATATTAACGACAATCTGAGGATTAAATTGCTGAAAGAAAATTGTATATATTTTGAAGCTTTTGGGGTGATTGGGATCGACATCTGTAGTCTATGAATGCTCATTTACCAACAGTGACTGGTCCTTTAATTTTAGAAATCCTGTTAAGGGATAGAAAAAATGAAGACGGGATAAATTTACAGTTCTTGGTCCTCAGTCCAGAGAGAGATGATTTGTACATAAGGCGCTGACCTCCTGTCCTGCTCACTTCTCTAGCCATGCTGACATCATCACTGTTCCTCAAACATGCCGGACACGGCCCAGCCTTATAGACTCTGCACAGGTCTCTCCCCAACCTGGGACGCTGGGCCCCCAGCGAGCTACGAGTCCCTTAGCACCTTCCAGTCTTTGCTCCAATATCAGCTGTGTGGTGAGCCTGTTCTGCCCCCCAATTTAATATTGCCACAGTGGCGCCCTTGATTCCTCTTACCCGGCTCTGCTTTTTCTTATACCAAAGCACTTACCTTGTAACATACTAGGGGATTTATTCATGTATTATGTCTACCGTTTACTACCTCCTCCAGCTAAAAGATATCCCATTGTCTTGTTTTGGTCACCTAGTAGATGCCCATAAATACGTGTATAATGAATGAATGGCTCAAAACACACATTCCACACCGCCTTCTAGGCTCTGTACCTGGTTCAATTTCTTGAACTCCACCACTTGAAAGAAGATGTGCTCAAGGATATGTTTGGCATCTTGTTGGTCCTTTGGTAATTTATTGGTTACTCCAAGAATGTCACCACACTTCCTGACGTAGAATTCCAGGTCTTCTTCAGTACCTACACACAGGTGGGGCAGTTACATTAACCCTTAGCTTCTGCACATCCCCAAGTACAGGCACCCCGGCACGTGCCTGCGCCTCTTCAGTCGCTTATCTTTTCACAGGGTAACGTGACCAAAGGACTTAAACACAGACACAGTGTAGAGATCTTTGATGTGCTGTTTGGACAAATTAGGACAAAAGCATGACTCCTAACTGGGAAAAGCAGGATAGGTCTTGGCTTTCCTAGTCCCAGACCCGGCACATTACAAGGAACTGAAGCAACCAGTAGGAAATCAAGTTACCATTCTCGGAATATAGCAAGGACCCTGCGCACAAGGCATATGGGTATTTAAGCGGCACTGTTAAAGCGATAATGTAGGAAAGGAAATCACAGAGAAACCACCCCCCGTAACTTTTACAAGGTACCAGAAAGCTCCCCCCGCAGCCCTCTAGAGGACGGCTGGAGAGTCACAGTTGCCCCCTTGCTGTACTGTGCTTTCTTTTCCTGTACTTAAGTTATGACAGAAACGTAAGTTTTTTGTAAGATAGTCAAACTATACCACTGCAAAAACCTCTCACTCTAGCTCTAGTCCCAGGTAACCACCCAGAGTCACTATGGCCACATATGCCTGCGTATTTCTGTACAGATAAAAAATGGGATCAAACTACCAGTTCTGTGAGTCACCTTCATCACTTACCAATGCAGCGTGGACATCCCATGTCAAAACCTATGCTCTGCATCTTTTTTTTTGTTTTTTAAAGATTTATTTATTTATTTATACAAGCACTGGGTACAGTCAGAAGCACGGGAGGGTGAGAGAATTCACCAGAGCCAGAGTGGGGAACAGAACAGGCAGACTGACGAAATACTCTCCTGAGGGGAGCAGCGGGTGGCAGGAGAGGTCTGCGCGCCATGTGGGACCCTCGCTGGTGGCCGGGGATCAAACCGGCGCTGCAGAGGCTGCACGCAGCTTCGCAGCTCAACCGCTGCACCACCAGGGGAGGCCCTGCTCTATATTTTTAACAGATATGTAACTCCAACTTATTTCAATCAGTCCCCCAACTGATGAACCATTAGATTCTTGCCAATTTTTCTTTTTATGAGTTTATTTTTATGAGTTAGAAAATAAGCTTAATTGTAGGTGACAGTGCACACTTCAGAATGAGTGTGGCAGATTTCTCTTTTTTGTTTTGCATCGCTGTAAGGATTTCTGTGGGTAAATTGCTAGAAATAGAAATGCTGGGTCGAAGCCTCTGACCCTGCAGGTCTGTTATTCCCACTGGACCAATCGCTATGTTGTGCTAGTTTTTGTCCAGCGCCCGCCACAGAACAGATGCATTGAAGTGTTTTACACTGAACGTCCTTCCCTTTTGCATCCTCCTTTCAGGTCTCTGGACATATAAAGGCTGTTCACAGACCTAGGATCCTACTGCACATGCAGTTTTATATCTTGCGATCTTCATTAGGATTCACATTTAAATTCTATCAGTGTCACTCCCCAACCTGCATACACCTCTTTTATCATGACTACATGCTGCCCACTGACTGTCGCACCGATTACTACAATTCCTCGCTACTGGGCATCAAGGCTCCTCCTAATTCCATTTGATCCTTTAAATAACTGATGTAGGAGTCATCGGTGCATCTATATTCATCTCCTCAGATCAGATTCTCAGTGGCAGGACTGCTACCTCAGGTGGATGGTGCACATATTACACCTCTGATATATTATGAGAGCATGAGGCGTGCAGGCCCCTTGCTGTGTGGGAGGCGGGTGCACATCAGGTGCACCAAGCACCGTGCAGCTGAGCAGCTTAGGCCCCATTTCTTCATCCACGGGTCAAGGCAGACAAATTTGACTCTCTTAGGATCCTTTTGATTTGAAGTCCTTGTGATTCTGTTGGCCCTGACTGAGCTTTCTTGTTTAACTTGCCTGTGACCAATGACCTGGATTTGCTAAGTGGCAGGCAAGGTCATGATCCATCCACTGGTCAGAACCCAGGACCTACAGGGATCAAAGCCGAGACCGTGGCTTCTGGTCAGCAATGTGCTCTAATTCACTGAGTTAACTGGTCTCCAGAGAAACAACGTTTACATTAAACAGCATTTACAAAAATTGTAATTTTTCTTTATACTTCTGTTCAAAGCTAAGCTTTCTCATGGTAAATTGCAGAAGTATGCAATTAAATAGAACTCACAAAAGAAAACAAAAAAGAAATTAAGGGCCTCCCCTGGTGGCGCAGCGGTTGAGCGCTGGGTTGCGAAGCTGCCCGCAGCCTCTGCAGCGCCGGTTCGATCCCCAGCCGCCTGGTGAGGGTCCCACATGGCGCGCAGACCTCTCCTGCCGCCCGCTGCTCCCCTCAGCAGTGTATTTCATCAGTCTGCCTGTTCTGCTCTCCGCTCTGGCTCTGGTGAATTCTCTCACCCTCCCGTGCTTCTGACTGTACCCCGTGCTTGTATAAATAAATAAATAAATCTTTAAAAAAAAAAAAAAAAAAAAAAAAAAAAGAAATAAAAAAAAAAAAAAAAAAAGAAAACAAGGAAAAAACGGGCCAAACTTACACTTATTGGTAATCTGAGCAAGCCGAGCCTTCTCAGAAGAGAAAGTCTCATCTAAGTCAAACAGTTCCAGCGGAGGAGGTGGTAATTCCCTGAAACTGGGAGGGAAAACCTAAAAAACCAAAGTCATAAGTAAGAGTGATGAGACATAGGAATATGAAGGCTAATGCTCAGACCTTCCCTGGGATGAACCCCCAAAGCCCATTACCACTTCCTGCCCTAACCCTTTAGACCCACATCAATCAAGACAACTGCCATTGTGAGCAACCAAGTGGAACCAGCTCCAACTAAACAGTAAACTGACCCAGGTGATACGCCAATGCCTGAACCAACATGAGGCGATACGTCAATAAAGCTGGGGTTTAATTGGGTTTGTGTTGAACAGCTGATTGCACATCTTTGTTTCTCAATCCTGAGTTGTTTAGGGACACACTGGGGAAGGAGATGTAGATGACTGTAGAAAGTGCTGAAGCTGGAGTTGGAATTGGTAGGTACAACCCAGTGGTGTGCTGGTAAATGTTTCACTGTCAGCTCTTCAAATATAATAAAATAAAAGGCCTGATCCTGTCATTTTCTGTGATAGAAATACTTCCACGAAGGCTGATTTCAAGTGGCCAAGATGGAGCCAACCAGCTTGTTACATTCTAGAATGTGAGGGGGTAAGATAATTTTGAAGGCAAGTTGAATGAGTGCTGGGCTGCAATGCTGAAAACCTACGTGACCATGACGATCCATGGGCTGTGAGAATCATGCTGTGACTAAGAACCTGCTGTCTGGAAAGCTGCAGCACAAAGCCTTTCCTCCCTTTCATCCACGAGTCCTCATATATGCCCTCCAATTCCACATGATGGGAACTGACTAGCAAGTGCATGCCCTTGATTCCTCAATTGGGAAATATACCATATAAAGTCCCTGTGGGATACTAGTAGGCTTGGTCTCTGTGCATGTTTGGAACCAAAGAAATGTGCCACAGAAGGATCCACCTGAGGGGCCCAGCAGGTGAGGGAAGGGCTAGCAGTGGGGTTCTGTGACAGGATGCCCCAGCACACCTACTCACTGCTGGCTGAAGGGATGGCAGCGGGGTCTCAAACTGAGGCTGGATGAGCTGGAGAGGTTCATGTTTCACGTTGAGCTGTTCATGAGCCCTGTGTTAACAATAAAGCCAAAAGCAGGGGTCAAGGTGAAACACTGTCCAGCTGATCACACTATGCTACTCTTCATCAAATCAGGTACTGCAGCACTTTTGCAGAAAAACATACACAAAGTGTTGTGAAATGTAATTATTTCACGAATCTGTTCTGTATCATACAGTATGACATCACTAAGAACCGAAAGGGATTCATATTTCATTCAAGTTTCATTCCAGGCTTCTTCTAAATAAACTTTTAAATTTCACCTAGTGGGCACTTGGAATTCACTGTGTTTCCTTATTTGCTTTCACCTTCAAGAGATGGGAGTCAAATCTGAAGCCTGTTTCTAGCAACTGAACACATCTGTACAATATGCACTTCTGCATGCTCATTCCCCAGAGAATATTTACTGAGTATCCACCATGCACCGGCAGATTTATACCCAGGAGGACATCAACAGTGGGAAAAAAAGAGACCAAGGCAGGCCCTGGTGGAACTTACATTCTAGTGGTGAAGAGACACACAATACATAAAAGCCAAGATGCAGGTACCAAAGGAAGAATCTAATCAAGAGAAAGACAAAGAAGGGGCAGGAGGGGACTGGCCAGAGAAACCCTGCATGACAGAAGGGAAGGACCCACGCAGCGACCTTCAGCGGGGCCCAGGCAGAAGCAAGAGCATGAAGGATGAAGGACAAGTTTGCTCGGCACTGTCACAGAGCACAGGCTGCCAGAGAGGCTATCTCCCAGGGAGAACAGGGGCAGAGGGGGAATATGTCTACAGAGTTAGTGCTATCTTACCCTGTGTTATTTTGTCCTTCTGCATCATACATAATTTTGTTAGCTGGCTAAACCTCTCTGCGAATGACACAAATGAAAAATGTCCTTGCCTGGACACACCTTAATACTTTACACTTTTGTGGCCTTTCACAATGAAGCTAAAAAACAAATGCCAATGGGTGTGGACAAAGTTCATGTCTGCTTCTACACAAGAGTCATTTCAGAAAGGAGAGAGGAGACTGAAGAAAGGTCATTAGCTGAACTCACTGCTGTAAGCGCCTCCACCAGTCCCTTGGGGAGAATCTTTCCCCCTGCCGTGAATAGATCCCCACAGGGGGAAGAGAAAGAACTTTCATTGAGTACCTACCATGCCATGTATACAGCCTGACCTGTGGTAGCAATTACACTTCTCCCAACATTCAACACAACCAGGTGAGGTGGGGGGGGGGAGTGGAGGGGCTGGGGGTAGAAGTGTGGGAGGGTGGATCAGGTTGCAATAGAAGAGTTACCTAGCAACAATAAAGGTCCACTTAAAGTTAAGTGATTGTGGATTTGAAGTCAGACACTCCAGGTGGACATGTGTTATTTTCCAACCTTGCTTATTAGCTCCGTGGCTGTAAGCCTAGAGCTGGCAGAGACAGAGATTTAACTGCTTGGCTTTGTTAAGCAAATGGGATGAGGAAAAAAGGAAAGATCTTTTGTAGATCTTTCTACAGGATTTAGGGAATTCATGTTTAAGTATGAACAGTAACTGCTATTATTATGTGTTTTTTGTGTTTATTTTTTTTTTTGTGAGACCCTCGCAGGCAGCCGGGAACGAACCAGCGCTGCAGAGGCTGTGGGCAGCCTCGCAGCCCAGCGCTAAACCGCTGCACCACCAGGGGAAGCCCTGCTATTATTATGTTTTAATTGGATTTTTTTATAAATAGAACCTTTCATCATGTCTGAGAGCTCTGTTGTCTATTTAAACATTACAAACATTTATTGAGCATGTACTTTCTGCCTGTAGTCAACAAATACTATCACACTTGAAAAAGACATGTGGGTGTGAGACAAGTAAGAACTGTTCTTGGCAGAGATGATGGCAGCCATTATCTTGATATTGCATTTTCTTTTGCTCCTTCTGTCCCAGACCTGTCTTATCCCTTTCTTGCTGTTCCCTGCCAAAAGGTGCCTTTGATTTATGGCAAATGTTTGGGCGTCTCTAGCCCCACTTTAGGTCGACCCTGTTTGGCTAGGCATTTGCTTACAAGGGAATGGGTAATTTTGGGTGTTTTATTGGGAAATTTTTATTAGGAATAGCCCTTTATTTTATTAGGAATAGCCCTCTCTGTATGCACACTAATTCCATTAAATATCTATCATACTAAGCTGCTTCATTTATCTTTGTGTGCACAGATGACCAAATTCCTCTAAAGTGTGTAACTCTTAATAGTTTGGGGCCCCTGGGTGCCCTGTGGTGGCACACTAACAGTGTGAAGTCCTGTCTTGAGCCCAATTCCCTCCATAGTGCTATCCCTAAACCTTTGTGCAGTTCTCTCAACAGTGCTATCTGGACCTCTTCATGTCTACACAGTAGTTCCTCCACACAGCCTCACAGGCCACCTCTCAACCACCTTGGATGGAGAGTGCCCTGAACACTCATTTTTCTTCCCTCTTCCTGCCAGTCAGCAGCATCACCAGTTACACAGGTCCCAGAGGAGAAACTAGTCTTGCAGACATCTCCATCACAGCCGCCTACGGCCCACGTCCTGAGAGCCTCTTCTCCCACACCCCTCTTAAACCACAGTTACTACTCTTACTGGCTCCACCTTTCAGTCCTCCTGGTCTGCCGCAACAGTCTCCTAACTGGTTTCTTCATTTCTCCGTACTCCAACTCATCCTACAAACTGCTACAAGAAATTGTTTGTGTTGGCTTTGAAAACGTACCCTCATGTCCCTGCTCTAGAGGTCTTTACAAGTATCCCAGCTATAAATCCAACCCTCACCCTGAGCTGTAGGAGGTTTGTCTGGCCCTTGATCTTTAATGCTCAGGCATGTCTCTCTCAAGTGTTGAAGTCAGAGAATGCATAATGGTATGTTGCAAGTGACTTCAGAGGACAGATTTTTAAACTATTACCAAGTTGGCCTTGTTAGCAGTCAAGAGTAAATGCAGTTTAACGGGCAGTCAGGAAAAAGCGTCCTTGCCTGGACACACCCTGACCACGTGAATGTGAGGGGCTTTGCTCATACCGGGATCCAGACCTTGCTGCAGAATGTTCTGTTCTGACGCCCCACCCATCTAAAATCTTCCTCACCCATTAAAGCACACCCCTTCGCGCCCAGCACAGTGCTAGGCAGACACAAGGCACCAAGAAATGTTGATTGAAATAATCAAGTCCTGGCTAAAAGGGCCCTCTTTCTTTTCTTTTTAAAGATTTATTAATTTTATGTACAAAATCTGGAGTGTAGGTCAGAGGTGTGGGGGGGTGAGAGGATTCACCAGAGACAGAGTGGGGAGCAGAACAGGTGGATTTTATTTCAATATACTGCTGAGGGGAGCAGCAGGTGAGACAGGAGAGGTCTGCTGTGCCATGTTAGCTCCCTGGCCAGGGATCCAACTCAGGCTATAGTGGTGATAGCACTGAGACTTAACCCCTAGGCCACCAGGGAGGCCCCCAATAAAGGGTCCTCTTTCATACAGGTCTCTGCTCATCTTGGTCAGAATCAAATTCTCTTTCTTCATTATGCTATGGCCTCCAAGTTTATATTTCAGATTTAACATTAACATAACTGTGCATCACAGCTTTTGTGTGTCTCCTCAAATAAAACCATAAACTTGAAGCACAGTGCTTTGCACAGAACAGCTCTGCATTTGCTGAACTTGAGCTCAAGTAGAGGGGTAGGAAGTTAGACGATCAACTGTAGCTGTGTGTGCAGTGTGTATCCAGATGGACAGCCCAGGCAATTTTGGAGATGCTAGAAAATGTTAGTCGCTGACCCTGCCATCAGGGGTGGAAAACAACAACAAAACAGGAACTAAAATAGGGTAATGCTCTGGCTTAAAAATCATTCAGGTCTGACTTTAAATCCCTGCTCTCCCTTTGGGATAATACCTCACCCTCCTTAAACCTAGGTATTCTCATCTGGAAATGAGGCCAGTAACTCAGAGGACTACTGAAAAGATGAATTATGGGGGGGGCCTATAGGTGACTGAAGAGATCTACTGAGGGGGTTCCTAGAATATGGGACTCTGCTAAAGCCAGGAAGATCCTAGGCAAACCAGAAAAAGTTGGTACCCCTAAATGCCTGAGACAGAGCCTGGAATACAGTGAGCCTATGACTGCTAGCAGTTCCCTCTGCACGAGTCCCCTACCCAACTTCCCACCTGCCTTTGCCTTTCCCAGCTCCTCACAGATCCAAGCACACGTTCTGCATATCCCATTTGTGCAACCCTAACTCCCACCCCTAGTCTCATGTTTTTATACCAAACACTGAGAATGGAAGGCAGTGCAGCTCAGACAGCCACAAATACTGACTTGATGACCTTGGGGAGGGAGGTGGTATCCAGCTGGTAAATGGACAAGTCGAAGAGGGTGGTAAAGTCTCGTGGGTTCTCGTCGCCCTCCTGGAGACACACTCGAAGCTGTTCTGACAGGGCGGCTGTGTCGGGCAACATCATGTAGTCAGAAATCTGAAAGCCACAAGAGGGTTCCTTTCAGCAGAGTGGGAGCAAGAGTTTGATCTGTGAAGTCTCCGATGTCACAAGTCTAAATCTGCAATATTTATTATACTCCTTTACCCAAAGATTTCACTGTTCCTGATCATTGTCAACTAACCTTAAATAAGTCACTTTGTGTGGAAAGAAGAAGAAAAGTCACTTGGTTAAACTCCAGTGCTGACTAACTCTAACTCTTCAACGACTCATGCCAGTGCTCACACAGCCAGGGAAATGCGCAAGCCTGCTTACTGGTCACCTTTTAATGTCATGATCACTGACTTGAGTAATTGGCCATAAAGTTTGTTTTCCTAGACTATTCACTTTCCCATTACCCCAAGTAATAGTTTCCCTTTGTCAGTTCATCTAAAATGATTTTTTTAATTTTAGCTGAAGATTTTATTTTCTATTTAGTGAGAAAATAGAGGCAATCATAAAATAAAGTCCACAAGCTCCCATTCTGTGTCTGTCTGTCTCCGGCATCTGGGGCATCCACTCTGCTTTCTCACCTAAGGCCTATGAGCCCAACACAGACAACCCCCCAGCTGACACGAGATCCCAGCCCTTCCCACCTGACCAAGAACATGCCTCTAGCATTGCCGAGCTCTTAATGATGGCACACGTGTGTGCTGGTAACAGTAAGATACCAGGAAACCTAAATGTCCATCAGCAGGGTACCGGGTTAAATAGACTCAGGACAACCAGTAGAAAATGCATCTTAAAAAATACACACACACAGGGCCTCCCCTGGTGGTGCAGCAGTTGAGTGCTGGGCTGCGAAGCTGCCCACAGCTTCTGCAGCGTCGGTTCGATCCCCGGCCACCGATGAGGGTCCCACATGGTACAACAGACCTCTCCTGCTGCGCCCACTGCTCTCCTCAGCAGTGTATTTCATCAGTCTGTCTGTTCTGCTCCCCGCTCTGGCGCTGGTGAATTCTCTCACCCTCCCATGCTTCTGACTGTACCCAGTGCTTGTATAAATAAATAAATATATCTTTAAAAAAAAAATACACACAAAGAAAACTCTTTATGTATATAAACATGGAAGAATCTCTAAGACATATGGTCATTTTAAAAAGTAAGGTGCTGGGGAGCATATATGGTCCACCTGTATGTGGAAGACAAGGGGGAAGGAGAACACACACACCCTTTATACATATGTATAAAGGGTTTTTGGAAGAACATACGAGAAGCGCTGGGATTGTTGCTAATGAGGATTGGAACAAAGCAGCTGGGCAAAGACAGAAGGACGGCTGCCCAATGTGAATGCTTGTGAATTCCAATCCATATGAGTGGATTTACCTATTTACATAGTAAATGTAAATAAATATGTCTGGCAACGAGAAGTTTATTCCTCAAATGCCTTTGAATTGCAGTTAACCTTGACATCTGACAAGGCCACAGCTTAACAACTGGTCGTCTGAAGTCACCGGTCACATGCTGTTCTGAGTTTTTAAGAGCCAGCACTGGAGACGTGCCTGAGCAGTCCAGAGAAGACAAGCAAGGCCAAAAGGCGCATTTTTCTCTACAGACCCCAAGGGTCACAAGCTCCCCATTCTCAGTTTTTTTTCAGCCAGGAAACAGGGGAGGAGCATAAACAAATAACTGCCCTTCCCTGAAACATCTAGCTTTGCTAGAGGAAGGGGTCAGAAATGGGCACAGCAAGTCCGCAGCCCAGAGGGCAAGTCTCATCTCTGCATAGAGGCTGCAACAGAATGCTTGCTGAGAAGCCTCCCGCCCTAGCTATCCAGTGAGAACAGTGCTCCCAAGACTACTGGCTTCCTAGCAGATTTGAAGATTAAAACTTATGTAAATTCCATCAGCTGCTTACTGAGCTGCCATTGTAGTCTATTAAATATCATTTGAAACAATTACTACCTAGGTTTGAAAGCTATTTTGACATAACAAGGTGTGATCTGAAACCACAGTGAGGAAGTTCAGTTTTTCAAAATATCTTCTTTGCTATGTTATTGGATCCAGCATTCTACTTTCCAAAGACTTACAATACAATGTTCACTTTTCCCCAGGTCTCACATATGAAGATCTAGGGAACCACATGATTTTAGCGAAACGAGACTATCTTCCCCTCTAAGTCAGCTCCACTCAAGAGCTGGGTCTTCTGGGATCTGAAGAGTGAATTCCTGACTGTACCCTGATTCTTTTATTTAGGGGGCTTACACCAATCTTCAAGAGAAGTTAAGCAAAACATCCATACACTTGTTGTTTCCTTATATATAAGGAACCATTTTAAACATGGGCTGTCCTGTTTCCTGACCCATCAGCCCTGAGAAGCCACATCCTCAGTTGAGGAAGGAAGCACTCGGCAGACCACCATTTCTGATTGCCTTATTGCCCACCTCCCGCTACTCACTGCCAGGAAATAATTTTCCTGATATTTCAGAGCTTAAGAACCACAGAAGCAACCATAGAATGAGTAAGTGGACTTCATGTCAGGAGACTAGGTTTGGGTCCTGGCTCTGCCCTGGCTTGTTACTTCCACACATAGCAATTTTACAGAATTTCAGAATTTCCTCATCTATAAAATATCAAAAAGACCATCTATCTCCCTGAGAGAATGAGATAAGATGATTTATGTGGAAGAGTAGGATATATATATATTGTGCCTGGTATATATAAATATACATTCTTTGGAAGTCTTACATAGCACTTCTTAGACCTTTAATTGGTAAGTAAAATTACATCTATGAGAGTAGGCCTCACAGTCACACTGTGAGACAGAGCACAGGTATTACTGTCCCATAGAACATTAAGATAAAAAAGCTCAGAAATAGGGCCTCCCCGGTGGCGCAGCGGTTGAGCGCTGGGTTGCGATGCTGCCCGGCCACTGGAGGAGGGTCCCACATGGCACGCAGACCTCTCCTGCCGCCCGCTGCTCCCCTCAGCAGTGTACTTTGGTCCTTCTGCCTGCTCTGCTCCCCGCTCTGGCTCTGATGAGTTCTCTCACCCTCCTGCCCTTCTGTCTGTGCCCAGTGCATGTATAAACAAAACAAACAAACAAACAAATAAATAAATAAAACATGCCTCTATAAAAAAAAAAAAAAAGCTCAGAAATAACCTGTGTAAGGGCCAAGCTCTACAGTGGAGCAAAAACAGAATGCAGCCACTGGCTTCTAGAAGACCCAGCTCTTGAGTGGAGCATTCCTCTCTGTGGCCATTCTTCTTTTCTAGCTGAGGAGATCGAAGTAAATAAATTCTTCAGGGTCTCCACTTAGGTTAAGAACCTGGTCAAGGCCTTAGTAATGCCCACATCAGGCCGTTTCTGGAGCCTGTGCCCCTGTTCACTGTCCCCCACACGTGACATGGGCTGGTTTCCATTTCCCCTCGTCTATAAACACTACCAGAACACCAGTCTGGTAGTGCCAGACTGCCAGTCCTGAAGGAAACAAAATTATAGTTTAATACTTAAATTTTGATGATCTTTCCTTCTTCATTAAAATATTATTTTTTTTAAAGATTTATTTATGCATACAAGAACTGGGCTACAGGCCAAAGTTGTGAGGGGTGAGAGGATCCACCAGAGACAGAGTGGGGAACAGAACAGGCAGATTGATTGAAATACACTGCTGAGAGGAGCAGCGGGGGAGACAGGAGAGGTCTGCTGCACCATGTGGGTTGCTCCCTGGCCGACTGGGGATCTAACTCATGCTGCAGAGGCTGCGGACAGCTTCATAGGTTGAGTCTTAACCCCTTGCGCCACCTGGGAGGCCCTGAAAATATTATTTTTATACCTTCCTATTTCTGAAAGAAGTATTTCTCTATGGACACTGATTTTGAAAGTTTGGGCCAGAGAGCACATTTTATTTTCCAGTTATTATACATGTATATCTATATGTATCTATATAAATATAAAAATAGCAGGAACTCCACCCTAATTAGTTCTATCATTAATTATATAATTTATTGTTTCATTTTTTTTTTTTACAGTGGGGCCTTCATCACTTATTTCCATCTCTTATAGTAAGCTAGGTAGATTTCTTTGAAACACAAGTGATGATGAGGAATTGAAGCTATTTTTTTATTTAAAAGTTTTCTGATTCACAATCTCTTACCTCTGGGTCCTCAGCATCAATCTGGTTTAGGTGGATGTCTCCTGTTGTGAGCCACTGGAAAACAACGTCCTAGATTAAAAATCAAACACAGGATCAGACAGTTGGTAATTAGTGAAATCACATGAAAACTTAAAAAAAATTTTCCTTATCCTAATGCAACGTTTATTATGAGACATTTATCTTCGGGCAGCCTACCTTCTAACCAGAGCCAAAATGATAGAAACTACTCACAGCCCCAAAGAAATTCCTGTTTAATGTGCTGATAACAGTTGGAAGAAAATGCTGAATAACCTAGGTCTCCACAGAACGTGTCCAGAGACAATAGAACTCCTTGTGCATTCCAGAGAAACAAAATCTTACTCTTCCCAAACAATCAGAGGCTGAGGGACTTGATTTCATTAATGCCAAGTTTCAGGGGGAGCTTCTGCCTCCGGCAGGCACTTCACAGGAATCACACTAGGGCGCAGCTCTGGTGCGCATGTCTGTGCACACGTCACCCTTCCCAACACACGTGTCCTTTCCTTATCCTGACAATCGACTGCAACGCCTGCACCTCATTCCCCACATTAGTCACTGACCAGTCGTATGCATAACTCCTCCTAAATACCTCCCATGCCTACCATACTCTTGGAATTCACACCCTCACCACCTTCTTCCAGTCCTCCCTTCTTGCCTGGCTGACTCAATCAGCCTCCAAATCCGCTCTAGGCAGCCTCCTCCCTTCCACCTTTCATACAGCAGGCAGAGGTGTCTTCCTTTAACACAGCTCTGACCATACCCATGCTCTGCGGCTTCCCACAGTAAGTTTGAGGTCCTGGGTGTCATATGTGAGGCCATGGTTGGGCCTGCCCTGCACCTCTTCTTCAGGGTCTACTCCCACCCAACCTGGCGTACTGCAAAGTTATGCTGCCATATCCTTCTGGATTCACTTCTGCTCTCCTGCTCTCACTCAATGTACTATAATCTTTTCCAAACCAGGCCTGACTCCACTTGGTATTCTCAGTGATGGGCAGAGAATGGCTCTGAATGCTGGCTTTAAATGAATAAAAGAACTGAGCATGATTTTTAAAAAAATGACATGAAAATCATACTAACACATTATATGTTAATGTAATGAAAGAGAAAAGTGTACCATGATTTTGCTATTTTCTTCTTTATCCAAATATTGGTCACTGAACATGTGACAGGAGCCAAGCACTGCCAGCTTCCCACCTTGGTTCTGTTGATGACAAAACAGTGTCAAATAGTCAAGTTCCCAAATGTGCCATGTATATCCAAGTCACTCCCCTTAACAGAATCATGTGAGCAACCAATTCACATCAGGATTTAACAGTCTAGAAATATTAACCATATTCCAGCCTGACTCTCATTTTAGATACCTCTAGATTCTCTTATTTGACATCCACAAAAAGTACTGTGAACTGGTTCTACAGCATTTCCCCATTGTTATCTTATGTAAAGATCATAATTCTAAAGGAAAAAAAAAGATAAATCCAAAGATAATCTGTATGAATAAAAGACAAGTATGAGTACCAAAAGGTATTTAACCAAGACCCAAACAGAAAACTAAGCCACAGCATGAAAAATTCACCAAAGATCTAAGAACTAACTAAAAAGAAAAAAAATTCAATGTTAATATTTTTAATAAATGAAAGAAAGTATTTTGCCTATGAGAACAGTAAATATGAAAAATAACTATAAACAGTATTGGTTAAGTTTCAAAAATTCAGATTACTCCTGAAATTGTCAACAGATGCAACAAAACAGTCTGAAATAAACCAAAAAACTCATGTATAACTTTATAGTCATAATCACAAAAAATTAGAAAGAAATCCAAAGTCCAAATACAGAAAAATGGTCCCTGGACCCTCTTTTGGTGGTTAAGTTTTCAGTAACATGTAAATACTTCTGTCGTAATATTTGGTTGGTTGGTTGTTTTTTAAAAAAGGGCATGACATAATTTGTACATCTATCCTAGTTTAAAGATTTTGAGGCAAATACACAAAAATGAAGCAAAAGCAAAAATGGGAAAGAAGGAACTTAAATGATCAGCCTGGGCTGCTTAGAGCAGATGGCTGCCTCAGAAAAATGGGCAGGCTGGTGCTGTGTTTTTCAGCATGTCTACAGTTGATTATGTAACACATTTGTTTTTTTGTTTTGTTTTTTTTTAAGATTTATTTATTTATTTTTACAAGCACTGGGTACAGTCAGAAGCGCGGGAGGGTGAGAGAATTCACCAGAGTCAGAGAGGAGAGCAGAGCAGGCAGACTGACAAAGTACACTGCTGAGGGGAGCAGCGGGCAACAGGAGAGGTCTGCGCACCATGTGGGACCCTCTCCCTGCAGCCAGGGATTGAGCTGGCGCTGCAGAGGCTGCAGGCAGCTTCACAACCCAGCGCTCAACCGCTGCGCCACTGGGTAGGCGCCAATTATATATCACATTTGTAAGAAGAAAAAGAGTACAATATTAAAAACACAAAATGAGACCAGTTTTTCAGGCAAAATCACATACAGGAACAGGCACTAAGGAAGAATTAAATCTAAGTGAGAAATATCGAAAGATACAAATCCACAATCTCCATAAATAAAATGGAAATTTCAAAATAGACTTAACACTACATGAAAAACAAATGCTTCTTAGGAAAAAAAAAATCATATTATTACTTTACCCTAACCATTAAAGAGAGATCAGCTACTGAGAAGAGGAAGTGAATTTGGTGGAATTCTACAGGGAGAAAGGGGAAGTGACTGAATTGAACTGTGCTGTGATTTCAATCTACATATGTAAGGAAATATGGGAAGAGAAAGAACTTTTCCTTCTTACTACTAATCACATTCAAGCTTTTCTTTAATGCTATTTTATTTTTTCTTCCTACCTCATTTATTTCAAATAGATTATAGATCTTTCCTTAATCCTTCTATTCTGTCCTGATGGGATTCTACCATTACCTTCAGCATTTTCCCAGCATTTGTCTGTAATTTGTTCCAATTAAATAAGAGTATCTCTACTTAAGGACTGATGTGCCCCTTCAGTGAGTCAAAGGAGTCTATCCCAGTAAACGAAAAACCTAGAAAATGTCACAGTAAGGTCAGTGAAGGCATGCACCCTGAGCGGGGAGGCAGAATGCCCAGTGTGAACCTGCCAGTGCTCTTGGTCTCCAGGATGGAGTGGACCTCTCTTGGGGAACACTGGGTTCATCTCACAAACTTAAGAGTGAAGGGCAATAGTGCCTCCCGGGAGGCGCAAGGGGTTATATCTCAGGACTATCAAGCTATTGGTAGCCACTGCAGCATGAGTTCTATCCCCTGGCCAGGGAGCTAACCCAGATGGCACACAGACTTCTCCTGTCTTGTCTACTGTTCCCCTCAGCAGTGTGTTTCAGTGGGTCTGCCTGTTCTGCTCCCCAATCTGCCTCTGGTGAATCCTCTTATTCCTGGTCTATACACTAGCTCTTATATGCATAAATAAATAAGTCTTAAAAAAAAAGAGCGTGAAGGACAATAAACTCTGAAAAAAATTGTTTATCAACCTGCAAATATGAGTAAATGGGTATTATTTATTTTATTTTTTTTTAAAGGGAACTCTGGGAAATGTAGTTCTTTTTTTTTTTTTTTAAAGATTTATTATTTATTTATTTATTTATACAAGCACTGGGTACAGTCAGAAGTACCGGCGCTGCAGAGGCTGCAGGCAGCTTCACAACCCAGCGCTCAACAGCTGTGCCACCGGGGAGGCCCAGTAAATGGGTTTTAAATGGTTAGATAGGAATATGATGTTCTCCTGTGAATTGCCACACTTAACAGCATTCTGAGCCCAATGGATACTCCATAAAAACCCAACAATAACATTGAATAAAACTTATATGCACAGTTAAGAGATAAAATAATTATCGTTTTAGTATTAAACAATCAAAAGCCCCTTAAAATAGTGTCTTAATACTTTTGTGTCTATAAGCTAACAGTTTATGTAAATGAATTTTTTCCACATTCTGAATCATTTAATAATTTACCCTAGTTTAATATTTATAGCTGTTTGGGAAAGGTTAGCTACTATAATAGCTATATGAATTTTGTCTAAATATGACCTTTCAAAAATAGCATAGACATTTATTTACTTGCTAATTAGATGAAGCCAAAGTTTTTAAAAATGAGAGGGAAAGGTAATACCTAAGTCCCACAAAGAAGTGGAATTATGAAGAACTTAGAGACATTTGGGGCCCTGGAGAAAAACTGCAAGGTCTGCTGGTGCACTGTCTCAGGGGACAAATGAAACCACCAGTGAACTAAAAGGCAGTGTAAAAGTGGGGTCATAATGAGGAGGGCTGTGTCCTTGGCAATCACCTGTACCCACATTTTGTCAGATCTCCAGGATAAGAACTGGTCAACTGGTCTTCTGATATCTTTCCTGGGACAATTCTGTGCATTTCGTGTAGTTTAACCCACCCTTTCCTTAATGAATTCTCTCAAGTTGAGAGTGTCCGTAGTCATAGGACATAATATAGCCTCATGCTATACTTGAAAAGCTTTGGATTTAGAAAGATAAAAGGCAGGTTTGAGCCTTGACTCCACCAATTACTAGACAACCCACGGTTTCCCCATGAAGTAAAAGGCAAGTAACAGAGATAATACTTAGGAAGACTATTGTGAAGATCAATGAGGAAATGTCTGAAACTCTCAGCAGTGGTGGGTAATGCAGTTTTTACTATTTCAATGATACAAATAGCATATCCACCCATATCTAAGGAAGACTGTACCTTTGAATGATAGAAAGCCAAAATGGGTCTGTTAAGTGGGAAACACACAGAGCCTGTGGACAGGACAGCCACTGCTGGTTTCATGACATTCAGTGTGGCGCCAAAAGGGTAGACAAAGGTGAGGGCCCTGTAAGAAATTAAAGAAATATTAAAAAAAAAATAAAATTGGAAGCTAATGTCAGTGTTTCTTAAGTAATTAGCCATCAAATATAAAATTTCTTCTATGCTTTCTTTGGTTTATTGACTCAAAATCCGTATAACTCTAGCTTCAAAGTTAATTAAGCATTTTAAGAAATATGAAAGTAAATTAACAATTTATAATCCTATATGCAAGTGACAGGAAGAACTGCATCAATACCACATCAATTATAAAACTTTGTATTTTTTAACTACATAAACACATTCAACTTCTACAGGGCAAAATGCCTCAAAGTGAAAAGGTAAATTCAGGAAAATATTTGCAGATCTTATAAGTGAATAAGAAAAAAAAAAAATCAACAGAAAAATGGTCAATAAGCAGTGAATAGGAAATTCGGTCAGTCAAGAGACTTTAAGGGATTCCTTGGTGGCGCAGCGGTTGAGTGCTGGGTTGCAAAGCTGCCCGCAGCCTCTGCGGTGTCGGTTCGATCCCCAGCTGCTCCCCAGCCACTGGAGGAGGGTTCCACATGGAGTGTAGACCTCTCCAGCCGCCCGCTGCTCCCCTCTGCAATGTACTTCGGTCCTTCTGCAATGTACTTCGGTCCTTCTGCCTGCTCTGCTCCCCACTCTGGCTCTGGTGAATTCTCTCATCCTCCCGCGCTTCTGACTGTACCCAGTGCTTGTATAAATAAATAATTTAAAAAAAAAGAGACTTTAAAAGGCCATCCTATTCACTAGTTTAACTTGCAAAGAAACGCAAGTTAGAGAGTATTTTCTTACATTTTAAAAGGATAGGTTTATTAGGAAAAGGAGAAAAAAAAAGAGACCTCTGCATAGTCACAGGTGGGCAGGCGAGCTGCCAAAAGAGTATTTTCACGAAAATATCCCATGCTGGCAAGAGCAGTAAAAAGGATGCGTTCATAGGGACTATAAGTACTACAAACTATGTGGAGGGTGATTTGCCAACCTATCACATTTGGCAATGCATCAATCAAGAGACCCTTGACACAGAAATGCCAATGTTAACAATCCAGTCTGCTAAAATATTAGTACAAATTGTACATATAAAGATGATTTTTTTGTGCTTTATTATTTATAACAAATATAAAACTATAACAATAAAGAGAAGAATACAGGCATGGAGCAGGATGCCCAGGATTGAAACTAAGTTCTAACACTCATCAGTTAAGGGAGTTTGAATAATTAAACTGTTATCTCATCTATAATTTTATAGAATTGTTGCTGAAGATTAAACGAGGCAATTCATATCGATCACATAATTAAGTGCTCAATAATATTAGTAAAGCAAAATATTAAACTGCTTTAATGTTTCATAGGAGATTGGTCAGGTAAGTTAGGATACATTCAATTTTTGCCAATCATTAAAAGGATATGATAGGGCCTCCCCGGTGGCGCAGCGGTTGGGCGCTGGGTTGCGAAGCTGCCTGCAGCCTCGGCAGCGCCGGTTCGATCCCCAGCCGCTCCCCGGCCGCCGGAGGAGGGTCCCACATGGCGCGCAGACCTCTCCTGCCGCCCGCTGCTCCCCTCAGCAGTGTACTTCGGTCCTTCTGCCTGCTCTGCTCCCCGCTCTGGCTCTGGTGAATTCTCTCACCCTCCTGCGCTTCTGACTGTACCCAGTGCTTATACAAATAAATAAATAAAAATAAATCTTAAAAAAAAAAAAAGGATAAGATAGATAAGTATATATATTATATATATAGTGTATATATATATATAAAAAATTCTAGAAAGCTAAATACCATACTGTTTGTTTGTTTTTTAAGATTTATTTATTTATTTATTCATACAAACACTGGGTACAGTCAGAAGCGCGGGAGGGTGAGAGAATTCACCAGAGCCACAGCAGGGAGCAGAGCAGGCAGAAGGACAGAAGTACACTGCTGAGGGGAGCAGCGGGAGGCAGGAGAGGTCTGCGCGCCATGCGGGACCCTCCTCCGGTGGCCGGGGAGCAGCTGGGGATCGAACCGGTGCCGTGGAGGCTGCGGGCAGCTTCGCAACCCAGCGCTCAACCGCTGCGCCACCGGGGAGGCTCTAAATACCATACTGTTAAGACTGATTAACTTGGAGAGAAGAAAATGAATTTACAGTAGAAGACTTCTATTCTACTTTCTTCCTTTTGAAACATTCACATTGGGTTTTTTTGTGAGAGTTATTTATGTAATCAGAAATTAAAACTTCATTTTGAAAAAGAAGACTCTTCAGGCGACCTCAGAGAACACACTCACTGGGTATTGTTTCCACTGCCCTCCTCATCGATGATTCCAGGCACAGCCTTCCCAGCAGCTCGGCTAATTTCCCTTGAAGGAAAAAATTAAAATCAGTCAACAAAAAAGTTGGGACTTCACAGTGCATTCATTAACACTAATAATGAAGAGGATGCACTGAATTTGCAGACTTCCTCAAGACACAACTCTTAAAAATTAAAGTACACGCACACATCTCTTTGGGAAGCTTGCAGAAGTTAATGTTAAAATATAACGGTAAGTTCCTCTTGAGTCGAAGGAGGGGTCCATTTCTAGATCCACATACTAGTTCTATGTTCTAGACTCTGTTATCATCAGACTCAGCAGAGTGCCTGGCACTCAAGTATGGAATCCTTTTGATTAAACGAAAAAGCTCACAGAGAGAACTTGATATTGTTCCAAAGTCCCTCATTCATATTTCAGGATCTAGTGGATCAGAAAAAACGAACTTCATCCAAGCTGCTAGGGTAGAGAATAGGACTGGCCCACAGTGACCAGCTCAGGATGGGCATGTGGCCTAAACCAGGTCTAACAGAGCAAATCTGAGGCCTATTGCTGGGTATGCCGGAACTAAGGCATGCTCTCTTGTCCTGATATGAGTTTGGCAACTGTTAAAACTATTCTCCACCTCCACCTCCAGGACAGCAGAGCCACAAAAACTGCAAAAAGATAGAACTAGAACCCTGCTCTCATCATGAATCTTTCAATCTATACCCAATACCTGCCCTATTTCTGAGCTTTTCAATCACCCATCCAATGGAGTTTATTGTTTAATCCCATTTGACCAGGATTTTTTATTACTTGCAACGGAATGTATTTTAACTGCCAGGAAGGTAAATGAGTAAGGTTTCAAAAGGTAGAAGGAATTTAATTTGTTGGATGAGAATAACAAATAATAATAAAATAAAACAATAAGGCAAGAAAAGGAAGAGGACCAGTGAAAAGAATGTGTGAGAAGAGATGAAAGCAGATTTATGTAGGAAAGAAGAAAGTCTTTTGTAAAAACATTTCCACATTTGCCATGCTTACCTGTTCAAGACTCCATTGGAAACTAGAGCTTCTTTAGGATGGAAATATTTATAATATACATTTCTAACCACAGCATCTTTAAGGGGAAAAGACAGGAAGATACATTTTAGATTAGAAATAAATTTTATTATAAATACACACAAACTCTAGCCTGAAAGGAAGCCTGAAACTCTGTTCCAATTCCCCTTCTTTTATAAGTGAAAGAAGCCTGGGTCCAGGAAGCTCAGATTGCTAGTGAGTCTAGAATGCTAAGCCACATACCCTCAGTGGAGGGCTTTTCATTGTACTAATAGGCCCAGAGGGCTACAATAGGAATAATAAATTAAAAAAACAAAACAAAAACCAGTGCCTCTATTAAAATAATAATAATAATAATAATTACCATTATTAACCATGATTCCATATTCTTCTAGAAGAAAGTTAATATTGGTGTCAAATCTGGATTCCCCCCCCTCTCCTAGCATCACAAAGATATCTCCACCACCTTCAAGGTATTTCTTCAGGACTTCAAACTAGGCAAAGAAAATAAAAAAACAACAATCTATGACTATACCCAAAAGACTTTTGTCCAAAATGCTATGAACAAAACTTAAAAAAAATTATTCCATAACATAGGATAAAAGGCAGTTTAATTGCAAATGGAATTTTCCCATTTTCAAGGCAAAAATAGAGTAAAGAAGGATGGCTATTATTTAATTCGCTTGCTGTATGTGTCTGACACTTCACATTTATTATCTCATTTAATCATCACAGCAACTCCATGACGAGAGAGATGAAGTGATCACCTTGAAGTCACACAGTAAGTGGTGAAGTGGGATTTAACCAGGATTTCACAGTTATGTTCCTAACCACCTCATCATATTTCTTCTTCTTTTCTTTTTAAATTTTTTTTGAGATTTATTTATTTATACAAGAACTGGGGTATAGGTCAGAGGCATGGGAGGGTGAGAGAATTCACCAGTGACAGAGCGAGGAGCAGAACAGGCAAATGGACCAAAGGCACTGCGAGGGGAGCAGCGGGCAAGGCAGGAAAGGTTTGCCACGCCATGTAGGTTTCTCCCTGGCTGTCCAGGAGTCGAACCACGCTGCAGAGGCTGTGGACAGCTTCACAGCGTGGCGCTCAACCCACTGTGCCACCGGGGAGGTCCCATATTTCTTCTTTATGAACAGTTCTTACCTCAGCTGCAGTAAATTTTTCCCTTGGCCCAGCTGTAATCCACAGTTTCACCCCAATTAGCTTCTCGGATGTGATTTCATCTTTTAGGCTAAAAATAAAAATTTAAAAGCAAATATTAGATGTTTAAATTAAACCAATTTATGGGTTATTTTAGTCTCTAGTCTGTATTGAATCAGAGACCACAGAGCATTAGAGGTACCTGGTCCAGCCTCTCTCCCAAAATGAGAATCTAGGATGCCCCAAAGTCATCAGCCTCCGCTCAAGTAATTCCATAAGCAAAGTGTCCAAATTCAACCTGGCCAGTGCAGTATCCTCCAATCACTAATTCAATCAGCTCTACCATTAGCTTATCGATTACATATCCTTACCTACTAAGAAAATACATACACACACATTTTTCCTTTCCCTAGACTGAAGTATTGGCCCCAGTTAAAATATGGAGAAATGGGCCTCCCCGGTGGCGCAGCGGTAGAGCACTGGGTTGCGAAGCTGCCCGCGGCCTCTGCGGTGCCGGTTCAATCTCCGGCTGCTCCCCGGCCACCGGAGGAGGGTCCCACATGGTGCGCAGACCTCTCCTGCCGCCCGCTGCTCCCCTCAGCAGTGTACTTCGGTCCTTCTGCCTGCTCTGCTCCCCGCTCTGGCTCTGGTGAATTCTCTCGCCCTCCCGCGCTTCTGACTGTACCCAGTGCATGTATAAACAAAACAAACAAACAAGCAAACAAATAAATAAAGAAAAACATGCCTCTGTTAAAAAAAAAAATCTTTTAAAAAAAATATGGAGAAATGCTTTAAATTCTTAAAACACTGGTATGTATAATTTTTTGATTTGTAACTCGGGGGACAACTCAATAATATATTTGCCAATTTTCAAAGAAATATTTTAGTAATTATTTACTTCTGAACAATCTTTCAGTTGAGTTTCTCTCACCACCCAATCTCTTCAATAAGAAAATGAAGACTTTTCAAAGTTACCAGCAGGCCATTATTATTGAGAAAGGAAAAGAGTACACACAGTCACCTCTGGATCTTCCAATTACTCCGAAGTCTTTTCTGCATGGATTTATAGCCATTGTTGGTAGTAAACACCTCTTTTTTGTATGCATTGAAAAGAATGGTGCTCCTAAGCTCTTTCTCCATGGCTACCTTATGGAAAAAAGGGGTCAAAATAGGGAAACAATAAACATGATTCCAAAAGAAAGATCCCAAAAAGAATAGTTGCCTTCTCCTAATTTATCAAGGAAGAGTATACAGCTGCAACCCAGCTATGAAATCCCTAGTTTACAAAGGTGGAGAGTGAAATGCATAGCAGACAAAGAAAGCAAAGTTTTGGGCTTTCGCCTCCTCTTGTCCTGGTCTTCCTCCCAGCCTAGCCTCATGGCCCTGCCCTGCTTCACCCTACTCTTGTTTCCAACCTGATTCCTCATTGCTAATTTTTGCTAAGTGTGGGTTCAGACTTCTAGGTTCTTTTTATACATACATTAAGTTTTATTTTACAAACTAATTTGACTATATGCACCATTATTCCTAGCATGCATACCATGTTCTGCAACACATTTTCACCTAACCTTGTATTTTTCATGACTTTCCATGTCAGTACTAATGGATCTACCAAATTCTTTCTAACTGCTTTACAATAGTCCTTCTTCTGGATGTACCATAATTTATTTAACCAATCATATACTGATAAACATATTTATTTCCCTCAAATTCTTTTTTTAATAGACCAATGCTATAAACATGATCCCTGAACCCATCCGTTTTTATGCTATTTGTGGAATAAATTCCTACTTACTAAAAGCTAATTTCCAAAATCCTCTCCATAACACTACTAATTTTTATTTCCACTAATACTTTGTTTCCACACATTCCTATGCATGTTTTCCAATCTTTTCCAATCTTTGCTAATAAGATGGAGGGAACCCTCATTATTGGTTTAACTCACACTTTGAAATAAGTGAGATGACTCACTTTCATTGTGTATATTGATCACTTATTTCTTCTGAATTTCTGTATTCATGTATTCAGTTCATGTTCCTATTGGTTTTAATATTTTTCTAAATTGATCATTAAACATTTTCATAAATTTGTCTTTAGAGTTTTATAATATTTCTTATTTATTTATGCATATAAGAAAGGGGGTACAGGGCCTCCCCTGGTGGCGCAGTGGTTGAGCGCTGGGCTGCAAAGCCACCTGCAGCCTCTGCAGCACCAGTTAGATCCCCGGCCAACGGGTGAGGGTCCCACATGGCGCGCAGACCTCTCCTGCCGTGCCCGCTGCTCCCCTCAGCAGTGTATTTTGTCTGTCTGCCTGTTCTGTTCCCCGCTCTGGCTCTGGTGAATTCTCTCACCCTCCCACGCTGCTAACTGTACCCAGTGCTTGTATAAATAAAGAAATCTTTAAAAAAAAAAAAAAGAATGGGGGTGCAGGCCAGAGGTGGGGGGGGGTTGAGAGGATTGACCAGAGAGAGTAGGGAGCAGAACAGGTGGATCTACTGAAACATAGTGCTAAGGGGAGCAGCAGGCAAGACCAGGCCAGGGATCAAACTCATGCGGCAGTGATTGCTGATAGCTTGATAGTACTGAGACTTAACCCTTTGCATCACCAGGGAGGTCCCATAAATTTGTTTTTAGACTTAGCTGATTGGAGATTTTTTTTGTTTAGTTGAATTTTGCAGGCTATACAGAAAGTTTTCAGTTTTGTATGTTTCCTTTCTGATAACTGGATTGCCAACTTATTTAGAAGAGTATTTGCTAAATTACAACAAATGTTGGCGAGGGTGTGGAGAAAAAGGAACTCTTCTGCACTGTTGGTGGGAGTGCAAACTGGTCCAACCACTATGGAGAGCTGTGTGGAGATTTCTGGACCTACTAAACATAGAGCTTCCATATGATCCAGCAATTCCACTCCTAGGTATTTACCCAAAGGACACAGAAACATCAATTCCAAAGAACACCTGCACCCCTATGTTTATAGCAGCACTGTTTACAATAGCTAAGCTTTGGAAACAACCCAAATGCCCAAAAATAGATGACTGGATCAAGAAGATGTGGTACATATATACCATGGAATATTACTCAGCATTCAAAAAAGATAAACACATGCAATTTGCAGCAACATGGATGGCGCTGGAAGGGATCATGCTCAGCGAAATAAGCCAAAAAGAAAAAGAAAAATACCGGATGGTCTCACTCATAGCAGGAATCTAGAAAACTTAAATAAGGGACCAGGAAAATGAATATAAGAAAGTGAAAATCAAAATCAACAAAAAACTATGAACCAGAGACACTTTTTGGGGGGTGGAGGGCGGGAGGGGAAGGATTGGGGTCAGAATGGGGCGTTTGCAATTGTATGGGGGAATATAAAAATAAAATTTATTATTTAAAAAAAAAAAGAAAAATCAACTATAAAAAAAAAAGAGTATTTGCTAAATTTATGAATATATCCAACAGCACTTTCTTCTTCCAGTAGTTTTATGATGTCATGTTTTAAGATTTAAATTTTAGTGTATTTGTAATTGATTTTGTTGGCTCAAAATGAATTTGGTCATTGTTTTTAAAAATTATTAGAAAGTCACCTAACAACCCATCTTTTCAATACTGGTTTAAAAAAAAATTTTTTTTTTTAATTAAAAATAAAAAAGCATCTTGACTACATAAAAAACTCCTATAAGCTATCTGCCTATAGTGCCTGCTCTGTTCCATATTATTTTAATTACTATAGCCTTATATCATGTTATAAAAATTTTTTTTTAATTAAAAAAAAATTCCTGGTTAGCCTCACCTCACTTTCTCACATAGTCTTTCAATTGAACTTTAAAAACATTTTTCAAGTTAAAAAAAAAAAAAAATCCCCCCAAGATCCCACCACAGCAATCTTTACACGTTCCATTCTATCTGTGTATGTGCCTAGTTTCTGCGTGAGTGCTTAGTTTCCGTGTGAATATACAATGTTGAATTTTGCTTTCTCCGGTTTTCTAAAAGGAAGCTTCATGATTAGCTTAGTGGCTGTGAAACAGCAAAGGGGGCAGGGAGTACTAGTTGATCAGTTTGGTGGGTCCTCATCAGAGCTTAGGCATGCAGGACAAGATCCAAAGCAGACCAACAGTGAGAAACAACAGTAACAGGATTTATTTACACAGCAAGTGATAAAAGGGAGAGCTGAGCGAGAATTTATGAGCTAGCGCGTGGTCAGATGCTGTCTGTCCACCCTTAGAGTCAGGTGAGCAGAGACGCAGGTGCAACCTGAAGCCACACCCGTGGCAAGCTTGCAGCCTCCCCACAACACCCTGGACCTCGGTAGCTACAAGGCCTCTCAGCGGGCTCCGAGGTTGCCCCTCACTGTCCCCTTACAGTCCATGATGTGATGTACTGCGTGATTATGCCACAGTGAACTCAATCACTACCTTCATGAGCATATTTAAAATTTTTTTGCTATCCTACTACGGACTTACAAGGCTCTGCTTTTGCCATTGGTTTACTCTTGCCATAGGACAGATTCCTAGCAGCTGGACACCTAGGTAAGGGGGTTGATGCTAAAATAGTAAGATTCGCGTTCAACGCTCTTTCACAGCTCAGCAGGACGACAAATCCGCGCAGCCCGAGGCGATGGAGATCCCGCCCAGTTCCAGATCGGAGATCCCGGCCTACACCTGCGACCCCTCTTTACCCCCGCGGACCTCGATTTTCCATCAGACTTGGCCCAGAGGCCTCGAGGACAGTCCGGCGAGGTCCTCTTCCGCTCCCAGCGGCCCCCCGGCGGCCCCATCACAGCGGGAGCCCTCTTACCTGAGGCCCAGTGACCACCATCTTCCCCTGGCTCCGCCCAGCATCCATCGGCCAGGTATCCACGGCCGCCTAGCAACCGCGGAGACCCGGCGGCGCGCCGGGAAGGCGTGGACCCGCGCGTAGACGTACCTCCGGAGCGACGTGATGACGACAGAAGGGGCGACGCCAGTTGGCCTCAAGAGTCCGGGGTAGAGGTGGTCGGTGGGGGCGGGGCTAGTGGGGGACTGTACCATTATTGGGGGGGTTGTACCATTATTTTGAATGAGGGGTAAATTCAAACTAGATGGTGGATCAAGTTCAGGCCACAGATAAACCAATTTAATTTTGCCCTTTAATTTCAAGTCTTATTAAAGACTGATTAAAAAACTGGTAGTCCTGAAGGACTAAACTTGGCTTCCCCTCGAGAGAGAAGAGTGAAGGATTCCGGGGAGCGCGCAGCGCCCCAGCCGCGAGCCCCAGCGCGCAGGCGCAGGGCGGAGCTTGGCGGCTGCGATCCTGGAGCTGGATCGGGCGGTCGGGCTGCTGCGAGCGCGCGCTGGAGGCTTCCGGGAAGCCTGGGGAGCCTTCCCTGGGGATGGCGGGCAGGGTTAGCGGTTGGAATAGTAGTAGCAAGAGGGCCTCCCTGGTGGTGGCGCAGGGGGTTAAGCACAGCACCATGAAGCTGTCTGCAGCCTCTGCAGCACGAATTCGATCCCCGGCCGGCCAGGGAGCTACCCACATGGCACGGCAGACCTCTCCTGACTCGCCCGCTGCTCCCCTCAGCAGTGTATTTCAGTTGATCTGCCTGTTCTGCTCCCCACTCTGTCTCTGGTGAATCGTCTCACCCCCAGCACCTCTGGCCTGTAGCCTAGTTCTTGTATGCATAAATAAATCTTTAAAAAAATAAAGAATAGTAGGGCCTCCCCGGTGGCGCAGTGGTTGAGCGCTGGGTTGCGAAGCTGCCCGCGGCCTCTGCGGCGCCGGTTCGATCCCCGGCTGCTCCCGGCCACCGGAGGAGGGTCCCACATGGCGTGCAGACCTCTCCTGCCGCCCGCTGCTCCCCTCAGCAGTGTACTTCGGTCCTTCTGCCTGCTCTGCTCCCTGCTCTGGCTCTGGTGAATTCTCTCACCCTCCCGCGCTTCTGACTGTACCCAGTGCATGTATAAACAAAACAAACAAACAAACAAATAAATAAATAAAAAAAAAAAACATGCCTCTATAAAAAAAAAAAAAAAAAAAAAAATTAAAAAAAAAAAAATAAAGAATAGTTCCAAGAGGTATTTTATTCTCTTTGGTTATTAGCCTGCATCTCTGAGTGCCACAGTGCCCGCATCCCTGAGCGCCACAGTGCCAGACCCAGGAGGTGACAGAGAACCTGCAGTCTAGGTGGCCCCAGGCAGGGACTTTAGACGTGGCTAGATCAGACTGTATATAGCTATATCTATAAATACACACATAAATACATACATATGTCTAAAACGCCCCGCAGAGCAGAGGTGAGAAGAGAGTGGTATTCATTAAGGCAAGGCCTGGGGAAGGGCGAGCCCGCCAAAGGAATTGCTTATGCCAAAGACCCATCCCACGTATAGATTGTCTTGCCAGCGCCGGTGAAATGAGAAACCAGAAAAGAGCTCTACAAACAGGCCATTCCTCTCCAAAGGAGTGCTCAGCACCTGCCCTGTGAGAGAGTGGACTTGTGTGCAATGCTCAAACGAATACAAGCAGAGAAACCCATCAGTTTTGATTTACATTTCTGTTGCTTACAATCATCAACATATGCAGAGTAGGAGTTTTAAGATTTTAAAACACACAACTCTTATTGCCTTGCACAACTACTGTTGCCACAACAAAAAACTATGAAAAGGATGATTGAGAATTCTATTTCTGGGGTTGCTGTATTTTGGTGCAAAATAGGATGGCTACAGTTTGCACCTAGGGATATAAGTGGAAGTGATGGAGGCTGTACCACTGGAAGTTTGGAACAGGTCTTGGGAGCCTTCTGCCTGTGTGTAGCCAGTGTTTGCTATACTTGAAAGAGTACCCCACTAGAGCACATCTCCCTCTGCTGGAGGTTGTAGAAAGAGTAGGGTTTTAGCACCGCCTGCCACCAACTTCAATTCTTGGCTGTGCCTAGTACCAGTTGGGTGACCTTGGGCAAATTGCTTAATATCCCCAAGTGAATGTTTCTCTTCTGCAAAGATAACAATTTCCAAATGCTGGCCTAGGTGTAACATGATCTAGTCACTACTGTAGTTTTTCTTTATTTTTATTTTCTATCCTGGTGAAAATTTTGTGATTTTGCAACCAAAGGACAAATTGAACTATTAGTTGTTTCACAACCCATAGTGGATGGTGCCATTTTGGAAGTACTACGAGTTTTCTTACAATTAACACTTTTTTTTTTTTTTGCTTTGGGAAGTTGGGGAAATTTTGGCCTCTCCCTCATCGTGTTTCACATTTACCATTAGGATGGAAATCAAATCAAAGCATAACAACTCTCCCCATATAGCTTTGATTGCTAGTAGGTCAGTGTCATTGGTCTTCTATGTCCTTCCAGCTTCATGCTCCATCATTTCTGGGGCAGGGGCTGGTTAACAAAAGTGGAAGGGGAAGAGTGGGACCTAACAGGGACCTAACAGCCAGGGCGAGGGACAGACCAGCATTAGGTTCCAGGAAAGAGTCCCAACCTGCTCATATGGCACCACATCCCAGCTCTCACCTGTATTAGTAATGTGAACTTTCAGGCAAAGGAAGAGTGGGAATGAGTTAAAAGGAAAAGGCGATAAAACCACCAGCACACATGGGTGGTAAGAAAGTTCCTCCCCTGTGCACAAACCAAAAGGCTACCAAGACCGCCCTGAAGTAGGTAATGAATCACAGGTTTGTGAAAAAGAAACCACTTTTTCCCTGAAATAAGGCATTATGAGACATCCTCCAAGAGCAGGTGTCCTAGTTTCATAAGGCATTATGTGCTTATGCCCGGCCTGGGAAGAATTAACCTTTGGAAATGGCTAATCCTGAACACATGGTGTTCCATGGGTGGCCAGAAGCTCTGGTCACCAAGCCTGCACCAGCCTCCAGGTCCATCCAAACCCAGGACTCTCAGGGCCTCCCCAGTGGTACTGTAGGTTGAGCACAGTGCTGTGAAGCAATCCGCAGCCTCTGCAGCGTGGGTTCAATTCCCAGCCGGCCAGGGAGATTCCCATACGGCACGGCCCTCCTCTCCTGTCTCGCCCGCTGCTCCCCTCAGCAGTGTCTTTGGTCCCTCTCCCTGTTCTGCTCCCCGCCGTCTCTGGTGAATCCTCTCACCCTCCCGTGCCTCAGGTCTGTATCCCAGCTATCGTATAAATAAAAAATAAATCTTTAAAAAAAAAAACAAACCCTGGACTCTTCATGGCCTTACACCTGCCAAGCATTCGGGGGTCTGAGAGATAGAGCACAGATGAACTTGGCAGCCAGACTCAGACTATGAGCTTTGAGTTCGTGTCTTCTCTTGCAGACCCCATTTTTCACTACATAGTTTATTCCAGCCAGTTCCTGACCTAGCTGTCATGAGAGATTTTGACAGCCATTCTGCAGGGACCTAACAGCCAGGGCGAGGGACAGACCAGCATTAGGTTCCAGGAAAGAGTCCCAACCTGCTCATATGGCACCACATCCCAGCTCTCACCTGTATTAGTAATGTGAACTTTCAGGCAAAGGAAAACTTCTATGTCCCTATTCAGTGGCAAAAAGGGGTTAGAAACTGATAATAGACTTGAAAGAATAGCATAGAGACTGGCTTGGTATCATCAGGTGTTCTCAAGTTGACTTTGGCCAAGTAAGCAAAAAAGGAGTGTGTTAAAAGAATCAGAAGCTCTCAAATTCATTGGGAGAACTAAAGGATGAGGGTCAGAGCTTCCCAGGGATGACAGGCTTGCTCCCGGGGCACTGGCATGACGAAGCTGCTGCTGCCACCACCACTGAAGACCAAGTGCTACGACCAAGTGCTACCAATTCTACACCAGGAACTCTGTGTTTGGGGTACAGCTGCCTCAGCTGTCACATGAAAGAGAGCTCCCAGTCCCTCCTCTGGGTAAAAATCAGGCACAGGTGAGTCACGCGGTCACATTCCTGGCCCTTGCTGCAGGGAACCTGGAAAGATCAGCATCTTGTATTTTTAGGTACTGTAAATGGAGGTAGTAATTGCCCTTATCAAGGCTCATAAAGAAGGAGGATGCCAGGCAGGCACGCCTAATAACAAATGCCCATTACCACCCACAGCAAAGAAAGACACCATCAGTGTAGAAAATGAGCGGATGTGGTGATAGCCTCTATCTCGTTACATCGCTGTCATTTTATACACTGACATCAAAATCCAAACACCAAGAGGCCTTGTACTGAAGAGTGCTAGTTGCCCACCCGACAGTTTCTCCTCCCTTAGGGTCAGAACCCGTGTTGCTGGGGCAGTGATGTGCCTCCGTTATATATCTGGCCTCCATTACAGGTGGGGTGGGTGCCTAGCAAGATGTCAGTAGAAGTCACTGGGCGGGGCTGCCAGAAAGGTTCTGTAAAGATGCCGGTTTGCTTTTTTCTCCTTTTTCTCTTCCCAGGACACAGAAGTGTTGACTAGAATTCCTTTAACCATCTCGTAATAATGTGGCAATCCTAAGATTAGAAGTCATTTGCCAAGAATGGCAAAGATGCAGAAAGTCTCTGCATGCGTGATGCCCTTGGGACCAGTCCCAGTTGGGGACCTATCACTATTCTTTTATGTGATGGGCAGTTGGTTGCTAGAAGCTGAAGGTCATTTCTTAAAGATACCAGCAGGCATCAGTGGTTCCACGGGACCTTCTCTTCTAGCAGTCTAAGATGGTGTCATCCTCAGGGGCATAGGAGAATCCCAGGAATGCACTTGAGGCCCCCAAGCTGCTGACCGTGGTGTCAGGAGTGCAGCCGATGGACTTTGACACTGCTTCCTGGGTGAACTCTGGATCAAAGTGTTTCAAGTCAGCAGGACCTGCCTGTGAATATAAGCCAACAGTGAAAAGGGAAGCCTGGGGTCACAGCTGCCAAGGGATGCTAGGTCTCCCCCCTGTGCACCCCATGGGCACCCTTCACTGTCACCCATGCACTTGTATTAGTTGTTTTATTCCACAAGGCCTGGTGGTTACCACATATCAAGTCCTCTAACCCCTGGCACCTGATCCTCAGTCAAGTCTAGTCAACATGTATTTATGAGACGCCTACCAGGCACTGTTCATGGCACTGGGAATAGAGGGAAGCTAATCGATGAGTCCCTGCTTTCACGCAGTTATGTCAGGCAGGAAGTAGGAGGAAGAACAATAAGCATGTGCACAAACAGACAAGTAGCTACACTGGGGTGTTGATAGGTCTTAGGAAGAAAATAAAATAGGATAACATGGTCACGGGGCAGCTGTAGCTACTTGAGGGGAAGACTTGTGTGGGAGACAGCTGAGATGATCACAAGTTCTCCCTTCCCCGTTCAAAGCTGATCTGTTTCTCCATCCCTTTAATGTGGGTCAGCCATGTGACTTGCTCAGGTCAATGGGACAACTACCAAATGTGACGTAAGCCGAGGCTTCAAAAACATGGGGTGTTGTGCTCTTGCTGCACTTGGAACCCTGGGGCCACCGTGTGAACAAGTCCAGACCAGCCTACTGCAGAGGGAGATGCCTCCCGAAAGAGAACCCAGTTCCCAGCTGCCTGCCAACCACCAGGGATGGGAATGAGGCAATGCTAGGTCCTCACTGCCAGCTGGCCTGCCAGCTGACCACTGATGTGAGAGAGCCCAGCACAGCCCAGCTGGCCTGGCCCTGCAATGGGTCCCCACCCCCACCCCAGCTAGCATATGGAATCTGAATGACATAAAACGCTGTTCTAAACCATCTGGTTTTGGGTGACCTGTTAGGCAGCAGCTAAAGGACACAATCTCTCTGTGAAGGCTCAGTCTATGGACAAGAATGGACTACCTGGGTTCACTGAAGTAGCAGGGGAGCAATGGAAGGACCTCTGATCTGCTTTTGTCTCCAAGTCTTGGGCTGTGGGACCTGACAGACCATGGTCTCCAGTTTCCTCAAAAGGCCACATCGCACAATGGCCCCAGCCCTGGGCTCAGAGTTCCCAGACCAGAATGTGAATCCTGATCCTGGCCTTTGCTAGCTTGTGTGACGCTAGACAAGGCAAGTGTTTTCTGTTGATTTGTTTGTTTAAGCAAATGAAGGCTTTGTTAAGAAGCTCCCACATAGTAGGTGGCGGAACCAGGAGTTCCTCCCCAGTGGGTCTCAGTCTAAAGCCTACACACTGCATCTGTGACCTCCCTGTCTAGTACTTTGCATGCCACTCTCTCCAGGATGGATATTCAATATTATCCTCAGGCTCCTTTTCAGGTATCTGGACTGAGTGTATCCTCTCTGACCACTGTGGGCAAGAACCTGGCACTTAATGACAAGTTCATGAACTTGGACCAAAGGAAAGCTATAATCAGCAAGTCCACATGAGCAGTGAGGTGTGCAGACTGCTTGGACGGAGGGGGCTGGCACAGCTTAACATTGCACTTTATAGTGACCGAGAGAATGTCTGAGGTCTTCTTCCAATGAGGCTCCTTTCACTCACACACCATGGCTAATTAACATTTTTTTTTTTTTAAATAGAGGCATGTTTTATTTATTTATTTGTTTGTTTTTTTGTTTATACATGCACTGGGTACAGTCAGAAGTGCGGGAGGGTGAGAGAATTCACCAGAGCCAGAGCGGGGAGCAGAACAGGCAGAAGGACTGAAGTACACTGCTGAGGGGAGCAGCGGGCGGCAGGAGAGGTCTGCGCGCCATGTGGGACCCTCCTCCGGTGGTCGGGGAGCAGCTGGGGATCGAACCGGCGCCTCCGAGGCCGCGGGCAGCTTCGCAACCCAGCGCTCAACCGCTGCGCCACCGGGGAGGCCCTGCTAATTAACATTTTTAAAGGAGCCAGAATTCAAAGAAATATAATTAAAGCCATACAAGGTGCCATTTCTCATTTAAAAGCTTTGGAAAGTGAAAAACAGTTATAGTTGCACATGCTACAGAGAGTAAGGTGAGAGTCTACAGCAAACGCTGCTGATAGAAAGTATTATAGATTGCACTCCCAGCAAAGTGAAGGCAGTATGAATCAAGAAGCTAAAATAGTTATGAGCCAAGAAAGTGAAGAAGTTCATGTTCTTGATCTGGAAATGCCCCATCAGGAATCCATCTTAAGGAAATAATCAGAACTCTGGGCAAGATCAGTACTTAAAGACGTTCATCATCACATTATAATAAAGGGGAAAATAACAATCTAAAGTTCACTGTTAGGAGCAGGGTTGAGTAAATATTAGCAATGCAGTGTGGAAATATTATATAGTCAATAAAAGTTAAAAAGTTTTCCACTTGATTTGGGGATATCATGATAGTTTTAGCACAAAAAAAAAAGGAGAAACTATTAAAAGTGTGATTTAACTATGCAAAAAAAAAAAAAAAGAAAAGAAAAAGACTGGAAGGAAACATACCTAGAGCAGTAAGATTATAAACTTTTTCTCCTGGCTGTTTCAAACTTGTTTTACACTCTTTCGACAATGAATATATGTCATGTTTACTATCAGGATAAAAGCTAATCATAGAAAATAGATTAAAATAACATCACAGGGTGTGGCTTTGTATGTCTCCAAACACTTGACAGACTGTAAAGGGCTCAGAGGAAGGGACAGTGATGCTAGAAATAAGAGTGGCCACCAGAACTGCACAGCTCTACTGGCAGTCAGGTTTCTGGGTTCTAGACCTAATTCTGCCTTGAACTAACTGTGTGGCTTTGGACAAATCATTGAGCCTCTTGGGCCCTCAGTTTTCCCATCTGTAGAAAGAGTGTTGTCCCAGATACCCCCCTAAGCTTTCACCAGCTCTGGGAATCCCAAGAGTCCAGAATATGGTGCCTTACCACGTTTGGGTTGAAAGGTGGAGTCAGCCTCTTGTGGTACAAGTCATCCCAGTTTATAGGGCTGAAGAATACGTGGTTCTTTATCTCAAGCTGCAGGAAGAACGTGCTGATCAAAAAGTAATCTTCCCATAGGTCATGCCACCCTGCCCCCAACACCCCTGGAGCCCCAATTCTACCAGCAACTGACTGTACATGTTTTTTAAAATCATGCATATTTTGAAGGTACAAATTTCCACTTGGTAGGAGGGGTCTAGTCTTCACAAAAGTCCTGTTCTTTAAGCTGGTCAGTGAGAGAGGAGGCAGATGTTCTAAATGTTGTTTCACTTCATAGTATCTGACATGTGGGGATGATGGTGCACAGGCTTTAAAAGCACTTATTATGAGACCGGCACTGACTTTAATGCTATGCAGATGTTAATTCATTGATCTTTGTACTGTCATTACAGATGAGGAAACTGAGGCACACATAGAGAAAGGTTAAGTAATTTGCCCCAGGCTCTAAGGCAGTAAGAGGTAGAGGTTGCTGAACCCATGTCCTCTGCCTTAGTCCTTGCATCTCAGCCATGATGCTAGAAGAGAAAGCAAACCTCTAGGGAAAAAAACACTGTGATCTTCTTTTTAGAAATCCAAATTATCTTTGGTTGAGTAAAGAATGTTAGGTTATTTTTAAAGTGTTACTTTAACCAAAAAAAAAAAAAAAAAAAGCCATCAACTTGTTAAGAGAACAGACTCTGTCCAGAGTGCCTAGCTTGGGCAGTATAAGGAACAGACGTATATGAAAAACAAATCCAGTCCATTCTCTGCACAGAGGCAATGGAACTTCTTCAAACTTAAATTGGGTCTTATTATTCCCCTGCTCGAAATACACCAAAGCTTACCAGTCTGACCTTGTTCCTACAGCAGGACATTTGCACGTGCCACACCCCTGTATCTGAGATGCTTCCTCCCAGCTCTCTGCATGAGTAGCTCCTTCTCATCCTTAAGTCTCAGCTTAATTGTCACCTCGTCAGAGAGGACCTCCCTGATTGCCAGTGTCAATTCACCGCCTCCTATTATTGTCCATCTCACCTCATTGCTCATCTCTGTTCTCATATTTGTCACATTCTAACAATGGCCAATGTTGTCTGCCCTGCTGGAATAAACTCAGTAAAAGCAGAGACCCAGCTTATTGAATCCCTAGCACCTAGCACCCAGCTCAGTGTCTGGGACATAGTAGGTGCCCAGTAAATATTGTTGAATAAAAACTGAACAGAAGAAAGTAATCCAGCAGCCACAACTGAACTTCCTAATGAGGGAGTTAGCAGTGCCTGGGTTTAGAGGGCAGCTGGGTGTACAGCATGTGCTTGGAGCTGCCTCTGTAAGAAGCTGAGGCCCCCACAAGGGTCCAGTGCCCTGCGGGCAGGTCACCTACGAAGTCAGTTTTGGAGCCCAGCCGCTGCCGCTTGTCCTTGTGGAGAAGGCCCTGCAGGAGGTCACAGGCGGCCACAGTCCGGCCCCCGGGGATCTGTAGCGGCTGGTGCAAAATGTTCTCGTACATCTGGGACACATCTTGGCTGTAGAAGGGTGGCTGGTGAGAGAGGGAGAGATGCTGGAGGATCATCTGTACTGAAGTGGGCTCAGGGAGACTCAGAGCAAAGCCCAGAAGGACTCGGCCAGACCCAGGTCTTGCGCAGTGAGTGACTCATGGGAGGTTGGAGAGAGAGACAGATCTCCAGGCTGCCAGCACAGATGAGGGTGTTGCTGGGAAGGCCAAGAATTCTCTCCCTACCCATGACCACCCCCCTCCAAAGCACCCCCAGCCCATCTCCCTCCACCCAGCTTGTGCACCAACACTACACTTGGCAAAGCCAACACTTTTTCCTTCATCTTCCGGCTCAATCTCGGCCACCACCGTTCTTCAAGACATGCTGCAGCTTTTCAGATGCAATTAAGCCACAGAGCTAGGAAGAGAGCCCGCCCCAAGCCCTTGTCAGAGCCCACTCTCTCCTGAGGCTCTTCCTCCTGCTGCCACTACCAGCTCTTCCTCCAGTGGATTCCAGAGCCTGCCTACTGAGCTGTGTCAGTGGGGCCACTCGGGAAAAGCCTGCCTGGCTGAGCCTACCCAGGCCTCCACGTAGGTAGGCTGTCCAGCACGGGGCTCAGGGGCTGGTTCCACCACCAGCTCAGTGACCTTTCTGGGCCTCAGTTTCCCTCTCAATAAAATAAGAGCAATTCCATTTCCTGCAACGTCAGCCTCCAAAGGCTGTCTTGAGGCATGAAAGGAATAACACTGTATGAGATGCTGTGCTGAAAACCTCCAAGTGCTGAACTGACATTATGGAGAAATAGATAGTCCTCATATTCATTTTGGTATTTTTTTTTTTAGCCTGGAGTTGGAGAGATGGCTGGTTCAGTTCCTTGAGCAAAGCCTGAGCAGGTACATGAAGGGCAGAGCCACCCCAGCTCTCCCCAGAGCCAAGTATCCTTGCAGACAGCTATACCCCACTCACCAGACCGTGCAGCATCTCATAGAGAACTGCACCCAGGCACCACCAGTCCACTGCCCGATCATACGGCTCTTTACGAAGCACTTCTGGAGCCAAGTACTGTGGAGGGAAACACACTTCTCTGAAAGACCCCGACCTCGGTCTCATTTGTAAATAAGGCATTTGGAGGAAAAGATGATTGGGGTTGATGCTGCCGTGATTATCCCTTAGCTGGCTGTGTGGTCATTCACATTGACAAAGGCCTGCTTTGTGCAAGGCCTTTTGTCAATATGCTGGAGACATAGAGGAGGGCAGGCAGGGCTGCCCTGTACAGTTTTATGTGTTGTGTACTGCACACGCAGGAGTAGAGAGGAGTAGAGGGGACTGAGGAGTAGAGGGGACTGCAACCCTGGCTAGGATCCCCGCCCCCCAAGCCATAACCCTAGTACAGGGCTATGTCTGACAACTTTACTTTTGTTTAAAGGGGTACATTTATCTGATTAGTCTGCCTAGAGAGAGTGCCTTTATCTGGTTTGCAGAAAAGCATCCAGCCAGTGTCCTGGAATAGGAAAGGCCTGGTAGTAGACCCAGTGCTGTGAGGAGACTAACAGTAAGGTGTAAAGAAACAGGGCACATACTTGGACTGGAGACTTTGGTAACAGAGAGATGGAGTGGAATCGGCAGAGACAGGTGACACTTGAGTTCACAGTGACAGATGAACACATGCCCAGTCCTGCCACCTCAGTCCCTTGTCCCCACCCCAACATCTGTCCAAACAACTGGGAGCCCCTTCAGGCTCAAGGTTCAACACTGGTGAGAGTTCAAGGAAAGGTTTTAACCCCAAGGCTGCAAGGACAGACAGACATATATGAATTACTGCTGAGACTCATAATTTTTAACCCTCCGGGAACTTGGTGGCTGAAAGAGGGGGGTGGTCCGTGTTTTACACTTGCAGGCCCTGATCGTAACTGTCAGGCCAGGCCCTCCTGCTGCTCATGGACTTCACACTGTTGGGCAGTGGAGTCCAGGACCACAACCATTCACCTTATGTGACTGCTGAACATTTGAAATGTGGCTGACCTGAGCTAAGATGGACACACTGGATTTCAAAACCTTACTCCCCAAAAACTCCCCCCCAAAAAGAGAAAATATCTCTGTCTCAACAATTATACTGATTATGTATATTGAAATGACACCATTTTACGTATCTTGGGCTAACTAAAATGTAGCATTAAAATTAACTTCACTAAAAAAAAATAAATTAAATTAAAAAAATTAATTTCACTCACTCCTTTTTACATTCTCAATGTGGATGCTGGAAAATTTTTTATTGCATATCTGCCTTCCGTGTCTATTCTTATTTCTATTGGCCAGCATAGCTATGGAGCTTTACCAGAAGTAGCTGCATCCCAGCAGCCCCAAGTGCCCCCATTGCACAGATAAGGATGAAACGAGCCAGCTCAGGGGATGGGTTTGGGTGGGCGGAGGGAGTCTGCTCAGGGGGACTGTGAGTCTGCTCAGCCATCACAGCCTGACCTCCCCTTGGAGGCTGGGTTTACCTCGGGGGTGCCACAGAACGTGGATGTGGTGGTCTCAGGCTCCACGCCTTCCTTGCAGAGGCCAAAATCCGTCAGTACCACATGTCCCTGGGGAGGAATGAGGAGAGGAGTAGGAGGGGATCTAAGTCAAGAGTAGACTAGGTTTAACCCCAAAGCCCAGATGCCACACCCCAGGGCAGCAGCTGTGGGGTAAGGTCAGCAGGGGCCTCTCTTGCAATCCCCACGCAGGTAGGCTTTCCCTCTGCCCAATCCCCCCTGCTGACCCCATAAAGGTGGATCTTTTGAGAATGTCCCCCAATAACCTTCTCCACCCAATCCCCCATCTCAGAGTTTATCTCTGAGGAACACAGCCTAAGACACGGAGGGAGGACAAAACCTATGAATCTCCACCTGCTTCCTCCCCTCCCCCCCAGACCTCTTACACACACCTGGGGCACACATAAGTCTAGAGTATACAATGCACACAAGCATTTGTGTACGCACATATGTACACATACAAACATGGCCCTACATACATGCACATGTGTGTAGCACATGACCACCTGTACACACATGTAGCTACACACACACACACACACCAACCTGGCAGTCCAGGAGAATGTTCTCTGGTTTCAGGTCCCTGCAGGAAATAAGAGGAAAAGGCGCTGTGATGTCTTAGCCACTTAGTGAGGAGACCTGGGGACTTGGGGTCCTGGCAGGGGGCTCGCAGAGATGTAGAGGGAGAGCCCAGCAGACGGGCCTCCATCCTGGAGAGGTGAGGCTCCGCCCACTCCCCCCGAGTGGGTCCTCTTCAGCAAGAAACCAAGGTCATCACCGAGATCTCATCAGAACTTAGAGATCCACGACCTCTTGGCTCTGAGCCACAGACCAGCCTCACCTGTAAATGATATTGAGGGAGTGCAGGTAGCCAATGGCGCTGGCCACCTCGGCTGCATAGAATCTGGCCCGGGGCTCCAAGAACCTCCGCTCCCGCTGCAGGTGGAAGAAGAGCTGCAAGGGAGGAGGTGCTGTGAGAGGGGGCTGCACTCTGGCTCCTGGAGAGCAGGTGGGGGAGGCTGGCCCTGTCACCCCTTCTCGGGACTGCAACTCAGATGCAAGGGGGCGCACTGGCCCCCTCCAGCAGAGCAGTGAGGGCGGCGAGCGTCCCGGGAGAGATGAAGTAGCATGGGTTGAGCAACTACTGTGTTCCAGCAGTTTCACATTTCTCATCTCATTTACTCCTCATGACGACCTCCAGGGATCTCGTGGGCGGGGTCAGAGCAGTCAGGGCCCTGGGACAAGGTCAGGTAGCTCATCGCTGGCAGAGCAGGGATGGGAAACCAAGTAGTTCAAAGATGTGCTTTTCCCCGTCCCAGGCAACAGGGTGATTATGGGCACTTAGGGCTGCAGGACAAAGCTCCCCTCGTGGTGTCTGTCTAAAACGCATGTGGTCACCTAGGTCAAGTCTGGTGGGGTGCAGCGGCCACTAACAGGGGCCCAATGAACTCTGCCATCCTGCTTGGAGAGAGAGTCCAAAAAGGGGCCAGCTGTGCTTCTGAGTCAGCCGGTGGCCTCAGGTCTGCTTACTGCAGTGACCAGTCACCCTACTCTGTGGCTTATGGTGTCATTTGGGGTCAGTGGACACACACAGAGCACCTCCGTGACCTTTGCAGGGTCCAGTGAAGTGAACCTGTGGGCAGCTCACTACGGGGAGGTCAAAAGTGATGCTGGCTCTGCCAGGTACAGGCTGGGTGGTCTTGAGCAAGGAGGCTACCTCCCCGAGCCCCGGCTCTCTAGCTACCAAATGGGTCTGTGGCAGGGCCAAGTGAGGTCAGTGCAGAACCTGGCACTCAGGGGGCATGTGGGATGGATCGTGCCCAGTGATGAGCTAGCCCAGGGAAGCGCCTGCGCCCACCCACCTCTCCCCCGTTGACATAGTCGAGCACAAAGTAGAGCTTCTCGGGTGTCTGGAAGGAGTAGCGCAGGCCCACAAGGAACGGGTGCCGCACATTCTTCAGGAGCACGCTGCGCTCCGCCATGATGTGGCTCTCCTGTGAGGTCATGACAGGGATGGTCATTGCCAGCGCAGCCCTGGCACCCCGCACACCCACGTGACCTCACCCTCTCCCCCCCTCCCTCTCTGTGCTTTCCTGTCTTCCTGCCCTCCTTCCTTTCCTCTCCCCACCCAGGACCTTCTCATGCCCCTGTTCTAACACCCCCTCTGGCTCCCTACTGCCTTCACAGCCAGTACTAGCCACCTTGCCTAGTATTCAGGATCTGCCTGATCAGCCTCATCCTCAACTGCAGGCAGCTCCAGCCCCCGGCTCAGAAACCCCTGCCCTGGGGTGATAGGCAAAGCATATGTGATTATTGCACAAATGAGTCCCAAGAAAAATCTCTAAGAAGAAAGATGTCATGCTTTATCCACATTCATGTTGTCTCCCTGCCTGGACACCCTCTTTTCATACCATGGGAATCCTACTTTCAAGGCCACCTCCCTCAGAAGGACCACCCCTCCCAGCCCGAGATGGCTGGTTAACATTCACTCCCTCTCCTTGAGTTCTCTGACTTGAAATTCATTCCTCTCTCAGGATTTGCTCAGTCCTCCTCATGGGGTTGGTTTTGTTGAGATTCAAGTCAGCTGAAGCATCTAGAACTCCAGGAGGGCTGTGATCACCCTTGCACCCGGACCCAAGCCTCCCACACCATAAACACACAAAGTACGGAACCACCCTGAATAGGGGATCAAGAAGCAGGACAGGGAATGACTATGCCCAAGCTCTGGTACCTCTTTCTTCTTTAAGATGGACTTTTTCTGTAACACCTTCACTGCGTAGAACATTCCATCTGACTTGTGCTTGGCCAGTAGCACCTGCACAGAAGCACAAGCACAGAGTCCAGATGTGACTGCTGCTCCGAGCCTTGTCTGTATCCAGGGCAGTTCACGACTTCCAGCACCAGCCCTGACTCTGTGGCTCTCCAGGTCATGAGCGCGCCTCGTTGCACTAGCAGGTGACAGGCAGGAGAAGGAGGCTGCAGAAGGGGAGACCCAGGCCTCCCACCCTCGCTGCATCACTCACCTTCCCGTAGTTCCCTTTGCCAATGACTTTGAGGAAGTCGAAGTCGGTGGGCCGGGCGCTGCGGGGAGAGGGAGGAACACAGGTCTGCATTGGTGAGCCTGGGAACCTGGTACCTGAGATCGAATCCAGGCTTCTTTTTCACTTCGAAGCTGGAGAATACAGGGAATGTTCCAGGAGCCAAGGCTTCTTGCTGTTCAACAAAGGCCAAGGTCTCCCAGCCAAGAGAGGGCTTGTAAGCCGGGGCGCCCCTGAAGATCTCTCAGGGGAGCAGACAAGAGGCAAAGGGGAGAGAAAGCACATACAACCGCATAGAGGGCGGCAGATCTGGTCCCCCAAACCTGAGAAGGCCCTGAAGGATAGGAATCTGCTAATAAGGCAGAAACTTGGGGGACACTCCGGGCATGGGGCTCAGCAGGGGTAAATATTGGAAAACTAAAGAGAGATAAATTGGGGGAGGGTCGTGGGTATAAACAGCAAAGGGTCTTGACACCAGAACAGAGAACTTTTATCTCATTCCCAGGTGAGGGGAGACAGGGAGGAGAGACCAGAACTCACTTTGGGTTGGCTGAAGGCCCCAGGTTGATGTTCCCATTGGCCCTTGAAGGCTAAAGACATTTCGAAAAAGAGGTGATTAAGATTAGCAGGCTCTGCTCTGTGATGCCGCACCCAGGCCCTGATTCCTTGATCTCTTCTCCATCATCTCTGCTGGTCTGCTTCCCTCCCTCCCTCCCTCCCTCCCTCCCTCCCTCCCTCCCTACCTCTCCCCCTCCCTCCTTCCCGCTTTGGGAGGCTGCTGGCTGTTCTGCCAACGATGAGAGTGCAGAAACTGAGCCCAAGAGGAGCTGTCCAGGGGCTTACAAGCAGCCTCCCTGGCATTAGAACCCAGCTGTGCTCACGCCCTGACTTTCTCACCCCGCTGACTTCTTGAGACCCTGTCAATACTGTTTTCTATTAACCCTGCAAATGGTTCACATCTGTGAGCTCACAGTGACCCCTGCTGGCGCCTGGCCTGCCCTAGGTGGCCCACCAGGGTGGTCAGCACCTCCATAAACCTTGTCAGGGAGGAAATGAGCCCCCTGGTGGGTGGGGGAACCAAGACCCACTCACCTGAGGACTGGGGCTCCCGGCAGGGCTAGAGTCCATTCTGTGAGGGTGAGCAGGTGGGCTCTGCACACAGGGAGGAGCAGGCATGAGAGCTGCTGGGCAGTTAGCTTCACCTGTCCAGGGCCTCAGGCACCGCTGGCCTCCCTGGTCCTGTGCACCTGCCACAGCCTGAGCAGCTCCTACCCCAGGCTTCAGGGACAAGAAACGCTACCCTGGGCCCAGCCGCTCTAACCACACATCTCGGGGAGAGAGAGGACAGTCGGGGTTGCTCCTCCCAGGCTGAGGCTTTTCAAGGTCGGGGACAGCCTGGGCAGCTGCTGTGAGCCGGGGCCCTCCAGGAGCCCAGCACAACCAGGGCTGGTCCCCTTTCACAGGTGAGGAACCTGAAGCCTAGAAAGGAATTTGCCTAGGGTCACAGAGCTTGGGAGGGGAGAAGGCCAGGCTCCCCAAAAAGGGGTATTGCAACTCCAACTTCCTGGATGTAGCCCAGGTTGAGCACTGGGCTATTAGCGCCCCACAACGGGTCTTCTGCCTCATGTCCTGTGGGGGCAATGACCTGGGGGTCTTGGGCTGGAGCCATGAGAGACCCAAGTCTGGACAGTGTCCATCTGAGATCAAGCCAGCTGGTCTATGCAGCCAGGACCAATGTCCTCCCTGGCCCCACCTTGTATGGCCTGCATGCCCAGGACCCGGCTCAGGTGTCCAGGGTCCCACAGCCCCACCCCTACTTGAAAGGTCAAGGCCAAGAGATAAGGTATCACCCGAGAGGCCAGTTGCTCACGGGGGCTGCTGGGTATATGGATCTCAAGATCACAGCTTAGCCCACTGTGAGGGCTCAGCTGCAGCCTCTGGGAAGAGACTGCTCCATCTTATAAGGGGGGCCTGGGAGGCACCACGCATGTCCTTCTTGGGAGCTGAGTAGGTGGCCACAGGGGAAGTGAGAGAATCCCCCAGCCCAGGCTGCTCTGAGAGGCCAACCCCATGGAGCCCCAACAGCCAGCAGAGGAGCTGCCGGAAGGGGGTGTGGAGCCTAGTTTCAGTCAGTGCCCCCATCTCTGCTGCCGCTGACAGCCAGACCACCCCACACCCTCTCCTGGCCTGACATCTCTATGCAGGCCCTGGCTGGCCTCCCTGGCAACCCCGTACCTGCACAGCCTGGGAAGAGGCTGCTGTGAGAACCAGCGGTTGGAGCCAGAGGATGGGCAGTGGACAAGAGAGATGCTCTCTGTTCTCCCAACAAGGGCCGAAGTGTCTGTGCCTGGCGCTGCCCAGGCCCCGGCACCCAGCTCGGAACTCCCAGCAGGCAGCGGCGAGGGGGCTGTTGATGTCACCCGGGATCCAACAGAGCTTAAGATGGGACCGGAGACCTCTGTTCCCTCGGGGACATCGCCTCTCCCTGAGGGGGAGGGGGGTCCACAGCTGCAGGAGAGCCCAGAAGACACTCGAGGCTTGTTAGACTGAGTGGCTCAGGGGGTGTGGTGTGAGGTGGTCTTGTGCAGGTTTTTCCTGCAGAGATGTGCTCAGTGTCAGTCTGTCTGTCGGCGTGTCTCTGACCTGAAGTGTCAGTGAGTAAATCTGTATGTAGGTGACGGCGCGTGCCCTGCTTGCCTGTGGGGGTCAGTGTCACCACCTTTCTAGTGGGTCTGCCTCTGTCACTGTGTTCTCTGTGTATGTGTGTGTGCACTTTGGTGGGTGTGTGTGTCAGTGTGCATTTTATATATATTAATGTGCTTGTGAGCATGTGTGGGTGCTGACAAGTACGGTGTCTATTAAAGTGTGTGCATATGAAAGTCCTTGTTTGTATTATCAGTAAGTGTACGTGTGTGTGTGTGTGTAGGAGTCCTCTCTGTAAGAAGATATGCCCTGCCCAGACCCAGTAGACCATTGGGCTGACCCTGAGGTTCTAGATGCCTCATCTATGGCAGTTGAGAGCACTTTGACACCCAACAGCCTGCAGCAATTTCAGAGCCCAGTTGTCTGGCTCAGTCCATCTGGCATTGGTCTGAGTCTGCTGAGCACTTGTCTCCCTGAGCCGTTCCCTGCCTGCCTCTCCAGGGCTCTGGCCCACTGTCCCTGGGCAGGCCTGGTTGGCCCACAGCTGTGTGGCTGTGTAAGAAGGAAAACTGAGTCCCAGGCAGCACTCTGGCTTGTGAACGTCTTGTGGCCTACTGCCATGATTAGCTACTCAAAGCGTCCCTTCCTTTCCCCCAGAGCTTATAAGGGGTGCTCTGGGGAATGTAGGAGTTGACAGGCCTGACACAGCCCCTGCCCTTCTGGAACTTTCTGTGTGACTTTCACATGCTACACCCAGACCTCCACACCTGGGGGTGTCAGTCAAGGAAAACCCAAGTGAACAATATCAGAACCTTCCATCTCTCAGCAAAATAGAAATGTTGAACCAATACACAGATGGGCAGGATGTCATGTTGACAAAACACAAACCCAGAACAAGAACATTTCTTTTTCATAACAAAACCCTGCTGGGCCTTCATTCCGCAGCTTTGCATGGAAGGGGGAAATGAGAGTGGGATCCTGATGGAGGATAAGAATAGAACAACTGGAAGGGAGATACAAGGTCAAGAACCTAACTCATACAAGAAGGTAGGGGTAGAAGGGATTAGCATAATCCATTAACCCAGTTATCGGAAATCAAGACCCTTAGGCATCAACGCCCAGATCAGGAGGCGCAACACCCAGAAACTATCAGACTGCTATAGGGAGTGTCAATGGCACAAACCATCCACCCACAAACATGAGGCCCTCCCCGAAGATGATAAAACCTAATGCAGCCCTCACAATGGGACAGCACGCCGTCTGCCCACCTGTGACTATGAAGGTGCCTCTTCACCAACTGCCTCCCCCCACAGGGCAGCAGCCTCCTACCTGCCTGTGATCTGTGCCCACCGGGACTTCTCCTCACTGAACTCCCTCAGGGGAGGCAGCTCTCCTCAAGGCTGCCCGCCTGCAACCATGCAGGCCTCTCTCAGCAAACCTGTCCCTTTCCCTAATAAACCTGGTCTTTAAATATAACTAACGTCTCCGTCTCATGGAGAAACTCACCCGGGGAACTCACCATGTGTCGCCGAAACGGGAGCTCTGGTGAAACCTTTCCCAGAGTGAACCCAAGGACCCCGCACTCTACAAAACTACATCAATCCTATCAACCGAAATGTCCACCACAGGATGCTTCAGAGACCCTCTTGCTCTAGTAGCACTCACAGGCCCCAACACCCCTCTCAGCTACTGTCCCATTTCTCTGTTGCCTGAAAAGAGCAGTCTGGGCCCCTCGTGTCCACCCCTCCTCCCTTTTTCTCTTGAACCCATTCCAAGGAGGTTTTCACCCTTATCCTGCGTCAATATGACCAGCAAGCTCCGGGGGTGGAGCTGGTGATGGCTTCTTAGTTCTTATCTCACTCAGTTTTCAAGGATTTGACACACCCCTTTGACCGGCTCAGCTAAGGAGCCCCTGGCTTTTCCTTACTGACTGATCTTCTTGCATCTCTTCTACTGGACTGTGCTCCTCCGTCTGCCCTTGAACTGGCCCGGCCCAGGGCTGCATCCTTTGATTTCCTCTGTACCTGCTCCTAGGTGATTTCGGCCAGCTGAATTGGGGCTGTAAGTACCAAGCATATGCAGCAATTCCCAAACTTAACACTCTCCTGCACTTTGGATTCATTTATCTAAGTTTCCTCTTTATGATTGTCTGGAAGTGACGCACATTGCTTCCACTCCGCCCCTGCCTGCTCCTCCCTGCTCCTCCTGGTCTTCCAGCTCAGTAAGGGTGCTCCACCTACTCGAAAGTTCAAGCCAGCTACTTAGAATTTATTTTAGAAAACTTGGTCCCTTCCCCCACCTCCACTCCACCATGAAGTCCCCTTAGACTCTACATATACATCAGAGACCACTGCTGCTCACCCCACTGTGCAACCTGCTGCCTGAGCCATCTCTGTCACTTGCATGGGAATGATGGAGGATAAGAATAGAACAACTGGAAAGGAGATACAAGGTCAAGAACCTAACTCACACAATTAGGTAGGGGGTAGAAGGGGTTAGCATAATCCATTAACCCAGTTAGAATCAAAGACCCTTGGGCCTCCCCGGTGGCGCAGTGGTTGAGCGCTGGGTTGCGAAGCTGCCCGCGGCCTCTGCAGCGCCGGTTCGATCCCCGGTTGCTCCCCAGCCACCGGAGGAGGGTCCCGCATGGCGCACAGACCTCTCCTGCCGCCCGCTGCTCCCCTCAGCAGTGTACTTCGGTCCTTCTGCCTGCTCTGCTCCCCGCTCTGGCTCTGGTGAATTCTCTCACCCTCCTGCGCTTCTGACTGTACCCAGTGCTTGTATAAATAAATAAATAAATCTTTAAAAAAAAAAAAAAAAAAAGAATCAAAGACCCTTAGGCATCAACACCCAGATCAGGAGGCGCAACACCCAGAAACAGACTGTTATAGGGAGTGCCAGGGGCACAAACCATCCACCCACAAAGATGAGCCCCTCCCTGAAGTTAATAAACCTATTGCAGCCCTTACAAAGGGGCAGCACTCTGTCTGCCCACCTGTGACTGTAACAGGGTGGTCCCCAGGAAAGGGGGAGGTTCCAGGTTCCCTGCCCCACCCAAGGAAGGGTGGAGCTGAGCAGGAAGAGGAGAAGCTGCGGAAGAGACTAAGGAAGGAAGCAGGATGGAGCAAGGAGACCTGGAGGAGGCACATGGAGCCTAGAGACACGTGAAGAAACTGCGCTTGTCTTTTGGTCGTGGACTAGGTGACACAGATGTGGGTGAGACCCGTGGGGAGGTGACAATGGCAGCTTTTATCTTGATGTTGATTTTGCTCTTTTCCTTCCGGGCTTGTCTGGTTGTTTGTGACCCTTTTCTGTGGATCCCCACTGGAAGATGTTTTAGACTTGTGGCAGGCTTTGGGGCCTTGCTCTGGGCCGACCCCATATGGATGGAGTTTTACCCACGAGGGGATGGGTAACTTTGGGTGCTTCATTTAGAAACTAGACTCTTTGCCTTACCTGTATTGTTTTTAATGGGAAGGAACTTTAATAAAAACTAAAAAACAATACAGGTAAGGCAAAGAGTCTAGTTTCTAAATGAAGCACCCAAAGTTACCCATCCCCTCGTGGGTAAAACTCCATCCATATGGGGTCGGCCCAGAGCAAGGCCCCAAAGCCTGCCACAAGTCTAAAACATCTTCCAGTGGGGATCCACAGAAAAGGGTCACAAACAACCAGACAAGCCCGGAAGGAAAAGAGCAAAATCAACATCAAGATAAAAGCTGCCATTGTCACCTCCCCACGGGTCTCACCCACATCTGTGTCACCTAGTCCACGACCAAAAGACAAGCGCAGTTTCTTCACGTGTCTCTAGGCTCCATGTGCCTCCTCCAGGTCTCCTTGCTCCATCCTGCTTCCTTCCTTAGTCTCTTCCGCAGCTTCTCCTCTTCCTGCTCAGCTCCACCCTTCCTTGGGTGGGGCAGGGAACCTGGAACCTCCCCCTTTCCTGGGGACCACCCTGTTACATGACTATGCAGGTGCCTCTTCACCAACTCTCTACCTCTGCAGGGCAGCAGCCTCCTGCTTGCCCGTGATCTGTACCTGCTGGGACTTCTCTTCACTGACCTCCCTCAGCGGGGGCCGCTTTCCTCAAGGCCACCCCCCTGCAACCACACAGTCCTCTCAGCAAACCTGCCCCTTTCAGGGCAGATCTTCCTGGCCGCTTGTGTCTATGCAAGTGTCTTTTACTATCCTGTCCCTTTTCTAATAAACCTGCTCTTCAAATATCACTACCGTCTCTGTCTCTTGGAGAAACTCGCCTTGTGCCGTGAAATAGGAGCTCTGGCGAAACCTTTCCCAGAGTGAACCCAAGGACACAGCACTCTACAAAACTCCATCAGGACTAAGGCAACAGCTCCCTACTGTCTCCAGATTGCTGTCATTACCCACTGCAATCTCTCCACCCAAAGCCAGAGTGACTTTTAAAATGTAAATCAGTAAAACCAATAAACACCCTAAGGAATGGGAGAAAATATTTGCATGTCATACACCTGAGGAGGGGCTAATATCCAAGATCTACAAAAAGCTCAGACAATTCAACAGAAAGAAAACAAAGCAACCAGGGCCTCCCCTGGTGGCGCAGTGGTTGAGTGCTGGGCTGTGAGGCTGCCCACAGCCTCTGCAGAGCCCAGCCGCCGGAGAGGGTCCCACAAAAAAAAAAAACAACCAAAAAAACAAAGCAACCAATCAAGAAATGGACAGAAGGGCTAAATAGACTCCTCTCCAAGGAAGATATACAGATGGCCAATATGCATATGAAAAAATGTTCAACCTCACTTATCATCAGGGAAATGCAAATCAAACCTACATTGAGATACATCTCTTTCCAGTGAGAACGGCCCATTTAAAAAACAAACAAACAGGGGCTTCCCTGGTGGCGCAAGGGGTTAAGCACAGCACTATGAAGCAATCCGCAGCCTCTGCAACACTAGTTAGATGCTGTGCCAGCTACCCACATGGCAGAGCAGACCTCTCCTGTCTCGCCCGCTGCTCCCCTCAGCAGTGTATTTCAGTCAGTCTGCCTGTTCTGTTCCCCACTCTGTCTCTGGTGAATCCTCTCACCCTGCTCTGGTCTGTGCCCCAGTTCTTGTATGCACCCCAGTTCTTGTATGCATAAATAAATAAATCCTTAAAAAAATAAAAATAAAAAACAAACAGATCAGAAACAACAAATGTTGGGTGTGGAGATAAAGGAACCCTCAAACACTGTTGGTGGGAATGCAGACTGCACAATCCCCTGTGGGAAAAAGTGTAGAAGTTCCTTAAAATATTAAATATACATCTACCGGGAGTCCCTGGTGGTGCAGGGGTTAAAGTTTCATGCTATCAAGCTATGGCAAGCCACTGTGGCATGCTTCGATTCCCTGGCAGGGAGCTAAACCACATGGTGCAGCAGACCTCTCCTATCTCATCCACTGCTCCCCTCAGCAGTGTATTTCAGTAGATCCACCTGTTCTGCTCTCCACTCTGTCTCTGGTGAATCCTCTCACCCCCTGCACCTCTGGCCTACACCCCAGTTCTTGCATGCATAAATAAATAAAAATAAATCTTAAAAAAAATACATCTACCATGTGATCCAGCAACTCCACTTCTAGGTATCTACCCAAAGAATGCAAAATCACTAATTAGAAGGGATATATGTACTCATATTGTTATAGGGCAGGGAGAGGGGCAGCCCAAACCCCGCAAACCTATTCTAAATGGGTTCTGCCATCTACCGCATCAACACAAAACATATGAGACTTTAATGGGAAGGAACTTTAATACAACTTGAAAACAATACAGGAAAGGCAAAGAATCTAATTTCTAAATCAAGCACCCAAAGTTACCCGTCCCCTCTTGGGTAAAAGTCCATCCATATGGGATCGGCCCAGAACAAGGCCCCAAAGCCTGCCACAAGTCCAAAGTATCTTCCAGTGGGGACCCACAGAAAAGGGTCAGAAACAACCAGACAAGCCCGGAAGGAAAAGAGCAAAATCAACATCAAGATAAAAGCTGCCACTGTCACCTCCCCATGGGTCTCACCCACATCTGTGTCACCCAGTCCATGACCTAAAGACAAGCGCAGTTTCTTCACATGTCTCTAGGCTCCATGCACCTCCTCCAGGTCTCCTGGCTCCATCCTGCTTCCTTCCTTTCTCAGTCTCCTCTGCAGCCTCTTCTCTCCCTGCTCAGCTCCTCCACCCTCCCTTGGGTGGGGCAGGGAACCTGAAACCTCCCCCTTTCCTGGGGACCACCCTGTTACAATACGATTATAGCAGCACCATTAACAATAGTCAAGTTATGGAAACATCCTAAATGCCCATCAACAGAGCAGTGGATTAAGAAGATGTGATATGCATGCACAATGGAATACTACTTAGCTATAAAAGGATGGGCTCTTGCCACCTGTGACAACATGGATGGAGCTGGAGAGGCTTATACTAAGTGAAATAAGTCAGAAAAAAGGTAACAGATAGTTTCACTCATATGCAGAATATGGAGAAAAAAGCACAATGGAACAGACAAAACTAGACCAAAACAAACCTTAGAAATATGACTGCAGAATTGAGGCTACTAGTCGGGGAGGAAAATGGGGTAGGGGCAAAAGGAGGAGGGGGTTCAATACCCTAGAGTAAAGGACTAAGTAAGGGTGCTTGGATGGGGGTGGTGATGACATACATCTGAGAAGGTATGAAAATATTCCTCTAAATCATATACAGCATTGTAAACCAATGTTACCCAATTAAAGAAAAAAATGTAAATCAGATCATGTGCTTTGTTACCCAGGAATTCCAGGGCTTTCCATCACACCCAGGATTAAAATCCAAAGGCTTCATCATGATCCCTGAGGTTCCATGCAACCTGGCTCCTGGCTCCACCTCTGCCTTGGTCTCCACTAACCTCCCTCCCGCTGTGCTCCAGCCGCTCTGGCTTTCTTGCTGTCCCTCAAATATACGGAGTGCCCCTCTGGTCTCAGCCCCCCTGCACCAACTTTTCCCTTTTCCTAGAATGCCTTTCCCCTCCCACATCTGCACAGCTGCCTTCCACTAACAGCTCAGAGGTCTCTGCTCAGAGAGGCCTTCTCTGATTGCCAGTGACTGATTGTCCCAAGTTGTCTGGCTCTAAGAGGTGTCCCAGGATGTGGGGCTTTAGTGCTGAAGTCAGTATGGTCCTGGGCAAAGTGGGGTGGCTAGTCTTGCTTCAAACCAGCCCCACCCACTCCAATGACAGCCCCACCCCCTCCCTGTCACTTTTTCCACTTTATATTTTACTTTTGCTACTTATCACTCTCTGACTCTTTACCACACAACCCTGCTACTGTTTGTTTTCACTCTAAACTAGAATGTCGGCTCCATGAGGGCAAAAACTTTTCTTGTTCATTCGAAGGCCCAACACCTAGAACAGGGCCTGGAATATAGTCCGTGTTTGGTACATATTTGACTAACGAATCAAAGAAGGAGCTGATAAGATCAATTACAGTACATACATAAAACGGAAAATCACCCAGCCAAAACACAATATGGAAAGAGGAACATAGATGTGATACAGTGTCAAACCAAAAAAGCAGGTTTCAGAATGGCAGGTGAATCAGGGATGCCAGAGAATAAAAGGGCATGAAGACGTGCGTGCCCCTGAAGGCTGGGGCAGAGCCACCATGGCTGGAGGGCCATGACCCAAGGTGACCCCTGTGATAACCGATCTGGTCTGCTGGGCTAACCTTGTCCTAACATCTGTCCTCATTTGCCTTCCCGAAAGCCTGTCCAGACAGCACCCTCCAACCCCGTCCCGTGAACATCCTCTTCCCTCTTTGTGGCTGTGGTTAGCTTTCACTCTAACTCATTCCCACACCTGGCGGCCTGGGACATAGTAACGACAGAGCAGTGACAGTACAGCCCAAGGGCCCACTTGACCTGATTTTGTTCCCACACCACCACCATCCCTCCTTCAAGGAGGAGGAAACTGAGGCATGGAGAGAGGAAGTGGCTTCATCAAGCTGGTAAATGATAAAACCGGGATCCAAGACACGTGGTCTGACTCTAAAATCCAAGGCCTGGAATTTCAGGAAGAAGTTAGGGATTTAGAAAAGGAAGGAACGAAGTTAGTGGGAAGGATGTGAGGATGTAAAGTGATTAGTTAGGAAGGAAAAAAATCAAGCAGCTGAGAAGGCAGAGAGTTAGTTGAGCGGGAAAGGAAGGGAGTAGGGGGAGAGGAAGAAAGAAAGGAAAACAGGAGAGAAGGGAGGCAGAGGAGTCAGGAAGGAAGGGAAATAGGAAGGCAGGGAAGGAAGTAGGTAGTTAGGAAGCAAATTAGCTAGGGAACTAGTTAGTCCATTTGCAGATCAACAGACCGGCCAGCAGGTGTCCCGCTCAGCCTCCCACCTGAAGATTCTGGGTCCCAGCTCAGGTCCTGGGGAGCAGCCCGAGAGCGCAGCACTGCGACCTGCCTGGCTCTCTACATGGTCCTTCTGACCTGAGACCCAGTCCTGACTCACCCAACAGCCTTCCCAGGCGGAGCAACCTGTCACCCACTCGCTCTGGCTCCCAAACTAGCTCAAGTTCAACCTCCCAGTCCTGGCAGCTGGGAGCTGGCTGCTGAGCCTTCCAGTTACTAATTAACCACTGGACCTGAATCACGATGCTGCCGGCACCCACCGGTTCCTAGGTGGGGCCTGCCCTGGGGACCCTCTGAATTGTAAAAGCTACTGTACAACTTAAGTGTGGCCTTGGGCAAGTGGCTCAGCATCCTGTGCTTTGGTGACTGTGACCTGTGTCCTGCCTCACAGGAGGATCATGAGTGACCTTTCAACACAGCCACATCGCCATTCTCTGAAATGTCACGCCTCTTCCCCAGGCCCAGCACACATACTGACTCCCTCATATACAGCCTTCCCCGACCCATCAGCTGAAACTTGTTCCCTTTCTTCTAGGAGCTGGAGAACCGGCCACACCACCCTTCACAACCTTGTTGTCCCACACAACCTTCCCCCGGTGGGGCCCACCAGCCTGTGTTTAGCTCTTTTGTGGACACCTCTGGGATGGGCAGCTCATTCCCTTTTGACCCAGCCTCCTTGCCTGACACCTCTGGCACTGCCTGGGCACCATCCTAGGAAGAGAACCCCCGTGACTGAGCTGAGACCCAGGCCCTATCCTGCCATTCTGAGACCTGAGGCTCAGGCACCAGCTCACATGGAAGGAAAACTTTCCCTGGTTGATCCAAAGCTGCCCAAGCCCTCATGTTCTAACCCAGGCCAGGGACAGGGCCTGGCCAGCTGGACAGGTGAGAAAGTCTCTGCCCAGTGACCACCCACCCTCCATCCTCAGGGGGGCAACTCAAAGCCTGCTGGACCCCAGCTTCCTCCACTGCCTTTTCATGAGAATGTCAACACCCCTAGGCTGCTCTGGCTGCTGTGCTGTGCTCTGCAGGTGGCTGGCAGGGGCACCCTCCCCTCTCTCCCAACACTCACAGCAGCAAGACTCTGGCTCTGGCTCCCGCCCAAAGAGGGGAGGTGGCCAGTGCCCAGAGCAAATCAGGCCCGAGCTTGGAGTGCTGCCCCTTTCCAGAGCTGGTCCCCCCCCACCCTCCCTGCTCCACCGACGACTCCTCCTCCCCTGCACCAAAGCCAGCTTAAAAACCCCATAGTGGTGTTGCATAAGCGCTATGGAAGAATTCCAGCCTATAGAAGAATGTGGAGTAAAAAGAGAAAGCTGCTCCTCCAAGCTGTTCTCAATGCCTTTTCCAGAGGTTTCCACTGCTGTTAACTAAGTGGTGTCCCTCCAGGATTGGTCATCCTCTCATCTGCAGATCTCATTCATTTTCTCCCAGAAAATCAGGGTCATCCTACATGGATTGTTCACCAACTTACTTTATCGCCCCCTACACATCCACACACATCTTTCCATGTCAACATAAAGATTCAGTTGTGGTTTTTTTAAACATCTTCCTCGCAGTGTTTAATGTGGGTTTGATTTCACTCTCCTTGTTCCTATTTGCTGCTCCTTTCCTGATAGTCAATCGGGCTCTCACCACTTTCACAATCATTTCAACAAGGCTGCAGAGAACAGCTTTGTATTAGTAACCTGTGGCCTTGTCTGGTGTTTCTGCCTGATGACCGCCTACTTGTGGAAGTTGGGTCACCTATCCGCCCGGTGCCTGTAAAAGCTGTATCACTGACAGACACCAGCGGTGCTTGAAGTTGCCCATCCCCTTCAGGGGTGCTGCAGAAAACTGCCTAGGCTGCCCCCTTGATGGGGGTCTCCTTCTCTTCTTTTGCTTCTCCCTGCCTCCCCCCCCCCGCCCCCACCTGTTGCTTCTCTCAGATGCTGGGATTCTGTTGTTTGGGTATGAAGGTCAAACATAGGTTCTCATGAGAAGGGGAAAAAAGAGCCTGAACCAATGGGAACCATCTCCAGGAACATCCCCACCACTTTTCTGTCCTTCCTCTGTCCCACCCACACCTGCGCACACCTTCTCACACCTAGAGTCATCTGTAGGCAGAGGGAATAATGAAGTCAGAGGGTCAGTAGAGAAAAGTCTGTTACCCACAATAGGTGTAGCTGTGCCTTTGGTTGTATGAACAGAGTTTACACAAAAGCTGGTTCTCTTTATGAAAAAAGATCTTTAGAAAGTGATAAATGTGGGCCTCCCCGATGGCGCAGCGGTTGAGCGCTGGGTTGCGAACCTGCCCGCGGCCTCTGCGGCGCCAGTTCGATCCCCGGCTGCTCCCCGGCCACCGGAGGAGGGTCCCACATGGCGCGCAGACCTCTCCTGCCGCCCGCTGCTCCCCTCAGCAGTGTACTTCGGTCCTTCTGCCTGCTCTGCTCCCCGCTCTGGCTCTGGTGAATTCTCTCACCCTCCCACGCTTCTGGCTGTACCCAGTGCATGTGTAAACAAAAAACAAAACAAACAAATAAACAAATAAATAAACATGCCTCTATAAAATTAAAAAAAAATTAAAAAATTAAAAAAAGAAAAAAAAAAAAGAAAGTGATAAATGTACAGCATCTTCCAAATCCAACAGCAAGAGGCATGATGGAAATGATCTGTTCCATATCTCATCCCTCACCTTTTTTTATTTTATTTTATTTTTTTAAGATTGATCCACTTATGCCTGCAAGAGCTGGGGCACAGACCAGAGATGCAGGGGGCCGAGAAGACCCACCAGAGATAGAGTGGGGAGCAGAACAGGCAGACCAACTGAAACACACTGCTGAGGGAAGCAGCGGACAAGACAGGAGTGGTCTGCTGCACCATGTGGGCCCCCCACCCCCCACCCTTCTATGGAATATGAATAGATTTCATCCATCCAAACATAAACTTCTAAAGTAAACAATTGTCTCATTCGATGGCTTGAGATATTGAAAATACATGTGTGTGTACACATACATATAATTCTCTCCTAAACTCTCTGCTAGAGCTGATAGTATTACCTTAATGCAACAGGGTATATACCTGTCTTGACTTTATCTTTCCTGGTGCCTCTCCTTCTTGTATTCTCACCTAGATAGTAGCTCAGTTGTCCATCTGGCCCTTCCTGTCCTATCACCCTGGAAATTCCCTATCTTTTTTTTTTTTTTAGAGATTTATTTATTTATGCATACAAGAACTAGGGTACAGGCTAGAGGTGAGAGGATTCAGCAGAGACAGAGTGGGGAGCAGAACAGGCAGACTGACGAAATACACTGCTGAGGAGAGCAGCGGGCGGCAGGACAGGCCTGCGTGCCATGTGGGACCCTCGCCAGTGGCCAGGGATCGAACTGGTGCTGCAGAGGCTGTGGGCAGCTTCGCAGCCCAGCGCTCAACCGCTGTGCCACCAGGGGAGGCGGCCAGCTTATCTTTCTTAACATGTTTTCAAGGTTCATCCATCTTTGTTATTCCTTTTTAGGGTCAAATAATATTCCATTGTAGATATAACTCATTTTGTCTGCCTACCCATTTATCAATGGATACAGGTTGTTTCCATATCTTGGCTATTACGGAAAATGCTGCAATGGCATACAAAGAGCTATTTTAAATTCTATTTTTTTTAAGATTTATTTATTTATTTATACAAGCACTGGGTACAGTCAGAAGCGCGGGAGGGTGAGAGAATTCACCAGGGGAGGCCCTATTTTAAATTCTTTAGGGTATATACTGAGGAGTGGAATTTCTGGGTACTATGGTAATTCTGTTTTGTTTTTTTCAAGAGTGAGAATGTTCCTCAAAGAGACAAAACTTGGGCCTCCCCGGTGGCGCAGCAGTTGAACGCTGGGTTGCAAAGCTGCCCGCGGCCTCTGCAGCGCCGGTTCGATCCCCGGCTGCTCCCCGGCCACCGGAGGAGGGTCCCGCATGGCGCGCAGACCTCTCCTGCCGCCCGCTGCTCCCCTCAGCAGTGTACTTCGGTCCTTCTGCCTGCTCTGCTCCCCGCTCTGGCTCTGGTGAATTCTCTCACCCTCCCGTGCTTCTGACTGTACCAGTGCATGTATAAATAAACAAACAAGCAAACAAACAAAATAAATAACATGCCTCTATTAAAAAAAAAAAGACAAAACTTTCTACAGACTACACCACCTATGTCCCACTGTCCCATGTAAGATTATGTCTCTTAGTATCTGTTTTTTTTTTTAATAGAGGCATGCTTTATTTATTTGTTTGTTTGTTTTGTTTATACATGCACTGGGTACAGTCAGAAGTGCGGGAGGGTGAGAGAATTCACCAGAGACGGGGGGGGGGGGGGGGGGGGGGGGGGGGGGGGCCGGGGGCGGGGGGGGGGGTTGCCAAACAGGTAGATGGACTGAAGACACTGCTGATGGGAGCAGCAGGGGAGGCAGGAGAGATCTGCCGCGCCATGTGGGAATCGCTGTTGGCCGGCTGGGAATCGAACCATCGCTGCAGAAGCTGCAGACAGCTTCACAGCGCAGCGCTCAATCCGCGGCGCCACTGGGAAGGACCCACTCTCACTGTGGTTTTAATTTGCATTTCTCTAATAACTAATGATGTTGAACATCTTCTGATGTGTTTTCAGTTATTTCTTCTTTGGATAAATGTCTAATCAAATTCTCTGTCCATTTTTAAAAACTGGGTTGTTTAGTTTTTGTTATTTATATATATTCTGGATATTAAGCTTTGTCTGATACACAGTTTACAAATGTTTTCTCCCATTGTATAGGTTGTCTTTGCACTTTCTTGAGAAATGTCCTCTGATGCACAAACATTTTTAATTTTGGTGAAGTTCTCTTATCTACTTGATGACTTGTGCCTGAGTAGGAGTCAAGGCCACTAACCTCAGCATTGTTCAAGGCTCAATACTGGACCTCAGCCAGTCCTCTAATTTTTGTATCTGTTCCCATTTTTTATCTCTTTTTATTCTGCTTTTGGGCAATATCCTCAACTTTGTCTTTCAACCCTTATATTCTTTTCCTGCATGTTTAAACTTCCAAGAATTCTCTCGTCTTTCAATGTTTCATTCCCTTTTCCACAACTCATGGTGGGTGGGGGATTAGATGCCAAAAAAATCAACTCTTCTCTGTGATAGGTAGGAAAGAGGGAAGGATGGATGGGGTGGGGGGCATGGGGAGCAGAGCCTGGCAGGTGAGGTGGCCAGAAGGTGGAGATGCTCGTTCTGATGACTTCCATGTTCTCTGTGGCACGGACGGTCAGGACATCTACTGATTCAATGGGGGAGGGTAGTGGGGTAGGAACATGAAAAAGGAAGTCGCGGCTAACTTAGGAAAACACCCAGCTGCTTTTTTGGGCAGCCCTGAAAGTCTACCTTGAATTCAGAGACCATCAAACAATCTGCTCAGTCAGTTAAGTTCCTGGAAAGATGCTCTTGGACAGCTGCATGGCAGGTATTTTTCCAGGCAAGTTGTGGACACGCAGCAGCCAAAAGAATTAAGGACACTGACAAGAAAGAGGCTGCAGTGATGGAAAACGGAGTATCTGTCACTTTCCCACCTGCTCCCAGTCTTTGGGAGCCTAATAAATTCTCACCATTTAGCTTGACATTGCCTCACCTCCAACTTTGATATTCTTTTAAAAATTGGACACGGTGAGGCCTCCCTGGTGGCACAAGGGGTTAAGACACAACCTATGATGCTATCTGCAGCCTCTGCAGCATGAGTTCGATCCCCGGCTGGCCAGGGAGCAACCCACATGGTGCAGCAGACCTCTCCTGACTCACCTGCTGCTCCCTCAGCAGTGTACTTTGTCAGTCTGCCTGTTCTGCTGCCCACTCTGTCTCTGGTGAATCCTCTCACCGCACCCCCCCACCCAAAAAAAAAAAACAAAAAACTTCTGGCCTGTATCCCAGCTCTTGTATGCATAAATAAATAAATCTTTAAAATAAATAATAAATAAAAATTGGACACAGTGAATTTTCTGCCCTTGACCATTTATAAAATGCCAAGGACTGGCCCTTTTTCTGGAAGACTCCATTGTTAACACTTCTCAATGGAGACAAGTATCCCCATCTATTCTTACCCCTTGTTTCTTATCTTTCAAAATAGAATAAAAAAATGGATTCTTCAGGATCCCCAACTGCAAAGAGGCATTTCTCTTCAGTAATAGCATGATTGATTCTCATCTTGTGTTTTCTGGAGACTTTACTGTGAAAAGAGAAACAAACTCTGGCTTTATATGATCCAGTTATTCAAGTTTATTTATGTCGTTTCAATACACTGACAAAATACACCACATTTTGTTTAGAACTTTTTCTCTCTCAAAAGTGACTTTAGTTTAAACCAGAGGATTCTCTTAACACACACACTGGCACATACGCACAGACACACACACACACACACACTCACAGAGGCAAGTACAAAAAGGTAACCCCACTAAAAGTGCATGTGAATGAAAGTGCAAAAGCCTTCATTATTGAACTCAGATCAGTCTCTCTGCTTCAGAAATTAAAAAGAAGGTCCTCACTGCCCTAAGCCAGGGCTAGGCAAGGGCTGGGTGAGGCCACCGGGGCCAAAGTGTAAGTGGCGCCTGCTGCTGGCACAGGGCAGCGGGCACCACTGCCAACTCCCTCCCCTCACGCACTCCCAGGTCAAGGTGCAATGAACTCATCTGGGGACAGGGCAGGGGCACAAAGGGTGGGCAGAAAGCAGATTTCTTTCCCTTTTTTATAATTTGGTTTCTTTCAGAGTTTGACATGGGTGCAGAAAGTGCTTAGGCCTCAAGGCCTTTTTTCCAAAGCCCTTGGACCATCGTGCCTTCAAGCATTAGGAGCATGGCCAGCAGACCCACGTGGCAAAGCCGCCCAACCCTCCCCCTTAGAATCCTCAATGTCCCCGGCCCCGCTCTGAGTACTTGCTGTCTCCTCACACCAGCCCGTGAGCTTCCTTCCTTGCTTTGTGCAGAAGCAGATGAGGCCAAGGGGCTGGGAAGTTTGGCCACTCCCCAAGCAACTGAGCAGAGGTTCGGACTTGTTCCTCCTTAGTCTTGTCAAGGGGGCACCAGTGCAACCTCTGTAAACCAGCCCAGGGCCAGAGCCATGGCCTGTCCAGCTTCCCCCAGGAAGGTTCCTAGAAAGCTGTCCGGGCATATGTGAGAGAGGGCTCCCATCTGGGCAGTAGCAGGAAATAGACAGTTTCGGGGTCCCCACTTCTAAGGGAAAAATAAAGTTTCTTATTTTAATAATAGCCCTTGACAATATCCCAAAATAGCCTTACATCTGCACTCTGTCAAACACTTGTCACACACACACACTCACACACACTCACATGATGGAGAGGAGTCTAGGGAGGGATTCCCGGTCCCATGCCCTGCAGACCCATTTCAGCACCTGGGGCCATAGAATTCTGACAGTTGCTCCTCACCTCAAATGGGATCAGATCCCACGGGGGTTCTGCCCTTCACCCCCAGGCTGGGAGGCAGGTTTGGCAGTGGTTCAGTTGAGGCTGGGCCCCAATTTGTAAAGAATGATGAAGCCCCAAGCCTTCACAGGTACCCAGCCGGCAGTGCAATGGAGAATGGTAAGAAGGGCTTGAGGGATGTGGAGAATTCAAAGATAGAATTCACCTTCCCAAAGTCCAACTGTGAGCGGCCTTTGTGAGGCTCCTCAAGAGCAAGACATTTAAGGGGCAGGCCGAAAGCATTGTCACAGGGTGTGTGCTAAGCGGGGTGCCGCACGCCCATGGCTGGGGGTCTGGCAGGCACAGTAACCTCACCCCATGGGCAGCACTCTGGCTGAATCCCACGGCTGTGGAGAAGGATACGACGCCCAACTCGGGGACCACCCTGCCTGCCTCTGTGACCAATGACCCGAGATTGTCAGACATGCCCTTGGGCTGTTCTCAGGTACCCTCCTGGCCAGGCTGCCTCCTCCCCACACCCGACACGGGCTCTCACTACCTCCTCACTCTGCTTTAGAAACAGGACTTGGCACGTGAACTAAAAGTAGCGTAAACCTGGGCACGAGCAAAAGGCACCTTGGCCCAGAAGCCCCTACTTCTGAGCCAAAGGAAAAGAGGCAGTTCAAGACCCCCAGCAGGCTGTTAAAACAGGTCTCTGGGGCTGACCCCCCCAAAGGGAAAGAGCCAGGGGAACTGGCTGGGGAACTGCCCAGGGAACCAGGCAGCAGAATGGGGGTGGCAAAACCAGCAGAGAAAAAGGGGTGAGGAGTCTTGACAAGTAACCACGTTGGTGGCAGGGTCAGAGAGAGGAGCCGAGGGAAGGAGCGTGGAGAGATGCCGGAGACAAAAGGGCTCGTGTTTGGAGGACTCCTGTTCTAACGCTAAGAGTCGCTTGGAGATGAGACAAGTCTCTTGGAGGCGGTGGCTGCCACAGGCAGGGCACCTCCAACCTACTCCGGCCCATCACACCCTCACCGGACGCCTGCTGGCAGATGAGCTCCAGGACGCGGAGGCTTGGACTCCGTCCTCCCCAGGGCTCATCTGCTCCCTTGTGCCTTCAAGAAGCGGCTCCAGAGAGGAGGACCACCCCCGGTGGGCGAGAGAGAGATGGGGCACAGGTGGGCTATGAGGAACTCAGGTCGGAAAGGCAGTCTCAGCTGCAAAGGAAGGCCCAGCTCAGGCCGGAGGAGGGCCCACCCGGAGCCCATCACTTTAAGGTGTCATCGGCGTTTTTGAACATGAGAATGGAGTTATAGATCTTCAAGGCGGGGCCCAGCTTGACGCTCATGATCTTCACAATGTCCGCCTGTGTCAGCAAAAGGAAGGCCTCGCCGTCAATCATCTGAGAGGTTGGGGGAGGGAGGTGGAAATCGGAGAGGTGGAAAGGGTCAGGGGAAGGGGTGAAGGCGAAGTGGGGGTGTGTACAGGGAGTGGGAGGAAGAAAAGTGGAGTAAAGGATGTAAGAGAGGGCAGGAGAAGGGAGGGAGGGAAAGAAAGGGAAAGGGAGGGAGGAAGGAAAAAAGGAAGACAGCCATGACAGCCATGGGGACAGAGGAGGAGAGAGAGGCCACCGGCTTCCCCACGGTCACACACAGACTCCTCGTTCTCTCTGCCTGCTGACTGGTCTGGATTTTGGGGTGCACTGACATCAGGTCTGAATCCTCACCGACAGTGATCTCAAAACACCTGCTATTGCTGTGCCCACATGTACCCACTGGTCAATCCTGGTGCGCTTAAAGAGAGGTAAGCTGGCACCATGGGCCTCCTGCTGTGAGGCAGCACGACACATGAGTTATTTGACAGAGAGGAAGTCAGGGCCTCCCTGGTTAAGTCCAGCAGCTCTATGAAGCTCCCCACAGGTGTCACTTCCTGGGTCATAACAAATGACCGGGAAGCAGTGCTGACAATGAGGAAGGGCTCTGTGTGTGTGTGTGTGTGTGTGTGTGTGCGCGCGCGCGCGCGTGCGAACGCGCACGCGGGTGGGGTGAGTTGGGGATGGGGTCCGGGGCATATGGGAATCCCTGTACCTTCCTCCAATTTTGCCATGAACCTAAATGGCTCTAAAAATAAAAATGAAGTATTTAAAAAAAATAAAAACAAGGGCCCTCCCTCGTGGTGCAAGGGGTTAAGCACTGCACTATGAAACAATCCGCAGACTCTGCAGCACGAGTTCGATCCCCGGCCGGCCAGGGAGCAACCCACATGGTGCAGCAGACCTCTCCTGTCTCGCCCACTGCTCCCCTCAGCAGTGTATTTCAATCAGTCTGCCTGTTCTGCTCCCCACTCTGTCTCTGGTGAATCCTCTCACCCTCTGCATCTCTGGCCTGCGCCCCAGCTCTTGTATGCATAAATAAATCTTTTTTTCCCCCTGCCCTACCCCAATAAATAAATCTTAAAATAAATAAATAAATAAAAACAAAACAAAACAAAAAAACAGTGGTCAAAATAAAATGAAATAAACAAAACAGTGGCCCAACACAGCGCATTCTGTATTGGTCAGTGGGCATCGGCCCTGGACACCTGCACTGACTTAACAAGATCAACAACCCACAAAGCAAGTGCCTGGGGGAGGGAGGAAGTGCCCGGACTGAGGATGAGTTTGTGAGTGTCGCCCACAAAGATGGGCAAAGAAAGTGGCTGTGTCGGGCCTGGATCCAGAAATTCTCCCAGGGAAAGAGGAGCAGGCTTCTTTCCTAAGTGCCCCTGGCCTGCAGTGGGCATATACGGGGAGCTGAGACTGCACTCTGCGGAAGGAAGTGGGGTGAGTGTATTCTTTGGAAGGAAGTCAAATGTCCCTTTTGGCTTTAAACTCTACAAATGAGCAGAGTCATGATAAAATTGTTTATTTAAGGACAACTCCGCATTTAAAAATCAGAAGTGCCACTGACTGAGGCCCTGCTGTCTCAGGCCTCCTGGTGCCGTGATAAGCTAGCGTATTACTCTACAGTCTGCTGCGTAACAATACAGAGATTAGTGAGATAATCAGACCAGATGGACAGTTCTGGAACAATGATCCACCCACTGTTTCCCATCTCGCCATCATACCCATTCTATCTCCATCTTACAGACAGAAGATGCAGTCCTAGAGACAGGAAAGAGCTCCACCACCACTGGCCTGCAAAGCCAGCGTTCTTTTCTCTACCACTCGCTGCTTCTGGTCTCTGGTCGACTTTTGGGTCTCAATTTTAAGTGTATGAAAGGGTCCCTGCTGTACAGAGTGTAGCATCCAAACGTACAGTGCCATTCACAATACACTTTAATTTGCCATCACTGGTGAAGCTAAGTTTGGAAAACAAAAGACTGGGCAGAGAACGGAAGGTAAGGGCATCCTCTCTCCAGGGGCCTGTTTCAATAGGAGGGTCCCAAACACAGAGGGCTCCCCAACTGGACCGGGGTCCACACCAGACCAGAGAGGCGGGTCACCGTGGCAAGTGCCCCCTGGTGGGATAATAGAAGCCCCTCCCTTGCTGGGGCAGTGCGGTGAGTGCATCTACTTCCTGCCATCTCGGGGTGGGGGACCCTTCTCTGTGGCTGCATGCTGCACTTGCACCTTACCTCATCTTTGAAGAGCCTGGCTTGGTCCTCACAACCTGTCAGGGTCTGAACGAAGCCGAAGACCTTGGAAACCAAAGAAGCCATGTTGCCAAGGGGTGAGGGCGGGGCAGTGTAGCGAGGCGGGCCTACAGGGTGTGGAGCCTTCTGGGCTGGGACTGTGCTGCTTTTTCTTAGCAGCCTAAGAGGACCCTGTGTCTGAGCTGTGGGGTGTGTGAGGTGAGGCCCCTGGCTCCGTGGCCCTGGGTTGAGGCCCTCTCTCCAGCTGAATTTCCAGCACATCCCCCTCCCTTCCCACCAGGATGGGCCTATGGGTGGCACTCAGTCGACCCCCTGCTAGATAGCTGGAAGGGACTGTGACCGGAGGGCTGAGACAGAGGTAGTGGCCAGAGCAGCGTCCGGCTCTGTCTGAGGAGGGCCTTTCCCCAGCCCTCCCACCAGGGTGTAGTGAGAGGCTCAAACAGGGAGGGGTGAGAGGAAGGGGCCCGAGCTCTTCACCTCATCGATGGTCCACTTGGCAACGGTCGAGGCCGAGATGCCTGCCACACCGGGCAGGAGCTTGCAGTGTTGCTCCCAGCACACTGAGAGCGACCGGTCGGGGTGGGCGGACAGAGCCGACATGAAGAGAGACTGGCGCATGACATCGCTACTTAGGGCTGGAAAGCAGAGCAGAGGCTGGCAGGCGGTGCCAAGCACTGACCCCAAGTTGCGTAGCATCTTGAAAACACCATTCTCTAGATACTTTGCACCAAAATGGCCTCTCACGTCCACACTAGCGCAGCCCCAACAGCAGAGGCCCATTTCTGCTCTTCTTTCCTAAACTCTTTCTGACGCGCTGACCAACTCTTGCAGAGCCAGGGAGATTCAGCCCAGCCCTCCCACCCCGTCAGTCTGGGCTGGTTCACCACCTGCATGTGTCCTGTCTACACTGGCACAGAGTGATGCCTGACCCACTTCCCAACTCTACAGTGCCAGCCACTCTGCTTCCTGATATGCTCCTGCAGTCCCTGGCTTCTGCCCTCCAGCTCAACACTGTTCGACCCCATGAGTGGCACCACTCTGCCTGGGCACCACCCTGGCCAGGCGTGGCCCTCACTGGCTGACTTCAACATTGTGGAACTCTGACAAACCTGGTCACCAGTCACCCTGTCGACTGGGCTGGCTTTGGGCAATGTGGCCAGTGTCTGTGGGGCTCGCCCTGTCTCTGCCCATTGTCCAGAAGAGCTGGCTCTTTCCTGTTCACTTAGTGCTCGTTCTACCCATGGGGATGCAGCAGGCTGCTCCTCACGGGCCCTCCCTGCTCAGACTTTCCACTTAGCTTCAGCCTTTCACCTCACACTCAGCCTCGGAGTCTCTGGGATCCCAATCCCAGCACCCCTGGCCTGTTCTGTAGCCCTTGTTTCCCTCCTGCCTTCTCTGCTCACCAGCCCAGCCTGAGCGCCTGCCCACACCCCAAAGAGCTCCACCTTCTGCATCAGCAGGAGCTGCTCCCTCCACCACTCAGTCAGCCTGTCTGGGGTCACCCAGGGTGTCCCCAGAAAGTTACCACCAGCAGCACTTCATCTTCCTGGCCAGGCATCTGGCCTCCCATCCACATAGGTGTCCTTCAACACCCTCTGCTCCATGCACCAGGAGCCCTAAGGAGCTTTGCTCCTCATGGTCTCCCCAGCACAGGGCGGCAGCTCCCACCAGCAGTCACCATGATTACCTAACTGTAAACCATCTAACGTCTGATCAGGAATTCTTGGGTTTTTTGGTTTGCTTGGCTAATTGGTGTTTTGGGGGCTTAAAAACAACAGGAATTCACTCCTCACAGCTCTGGCGGCTGGCAGAGAGGTGTCTGGTGAGGGCCTACGTCCTGGTTCTTGCTGTGTCCCCACTGGAGGAAGGGGTGGGGTCGCTCGCTGGAGGTCTTATAAGGACACTAATCTCATTCCTGAGGACTCCACCCTACGACCAGCCCCAGGTCCCCACATCCAAGGACCATCACTTTGGGGATTAGGTTTCAACACACACATTGGGGTGGGGGGACAACACTGGCTATGGCACTGTTAGTGGGCGTTAAACATGGTGGCAAGGCAGGGGAAGCTGGGAACAAGTGTGCAGCGTAGTGCAGAACACACATGGACTCGGAAGAGGGAGATAGGGTCAGTTTCTCTAATGTGCCCCTTAATCCTAGACAAGGCACTTAGCGGGGGCCTCAGTTTCTCCATCTGTAAATTAACTTTGGATGAGGCAAGCTCTGTGGTTATCTCTTGTTCTTTTAAACAGCTGGTGTTCGTGGGGCCTGACTGGCCCTGTGAGCAGGCGGATGTCACTGAGTCCTGGCCTCTCTAAGCAGCCTTCCCGTTGAGCTGTACCCTAGCAAACCAGGGGCCCACACTGAGGATGCCCACGGATGGGTGAGAAGTCTCCTCCGGGACAAAATCCAAGGTGACCTGGGGCCTCCCTCTTGGCGCAAGGGGTTAAGACGCAACCTATGAAGCTATCCGCAGCCACTGAAGCACTGAGTTCAATCCCAGACCAGGGAGCAACCCACATGGCGCAGCAGACCTCTTCTGTCTCGCCCGCTGAGCCCCTCAGCAGTGTATTTCAGTCAATCTGCCTGTTCTGTTCCCCACTCTGTCTCTGGTGAATCCTCTCACCCCCCACACCTCTGGCCTATGCCCCAGTTCTTGTATGCATAATTGAATAAATCTTTAAAAAAAAAATCCAGGGTGAACTGGGTGTCCTTAGAGTGAAGGCCAGCTAGTGGAGTAGGCAACCCTGCAGAGGAGACAGAGACCTGTTCCTGAAGGGCCCTGAGGCCCTGGCAGTGGCCTTCCTTGCCCTCTAGGGACCACAGTCTCAGGCTCTGGAAAGACTCAACTTCCCCAGTTCTCAGGATAATTCTGGAATGAACACGGTAGGTCCGCGCCCTCTGGTGGTCAGAACCTGATCCTGCAATGAAGCCTAGTGTGTACACCACTTGGAGTGGTGTGGGGTGGGTAGAACAGGGGCCCGCTGGGGTCCCATCTCAGAAGCCTCACCCCAAGGGCCACGAGGGAGTCCAAGACCCAGCTCACTCAGGCCTGAGGCTGCAGGAATTGCCTTGTTTCCACCAAGAGGAAACCGTACAGAACAGCAGCAAGAGTGATTCAGGCAAGAAATAGGACTGATTACGCCAGCAGGTAGTTTAACTAAGCACTTTACATGGACCATCTCATATAAGCTCCCCCTACACACACACCTTTTGAGGGCTCAGACGAGGGACTCAGGGGCCACGGAAGGTGGTCTGACTTCAGGACCCTGCTCTTCTGTGCTATATACTACTCCAGGCACCACTGCTTCTGGAGAAGACCTGGCATAAAGTGGGTCCTGCCCAGAAGGTACAATACTCCAAGTGATTCCTCAAGGTATCTTCTAGATTTGAACCACAGTCATGCCACTCAACTGAGGCCAGATCCCCAGCATCCGGGGGGCCCAAGCCAGTACTTGAAGAGGTAAGCTGAATCTGTCACCCACTGGAGGGCTCAGTCCTTTGCCCCACCTGATGGAATAGGCTATGGGCTGAACTGAGTCTCCTCGCCCCCAAATTCATTTGTTAAAACCTTAACCCCTAGGACCTCAGAATATGACTGTACTTGAAGGTAGTGCCTTTAGAGATTAAGCTAAAATGTGGAACCTATCCAATCTGACTGGTGTCCTTATAAGAAAAGGAATTTTGGAGACACAGAGGGGCACACATACGGAGGAAAGATGACAAAAGGACCCAGCAAACCAAGGAGAGAGGCCTCAAAAGAAACCAACTCAGCCGAGACCTTCAGCTTGGACTTCTAAGAAAATAAATTTCTGTCGTGTGTGGTTGTGGCAGCCAGGCTAAGACCAAACAAGTGGAGAGGTGAGCTAACCTTTGGTGCCCACAGATGCATACCAGCAACATGAGGCAGGGGAGGTCAGAGCTGAGTCTGGATCCCAGCTCTGCTCCTCACAGGCCTTGGGCGATGTCTTCACTCTGAGCCTCCCATTCCTCATCTCTTCGGAGAGAATGACATCCACATTCCAGGATGTTTGTGACAGGGACAGTGCATGTAGAGCACCTGAAACACTGCTGGCACATGGCAGGTGCTCAGTAAACAGCAGCAGAACTGCTATTACTTCAGGTAGCGGCCACTTGTAAGGCAGACATTATTCATGTTCGCATATGAGGACACGGAGGCTCAGAGATGCAAAGTGACTTACTCAAGGTCACACAGCTAGAGTGTGACTGCCATGGCCCCCCTTCCAGGAAGCCAACAATTGGGAAGAAAAGAGCAGGGGCATCACTCTGCCCCACAGCACAGAACTGGAGGCCAGAGAGGCTCTGTGCCTTTCTCAAAGACTCACAGCAAGGCCATGGGTAAAATGGGGCTGGACCTGAGGTCACTCAAGGCCCCATGCTGGGCTCTTGCCATGACTCCGCACCCCCCAAGTATCTCAAAGGGAGAGGCAGACTCCTTTCCATCCTCTGGGCCCCCCGGCACTCATTTCACAGTCACTGAGCCTCACTGTGGAGGACATGGGAGCAGATGGGTTGGAACTTACTCGGGAAATCTTCCTGCGGGATCTTCCGATACTTCGGAGGACGTCCGATTCTGGAGAGAGAGGGATCAGGTTGGTGGCAGGGAGTCAGTGCCTGGCCTGGCCCAAGAGGACACAAGGCCCTGCACCCTTGCCCTCCGCACCGGCCGTGATGGCGAGGCTTCTTCCTTAGGGAGAAGCCCGAGAGGTTCCTCTTACGGGCCGAGGCCTCCGTGTCGGACAGCTCCGCCTTCAGCCGGCTCTGGTTCCTCTCAGCCAGCGGGCAGCCCGAGAGGCAATGGTGAGCTGTGAACTTGCCCGTGACGTGGCCAGAGCCATCACAACCAGGAGTGGGGCACTTCCTGGGGAAGAGGAGGCTTACGTTGGGCCCAATCCGCTCGTCTTGCTGAGCCCTTCCCAAGCCTGGGCCCACCTGGAGAGTGTCTTGGTGAACCCTGATGGGCCACACACAGGGGGTTGCTTCCCGCATATCCCGGCAGGGCCCGGCACTCACCGGTGGTGAAAACTGTACTTGGAGGTCCGCGTGTGTGGCAGGCTCCGGTAGCTAAGAGGGGGACAGCCCCCCGGGGAGGTGGAGCTGGGCTCTCTGGGGCCTGGAGGAGCAGGAAGGAGATAAGCACAGGTTCCCTGGGGGGTGGGCTGGGGTAGAGGGCAGGGAGGGGGAGTTTGCCCAAGGAAGGGCAGCACCAGGAACTAGTTCCCCAGATATGAGGCCCTGGGCTGGCCGAGACACCACATCCCTCTGCTGAATATCTACCCTCTATGGAGAGTGAGGGCTTGGCTATCACACACTTTGTGGAAACCTGCAGGCCATACCCTCTGCCCAGAGAGAACCCTGGGGGAGAAGATCGACTCAGAGCTGGTGTGGACACCACTGTTCCTCAGGAGCCACACCAGGCAGCTTCATGAGATTCTCTGTGTTTGTATGCCTGTTTTTACCCCAGAGACTCTGGTGACGTTTTTCAGGCTTTGCTGATTCTTAGAGAACAATCAAGACCCCAAGTGAAACAGAAGTGGTGGCAGCAGGTTAACAAGGGAGGGGAATCCTGAGGGAAAGGACTGGGGCTGAGCAGTCCAAGGCCCCACCTCTAACTCCCACCTCCACAGGAGACCACGATTTAAGGGAGCCCACATTTCCTTAGCAAACACAGGGCATGCCTTGTGTGGCTATTCTGGATGCTGAGAGAGCTCGCCAGGTCTTAACTACCTCCTAAGTATATGTTCCCCAGTGAGTTCACAGCACAGCACCCCAAGCCCCACAACTAAAGAAGCTAGAGTCACTGAGGCCCCTGGAGAGGAGCAGACCCATGGACGGGGAAGGTGGGGGATTCCAGAGCTCACTGGGAGCACTGGAGCCATCAGTGTCAAAGCTGGGTGTGGTGCCCAGTCCCTGGGTCAGCGCTCAGGGGTGGGGTTGGACACTAGTAATAAAAGGGTCAGAGGGCCCTAGGAGTACACACGGAGAGGAGGCTGCAGGGGATGGCCTGTCTTGGAGCACCAGCCCGCAGGGTGGATGTCCGGGTGGTCGGCGTCGATCCAGAAGTCATAGGCATGACTCCAGCCATCAAAGTGGAGCTAGGGAGGAAAGTCCCTTGAAGGTCAGGCAGCCCAGCTCAGCCAGGAGATCCTCCAGGCTGAGGAGGCTCTCTCTCCCCCTGGGGCCTGGCAGAAGCAAGATCCTGGATTGGAAGAACCACAGGGCCAACCTCCCAATAATCCACCTCGACCGCCCCATTTTTCAAAGGATTCACTCATGAAGCTATGGGTCTCTACCATTAATCCTTAGGCAGGACAAGTTGATGAGGCTCATTTTACAGATGAGATGGTTTAGGCTCAGAAATAACTTGCCCAAGCCCACCAAGGGCAGTCACAGATGAAGCCAGACTGAGATCCAAGAGCTCTGGCCTGGAGCTGACAGCTCTCTTCCCCACGGTGCACAGCCTCATTACGTCTGGCTCGTGCTGTGCCCTTGCACACTGGCCAGTCTACAGAGTTTCTGCCCAGTTGGAAGGTCCCGGAGCCACCTTTATCCGATGGTCCTCCACGTCCTCCACGCTGGACACACGAATCAGAGCAGGATTCCTGCAGTCCACAGCCTCCAGCTTCATGTTGACCAGGAAGTTGTGTGGGGGTCGCTGCAGGGGGACAAAGACCTTTAGGCCAAGGCCCAGCTCATCAGGGCTAAGCCCCAAGAAGGGAGCTCAAGAGCTGTGCTTGGGACATTGCGGCTGCCAAAGCGGGAGGTTGGGGTCCCACCTGGCTGGTGGAGTGCTCCTCTACTTCCCAAGCTGTGCTCTGGAGACAGAGAGAGCTGACTCACCACCTTGAAGGCCCAGGCAGGCACAGCAGAGGCCCCGGTTTCTTCTAGATACTTCTCCCAAGAGAAGCTATCAGGGTCTGGATAGTCTGGAGGAAAGATGAGAGCAATGTCTAGACTCCCAGGTGCACTGGGGGAGCTCTCTGCCCCCAAGTGGGATCAGGAGCACAGGATGGACAGAGGCCCTTGCAGGACAGTCTCCCTGCACCACAGCCAAGCTCCTTGCAGGGGTCTCCTGGGGCAGATGGGTGCTGGTGAGAGGCAATCATGTCACCCTACTGGTGGCAATGCTCTCTGGGAACCCTGGCTCCCATCCCCTCCCTTGCCCTGTTGTTCCAGCCCCAGCTCAGGCTGAACGTGCTGCACAGGGGTCAGCATAGAACTCCAAAAAGGATATACTTTTTTCACTCTGGACACCTGTTCCATGGGAGGAGGGGTTTGGGGAGGTGGTATTCATCTGATTTCTTCCTTAAAGCTCAACAGAACCACAGTTTGACAAAACTCCCCTAAAATCAAAGGCTCCTCAACTCCCAGGCAAGGAAGCTGAAGCTCCAGGACACACCTGTCCTCTCTTCCCAACCCTTAAGACTCAGCTCATGAAGTACTAGGCTGGTGTCAGGGCAGAGGGGTCAGAGGCCAGGCCTGGGAAGGGGCGTGTGCTCAGGCTGCAGTCACCTTGTGGAGGGGTGAGGGGCTTTCCTTGTTTCTGGCACCAGCCCACGGGGTGGATGTAGGGGCTACTGGGATCACACCTGCAATCCAAGAACACTTCACTGTCCCAAGTGAAACTCTGAGGTCCCCCCTCACTCTATTATTCAGTGCAAGTTAGATGGCTGATGAGAAAGTCACAAAATTACAGCGGAACTACACACTCTCATACCCCTATAACATCTAAGGGAAAACCACAAATCGCAAGCATTTATTCATCTTAACCCTGGTCATTTTAGATAAACATTCAATATTGCGTTGCTTATTATGATACAGATCAAATCCACAGGACAGTCAATTATTCCCCTGAACAAATATGAATTTATGTGGTTTCCTGGGCTCGAAAGTGCTGCCTCTGCCGCCTGCCCGACCCTCACCCCCCAGGCCCACTACCAGTAGTCGTAGGTATCGTCCCAGTTGTCAAAGTGCACCAGGAAGCGGCTGTCCACCACGTCGGTCACGCTGGCCACGCAGACAAGGGACGGGTTCATGCGGTCAACTGCCTCCAGCTTCATGCCCACCTGGAAGCCCAGGGGTGGGGGACTCTGGGGGCAAGAAGAGGGGCTGCCACGGCCAGGCCCAGGCTGGCTGGTATTAGCCCAGAGCCCACTGGCAGAGGAAGGAATAAGTTCCCTAGGAGTATACCTGGGGCAGGCAGGGGGTGGGACGGGAGAAAAAGGCTGGAAAAGAGGGTCCTCTCTCCAGTACACACCCCCAGGCCCAAGCCAATCAGGAACTTTTGGCTTCCCTGTGCACCCAGAGGAAGCCTCACTCTGCCAGGAGATGTGGAACTAGCAGGAGGCCACACACGCAGTCAAAGAGTGTGCCAAGCTGAGCATGGCTTCCTCTATCAAGACAAGCCTGCCCGAGCCTGGGCTGAGGTGGTTGGATCAAGAATAGGGTGGTAGGGAAGGAGGAGCTGACATGGGGGGCAGGGGACACCTGCCATGTGTCAGGTATAAGCCTCCAAAGCCCTCACCTCCCTGATCTTTACAGCCTCCTGTGAGACAGATCTCACCATCTCCATTTTGTAAGTTAAATGACGTGCCTAGGACCACATGCCAGTCAATGGAGGGGCCAGGATATAAAGTTTGACTTAAGAGTCTGCATTCCCTGCCCCATTAGCAGACAGAAACCCACCAATCCCCTGGGAACCTGCAATTATGGTTTCTGGGGCAGATTGGGGTTGGGAGTAACGGCCATGCCTGACTAGCACCAGGAAGTCCCTGGCCCAAGGCAACCCTGGACTTTCGATGTGATAACACTTTTTTTAAAGATTTATTCATTTATTTATACAAGAACCGGGGTACAGGCCATATGCGGGGGAGGGTGAGAGGATTCACTGGAGACAGAGCGGGGAACAGAACAGGCAGACTGACGAAATACAATGCTGAGGGGAGCAGCGGGCAAGACAGGAGAGGTCTGCCACATCATGTGGGACCCTCGCCAGCTGGCCAGGATCAAACCGGCGCTGCAGAGGCTGCGGACGGCTTCACAGCGCAGCGCTCAACTGCCTGCGCCACCAGTGGAGGCCCTGATGTGACAATACTTTAATGGGGTTCCCTCTGCCTCTCAGACCTTTCACTGCTGGATGAAGCTGCCAGCTAAAAGGGGTGAGTCGTTGGCACTGAATGGAAGAGCCTCAATGCCAGGCAAAAAGAAAAACCAGCAACCAGTGGGCCTCCCTGGTGGTGCAAGGGGTTAAGCACTGCACTATGAAGCAATCCATAGCCTCTGCAGCATGAGTTCAATGCCTGGCCAGCCAGGGAGAAACCCACATGGCACAGGAGACCTCTCTTGTCTCGCCTGCTGCTCCTCTCAGCAGTGTATTTCAGTCAGTCTGCCAGTTCTGTTTCCCACTCTGTCTCTGGTGAATCCTCTCATCCCCCACACCTCTGACCTATACCCCAGCTCTTGTATGCATAAATAAATAAATCTTTAAAAAAAAAAAAGAAAAAGAAAAAGCAGCAACCAGAATAGAGGCTTGGATGTTACACCAAGAAGCGCAGAGCAAACCAAGCAAGAAACAACAACAACATCTCAGCTTCCTGGCTGAGGGGGTGGACGAGGGGCTCCAAGGGGTTGTGGGAGATAGGATTTCTGCAGAAGGAACTGGGGGAAAATCTCTAAATGGTTCCCTTGGCCCTGGGCCTGCCCAGCTCTGCCCCTCCCGTCTGGTATGGGAGCCCAGAGCAAAGCAAACAGTGCTCTTGCTGGTCAGACACTGAGCGGGCAGCTGCGGTGACTGTCCCGGGGGCGGGTGCCCACTCTCGCTCAGGGGCACTCACGTGGCTCTGGCTCACAAACAGGTGCTTGGGGGCAGCCTGAGCTCTGGTGCTGCGCAGGTACTGGCTCCAGCTGAACTCCTCCTCCTTGTAACCTAGGCCCCTCAGGGGGGACGAACAAAGTGCCGTGCAGACAGAGGCTGGGCTGAGGCCAGGGCACCCCACACTGAAGCAACGGAATCAGGCAGGCCTGAGGGCCCCGCTGCCCTCAAGAACTTCAAGAACCTGCCCAGGGACTCCCCTGTTGAAGCGAGACAATACCTCAGGGGAACTCCAAGGGCCAGCGCAAAGCACAGGCCCTGGGGCCGAGTCACAGGAGGTTATGGACACAGGCTAATTGTGGATCAGGGAGCAAAAAAGGGGGGACCACAGGGAAGAAGGAATGGGTCTGAGGGCTCAAGGCTTTACCTGACCAACCCAGCTAAGGCCTTACCTTTGGGGGGCTGCAGTTTGTGCCCAGTCTTCTCGAACCAGCCAGCGGGGTGAATGTCAGGGGAGTTGGCATTGATCCAGAAGTCATGGCATTCGGAATACCCATCAAAGTGCAGACGAAGGCGGTAGCCACACACCTGGCCCCGTGAGGGGAAGCACAGGGACTTGAGGCTTGCTGATGGCTCACTCCCTTCCCCTGCCCCTCCTTTAAGTGAGCATGTCCCCCACCTCCCTTCCTCCTAGGCTTCCCCCATCCTGGACTTTGCCCCACGCGCTCCCATCCTACGTGAGGTCTGTCCATGTACCAATGAACCCTGAGTCCTAGGCGCGTGACAGGGAGATGCTTTGTCATCCTCGGGCCCTAGACAGAAGCCTGAGGGCACCTTCCGAAACTCAGGCCTGCCCAGGGTCCTGACGACCCAACCTCCTGTTACCCTCTCTGAGCCTCCCCACTCGCTCACTGTCAAACGTGTCCCACCCTACATGCCAGGGCCTTTGCTCATGTGGCTTCTTCTGTTTGGGACACCGGTTCATTCACAATTCCTCTCTCAAGACAGCCAAAGAGGCCCCACTCCTGCCCCCTCATGCCTCCCTGCTCATGTCTGCCGTCACCCCTGATGTTTACTTGACTGATTCCCCAACAACTGTGACCTCTAGAGGACAAGGACTTATCAGTCTCATGCCAACACCCCTGTCCCCAGGATCTCTCCTCCTCAAACTCTCCAGCACTCAAGTACCGTGACTACCCCCAATACATGTGTGCCTTTTGGCTTTCTGTGTTTTCCACCCAATCCCCTACTAGGTTGTGAGCTTTCCCAGGGCAGGCAGTGTCTCTCTCGTCTGAGTCCTGGCCCCGCACATCCCCGCAGGCTGTCTATCCTGAGGCGTCAGAGCAGTGCACGAGCCCCGCTTACCTCGGCCACGGTGAGGATGAAGTACATGGACGGGTGTTGGGGGTCGATGCCTTCCAATTTCATGCCCAGTCTGAAGCCATTCTTATTATGAGTGACCGCCTGGTACTGTCAACGCACAGATTGGAGAGGACCCAGCTTCCATCCAGCCTTATCCTTGCCTGGCGGGCTTGGGGTGAAGGAGCTACCTTTAGGCCCCATCTGCCTGGTACTGCCAGAGGGGTAACTTATTTGGGCATCTTTAGTGCAGGGAGCTAGGCGAACAGAGTAGCTCCCAGCTCCCTTGAAAATTATAAGCCAAGTCGGTGGGGTGGGGTGGGGGGGACTTAAGGGACTGGACTCTCACCCAAGTCATGGAAAGATAGCAGAGACGGCTGAGTGGAAGGCACCAGAATTCAGGAGTCTGCAAGCCCAGTGTGGGGTGAGCCTGGGGCCCAGCCTGGAAGCCCCACATGCTGGGTCCTTCTCTACTTCAGACCCACAAGCAGCCGCTGCCTTCCATTCTGCCAGGAGCGTGTCAGATACAGATGACACCGTGGCGAACCCCTGGGCTGGGCATGCGGGCTCTTCCGAGGTGGGAATTGTATTGTCTGACTCACGTCCTGGAAGAGGCTGACAGGGGCAGTGACGGCCTTCTGTTCTTCGAGGTAAGACTCCCACGACCAGCCTTCCTTCTTCTCACCCGACGCTGTGGGAGGACATAGACAGGCTGACCCTGGGCCACTCCTGACATGCTCCTTTGCTCAGTTTCCCCTGAACTAATCTACTTATACTCCAAAGCAAACCTTGGCCTGGGTTCATGGCTGCCCTCAGGTCCCACCCAACTAGGATGCAGGGGCTTGGACCTCAGGGAGACTCCGTGCCAGGAGAGTACTCTGGATCACATAGCACCTCACTGAGGTTACAAGGTCTTGGGCATAGAAGGACCCTGTTCTCAGACAAAGCTGAGTGTGAGGACTTAATCCTAGTGCCACCTCAGCTCTCAGGGGAGGAGGAGAGAAAATAGGAGGAAAACATGCAAAGGAGAAGAAACAGAGGACACCCAGAAATAGGAACTCTCTTTTTGGATTCTTCTTCCTCTGAACACTTACAGGCACACAGAGACTCGCTGTATATCTGTGTCCTTGGTGTGCCCACAAGATAGACGTTGATTCCATGGCCTCCCAGACACATCCATGCTGTGCACAACAACACATACTCACATGCACACACTAGAGTCAACCTGCATTCCTCAAGGCTCCGGGTCCTGGGGAGGGGGATACAAATTCCCCTGCAGGACCTTCGATTTAGCCTGAGGTGGAGTCCTGGCCTCCAAGTCAGAGTTAAAGATCCTTTAAGGACTAGCACAGCTGGGGACAAGGAAGGTAGGTTCACCAGGTCACACTCAATGCCTCTAACCAAAGGCCACAGACAACTAGGGAGGAAGCAACTTGCAAAAATCAACCCATATCCTTTGGGTACACAGCATCAGCTTCTAGAAACTTCTTCACCTCAATTTCATCATCTGTAAAATGCAGATAACAGCATCTACTATAGATGGTCGTAAGAAGGAGTAACTGAGATGCTGTGAGTAAAGGATCTTAGGAAATACGAAGTGCTGGACTCGTTCTACTCATCCCTCCTAGGTCTCTACTAGGTCTGTCTGATTTGGATTCTAGCCCTGCCTTGCACTGGCCCACTTGCTATTGTCCTGGATCATTCAGGTGCAGAGTGATTTGTCACTCATGTGTCTGGCAGCTACCTAAATCCCACTGTTCCTGTGTTGAACCCTAAGATCCTGACCATCTGACGGCGTGCAGACAAGTATTTTCTTCATCAGTTGATCAAGTGAGCTGTCAAACTCCCCAACACAGCCTACATCAACACAATCTTTTATCCTTTGTCTGGTGAAATCTGAGTTACCTTCTAGACACCGCTGGCTATTTCCCCGCAAGAAACCCTCGGTTCTCCCACTCAGTCTTGACTCAGCCTTACTGAGGAGGGAGGGAGAAGAGAATAGGCGCAGATTTAGGATGCCAGGCTCAGCCCCCTCTTATTTTTTCCACTGGAATTCCACATCATCCTTCGTAAGACTCACTTTCCATGTCAGAGCTACTATTACCAAGCCCTTCACAAGACCCTCCCTGATGCCATTCTTTTTTTTTTTTTTTAATATTTATTTATTTATTTATTTATTTATTTATTTGTATAAGCACTGGGCACAGTCAGAAGCGTGGAAGGGTGAGAGAAGTCACCAGAGCCAGAGCGGGGAACAGAACAGGCAGACTGATGAAGTACACTGCTGAGGGGAGCAGTGGGCGCAGAAGGAGAGGTCTGCACGCCACGTGGGACCCTTGCCCGGTGGCCGGGGATCGAACCGGCGCTGCAGAGGCTGCGGGCAGCCTCGCAACCCAGCGCTCAACTGCTGTGCCACCGGGGAGGCCCTTTTTTTCAAATTTTTTAAAAAAGATTTATCTATTTATTTATATAAGCACTGGGTACAGTCAGAAAAGCGGGAGGGTGAGAGAATTCACCAGAGCCAGAGCGGGGAACAGAACAGGCAGACTGATGAAATACACTGCTGAGGGGAGCAGCGGGCGGCAGGAGAGGTCTGTCAAGCCATGTGGGACCCTTGCTGGCTGCCAGGGATCAAACTGGCACTGCAGAGGCTGCGGGCAGCTTTGCAGCCCAGTGCTCAACCGCTGTGCCACCAGGGGAGGCCCCCTGATGCCATTCTTTCTGCCTCATTCTTCTAAAGCTGCCACATAAGCTAAGGAGTTGACTACTTGTCAGATTTCCCATCTCAGGCCCTTCTGCCCTTTCTTGGCTCTTCAAGTTCATCCCCCTTTAGACATACTCCAACATGGCCAAGCTCTAAGACTCCCATGCCACCGCAGAGAACTCTGGCCTCTCCGGTTTCCCTCTTCACCTCCCATCCTTCACCTTCCCATCTCCCAGCCTTGCTATTCCCCTGCCTGAGCCTTTCTTATCTTCATTCTTTTACTAGTCACAATGCATAACCAGCACACACTGTAAAAGTCTTCACGGCACACCACCTAACCATTCCTTTGATCACTGAGTGCTACCTCCAATGTGCTAGAAACTGGAGGTACAGGGATACCTCTGAGATGTCATATCCTGCAGATTCTAAAAAGATGAGGGGCTATCATGAACAACTTTACATCCTTTTGACAATTTCCCTTTATAACGAGCCCATCAAGTCTACCACTACACACTAGTGAAGTTGTTCTTGAGTCACCAGGGCCACAATCCCAGGCCTTTTCTCACTCCTCTGTTCTCCTGAGCTCCAAGGACCACCAACCACCTGTTCCCTATCACATTTCCTTCTGGCTGTGCTCTCCTTTCTCTGTTCTTCTCTCCCCCACCCCAACCCTACTTGTCAATGGTAGATCCCTAGAAATCGATACAGTGTACACTTCCTCTGCTCACTCTCTCTGCTATCTTGGGAAGCTTCATCTGCCTGGCTGCAGTCATTTCTCTAGACATAATTCAAAAATCAGTGGTTCTGGCCAGGCCTTTCACTACAGGGTCCAGAAAAGAGACAGCAATGTAAACAGAAGAACAGAACAGGGACCTCCTTGATGGCGCAAGGGGTTAAGACACAGCACTATGAAGCTATCTGCAGCCACTGCAGCACAAGTTCGATCCCAGAACAGGGAGCTACCTACATGGCACAGCAGACCTCTCTTGACTCACCTGCTGCTCCCCTCAGCAGTGTATTTCAGTCAATCTGCCTGTTCTGCTCTCCGCTCTGTCTCTGCTGAATCCTCGCACCCTCCCACACCTGTACCCCAGTTCTTGTATGCATAAATAAATAAATCTTCAAAAAAAAAAAAGGCAAGGCACAGACTCGGAGAAAATATCTATTATATCTATATTTATTATACATATATATCTATTATGCATATATAATAGAAAATATCTATTATACATATACACACATATACATAGATACGTGCGCTATACACATGTGTATGTATATATATATATGTATTTGACAAAGCACTTGAATACAGACTATGTAAAGAATTAAATATGAGAAAATAAGCAACCCAGTTAAAAATGGACAAAAACGGATGTTAAAAGTAGCTATAAGGAAATAGAACAGGATCCTGCAGGAGTACTCTGAATCTGAAAAGGTTATAAAAAGTTGATCCTGAAGCATGCCACTGCTGATACACTATTTGGATATTGGCAGACTGAGAGAGAACATTAAAATATCACAACTATTAAAATGATTCAAATAGTTATTAATGATGAAATAAACAGTAAACACTTTTTGATAGTACATCAGAAAATTATCCTTCACACCAAATAGTTATTGAAATGGTGAAGAAGAGAGCTGAGAGAGAAGGCCTGACTATGGACATGAATTACATGGTTCTAACTCAAATTACTGGAACATTCCATCAGGACCTCACATGTCAGGTCTGTAGAACATGAATACAGTAATTGGCCATCAAACTGCCAGCGTGTAGATAAACACAGATTCTATGCACACATAGGACACTCAAATAGCATGTCATTCCCACCCCTACCCCCAGATTCTTCTGCCAAAAGAACTTGAAGATAAGTGGGAAATAATTCAGTCATGAATACAAACTTCTCCCTAGAGATAATTTCTTCCATTGAATAAGAAAAAAAGGCAGAAGGTAGAAAATATCCAGAACCCAATGTTACAATGATGTTCACAATTGAAAAAGATGAATCAAAAAATAACTGTGTATGGGTAAACAGGACCCAACTAAAGAGGATGTTGATTTATGAATCTATTTCTCAAGACAGAACAGTTAAGCCCACAGTAGTTAGAGACCATCTCCTTCCTCTACCTGGGACTTAAGAGGCACAAACCAGTGACAGGTAACTAAGCCTTTGGCTTCTGATATCGTAGTCCTGGGAGAAAGCAGTGAAAACTTGGTTCAGCTCCAATGAGCAGAAGTGGGAATAGGGATTACCAGGTTCTGAGCCCTGAACTCAGATTGGGGTCCTCTGGCTGGCATGCAATCCACCAAAACAGAATGTTGTCCTATGAACTGACTGCACCTTCTGGCTCTCTCTGGGAGAGTAAAGACAGTGACTCATGCAACTGAGCCCCGGTCCAGAGAAAGTACCAACCCACAACTCAACAATTAATCTACTGAACAAAGTAACTCAATCTACTCTACAACAGTCTCTGGGCTAAGCACCAGGAATACAATGATTAATATAAGAGGTTCAGCTTTGGCTCTGGTGAATTCTCTCACCCTCCCGTGCTTCTGACTGTACCCAGTGCATGTATAAACAAAACAAACAAACAAACAAACAAACCAGCAAAACAAATAAATAAAGCATGCCTCTATTAAAAAAAATAAATAAATAAAATAAAATAAAAAAAATAAAATAAAATAAAATAAAAAAAAAAATATAAGAGGTTCAGCTTTGATGGAAGAAGATAGACATTAAATAAGTGGTTACACAGGTTTTGGGTGATTACAAGTGTGATAAATACTATTTAGTATCAGTTGGCGATTGTCACATGCAAATGGGAGATAGCAATGGAGAAAGCCTGAGGGTCAGAGCTGGCTATGAATGACCTCTGTTCCATTTTCTTAGAACAAAGGATCAGAATTGGGCCCCAAATAGGAAGGTCAGACCAATAACCATTACAAATTTGCTCATACCACCCAAAGAAAGGAATGTCAGGTGGTTAAAGCCAGCGCAAGTCTTAGAATGCTGAGCCTGGCAAATGGGCAAGAGGATAAACACACGCTTAAAGGAAACACATATACCAAAGCACAAACCAGAGTCTGTCTCTCTCATTCACTACCTTTCTCTCATTCTCTCTCTCTCTCTCTCTCACACACACACACACACACACCCTCTCTAACTTATGCTGATCTATATATTTACAACACACAACTGTAACCCACACTCCCAGCTTCACACCGCCAAAGGTACACACACACCACATGAATATATATATGCAGGCCATCATACCAGGCTGACTGCTGCTCCAGTCCTCACTTTCTGGGGTGCTAGCAGTGGGTTGACCCTCTGGATCCTTTGCTTCTTCTTGCTTCTCCTGTGGAAGGTAAGCCTGATCCAGCTTCCTGTCTTCAGGGATTGGAGTGAAACCCCAGTGTATGATGCTGGCATCTGCTTGACTCTCGCTTCATAGTGTTTTGTTTCAAACCACTGGAAATTCTAGGTCACCAGCAGGAACACAGCTCCAGCAGACAACCCCCTACTACCTAGTCACAGGCTCACATGAGCCACAGCCTGCCAATAACTCTCCTCATTCCAGCTGGGGTTCAGACAAACACCTGCCCACTGGAAATTTCATGCTTCATCTCTTTCAGCTTCGGTGCAGCTAGAGCCCTGCACAACCTGACCTCTGGACTAGAGGCTGCACTCGTGAGCAAGCTTTTCATCTGCCCACATATCTATCTTGGGTGCTGCTTTGTGTGAGTGTTTCTTAACCCTGACACTAAACTTAGTAGGAAGAGCCAGAGAAGCAGCAAAGTGACTTACTTATTTCCCACCTACCATATACAGGACCCAACTCAGGATGGGACCCCGAAACTATGTGAGTGAGTCATTGTGAGTGTTTCCTCTGCTCCAGCCCCATGACTTGGGTTGATGGAGGTTACTACTGAGGCAGAGCCTCTTGGCTCCCTTTTACCTCCCCACTGGCCTCTTCTTACCATGGCCTCTGGCTCTGACTCCTCCTCTGATGGGCTCTGGTATTCTCTGCGCTTCCTCTTCTTCATGGGTTTGAGGAGCTCAGAAGCGCTGGCACAAGAGGAGCTCAGGCCTGAGGAGTTCTCCACTATGACCGACCTAAAGGAGGGGCAGCCTGAGGAAAAGAACCACCTGCCCAGCACCTCTCCTAAGCCCTGAACAGGAGTGGGGTTTTGGGGCCCAAAGGCAAAGCAAGTAGGACTGCAGCCAGTGCCCCTTACCGCTCCTGAAACAGCTGGGGGCAGGCGTCGCTGGAGGAACCGGGATCTGGACCGGCACCTTGCTGAGGCCCGCAGGCCTGGCAGTGACAGGTGCCACCATCCTCTGGCGGGTCCTGAGGGGAATCTTCCGGAGGGTCTTGTGGGAGGTCGGCTGTGGGGGCCAAAGAGTCCTCAGGCCGGACGGAGCCCCCCTCAGACCAGGCCTCAACCTGGGCCCCACCTCCTCGTCTCTCCTGGACAGGTGCCCCGGGCCTCCTACACCACAGGACCACCCCTGGGCACACCTGCAGGCCACGCCCCCGACGAGGAGCCCCGGCTCAGGGCCCGGACCTCTTACCCGGCTGCTGGGGGCCCGCATCGCCCGCTCCCGCCGGGGCCTCGCCATCTTCATACTCGGCCACACCTTCCCTCCGCAGCTCCGGGCTCGGGGGATGCTCCGCTCCCACCATGCTCAGCGGCGCGAACTCGCTTATCCGGAACTGCGGGGCGGGGGGCGGGGGCGCCCGAGGATGGCGACTCCGGAGCCGCCCCCGACCCGCCTCCCGGCCACCCGCAAGGCCGCGCCCCGGGTACCCCAACCCCCGCCCAAGCCACGCCCCCGGCAACCCCCTCCCCGCGCGCCGCGCCCCCGGGGCTCCGCCCAGACCCGTCCTCTCGGCCGGGCCCCCACCCCCCGCCGCAGGCCCCGCCAGCCCCCAGACACTGACCCGCAGGCCGCTCCCGGCAGGCGGGGCCGCGGCCTCGGTCCACTCCAGGAGGCGCACGGTGCCGCCGCTCGAGCTGGCCGCCGGCACCGCGCTCAGCTGCGGCAGGACCGTGGCCGTGACCGGGGCGCTGCCCGCCCCTCGCTCCGGGGCGCCCACGTGGATCGGCTCCCGCGGAAAGCAGGGCACCTCCAGGGCACTGCTGGGCAGGCCAAGAGAGGCCGAGCTGGCTGCGAACAGGTACACGGGCAGACACGACACAGGTGAGCCCGGAGTCCCTGTCCCAGTCCTGCATGTGTGTAGGCAGGTGGAAGGGAGTGTTTCCTCCCCAAGAGCCACAGCTGCTTGGGCAGGTGTGGAGGACTCGCCTCCTCCCCAGACCCCTAGCTTGGCCCACCTGGGATGATGAAGGCAGTAGCAGGCTGATGAGGGCCAGCACCTGGGCTGTCTCTGGCCACCAGGTGCACGCTGACCTCCCCTGTGGAGGGCCCCTTCAGTGTCCTCAGCATCTCCATTTCAGCATGCCCCTCCATCCTGGCAGGCCTACAAGCTGAACACAGCCCCCAGGGCGATCAGGAAGGAGAGAGGTGTTTCTCTGAGAAGGAGCTGGTCACCCTCAGGCTGGCACCCTGCAGAGGAAAGCCTCGGCTTTGAGGGGATAAGTGTCTTAGGAGACCAGCATCAAGTCTGGCCAAGCACTGCACCTCCCCCAGTCTCTGTAAAATGGCCTTTGGGAAGGAACTTTTTGTACTGTGAGGTGCAGAATTAACTTAGGGGGGTATGTCTCCAGCCACGCAGGGTTCTGTCTAGCCAGCTGCCCTCATGACAATGTCTAGGTCAAGGATAAACTTCTCTCTTTCTCAACCCTCACCTCCATCCCCACTGAAATCACTCCCTTCTCCTTCAAGAGAAGGGAGTCCCTGGTTCTGGGGAGGAGAGTCCAGCCTCCAGGTGCCAGGTTCTCCCTCACTCATATAGGTCCATTTTCCTTGGATGTGATCTATCCTGCTCACATTTTTTTCATGCCGCTGCCCATCACTCCCTCCAACTCCAAGCCCAGCGTAGCCACTTAGACATCTGTTGAGCAAGTACATACATCTGAAGAGCAAAGGTATGAGAACCTGGGTGGTGCATGATTTTGCTTTATGAAAGCAAGAGTGATGAAAGCATTTCATAGACTTGGTTGAACAGGTAAATATATGGAGGAAAAAGACTTAGTAACATAACAAATGTACTTAATATCTACCATTTACTTAACTCAAATGTGGGTCACTGTCCTAAATGCCAGCAATGTCAAGTGGAATTTTCTGACTGTGGAAACGTCCTCTACCTACATTGTCTAATACAATGGCTACTGAGCACTTGAAATGTGACCAGTGTGACTGAGGAACTGAATTTTAAATTTTATTTAACTTTAATTAGATTTTGTAGCACAGGGGCCACTGCTACTGTATTGGGCAGCATCGCTGTATAGGTATTATAGCTGGCCCGTTGGCTCAACCTCCAGGACACATCACAAAGCTGATTGCTTCTCCATCTGCACTGTCGTAGGCTAGTCCCGACTGCCATCAGCTCTCCATGTACTTCTGATATTGCCTCCTACCCCACCTCCCCGCTTCCTTTCCTGCCCTGCACAGGATATTCGCCAATAAATGAAAACTTTGCACATGTAAACCAAATCAGATGATTTCCCCATCTAAAATTCTTCAGTGGGGGCCTCCCTGGAGGCACAAGGGTTGAGACGCAACCTATAAAGCAATCCGCAGCCTCTGCAGCACAAGTTCGATTCCCGGCCAACCAGGGAGCAACACACATGGCACAGCAGACCTCTCCTGTCTCGCCCGCTGCTCCCCTCAGCAGTGTATTTCAGCCAGTTTGCCTGTTCTGTTCCCCGCTCTGTCTCCGGTGGCTCCTCTCACCCCCCGCACCTCTGGCCTGTACCCCAGCTCTTGTATGCATAAATAAATAAATCTTAAAAAAAAAAATAAAATTCTTCAGTGGTTCTCAACTGCCCTTAAAATAAAATCAACGTGTGTAAGTCCACCCACCCCCATCTTCGTCACTGACTTCATCATCCACCACTTTTCCCGTGTTCTCTATCCTTGACATACTCAGGTTCCCTTCTGTTACTTGACAAATGTTCCTCCCTCAGAGCCTCTGCCTATGGTGGTCCGTCCACCTGGTATGCTTTTCCCCAAGCTCTCTGCTTGGGTCTCAGCTCCATGGTCACCATCTCAGAAGAGGTCTTTCCTGATCACTCAATTCAAAGCAGCATGTCTTTCTCCCCATCTACTACGCTTTCTCTCCTCACTGTGTTGATTTCCTTCACATTATAATCAATAATGATGAGTCATCTCCACATCATGCTAAGTTCCACCAGGATAAAGACTATCTATTTTGTTCATTGCTATAGTTCCAGCACTTGGAAGAGTGTGTGGCCCTCAGGAGGTACTCAGTAAGTATTTGATTTGGGTTTCAACAGCTTGAGCTTGTTGATAGAGAGCAACTGATTGTTGGTTGCTGTAAGGGATCAGCAGTAGGGATCAGCAATATTTGACAATGACTTCTGGCACACAGGATAGAGGAAAGGACATGAGCTTAGGTGTAAGACAGACTTCAGTTTGAACCTCAGCTCTGTCACTTAATACCTGTGACTGAGTGAGTAGCTTTCGCCCTTTGAGTCTGAGGAAACACGAGTTTCCTCGTGTGTAAAGTGAAGGTGGCAATGGTATCTACCTCAAAGGACTCAGGTGAAGATTAAAGGAGAAATATAAAGTCTTGATACCATTAAATCTTCAATAAATACCAACCCTCTCCCTTCTGGCAGAAATTACAGAGAGCTTGGTAACTTCTGGTCAGTAACATGTCAGTCGCTTGTTTGTAAAATCAGCTTACAATGGTTGCTATCTCTTCCACCCTCCTGCCCCAGTGCATTTATTTCTTTTCTTTTCTTTTTTTATTTATACAATAGCTGGGGTACAGGCCAGAGGCGTGGGAGGGTGAGAGGATTCACCAGAGACAGTGGGGAGCAGAACAGGTGGACTGACCGCAAGCACTGCTGAGGGGAGCAGCAGGCGCGACAGGAGAGGTCTGCTGTGCCATGTGGGAATCTCCCTGGCTGCCCGGGAATCGAACCAGTGCTGCAGAGGCTGCGGACAGCTTCTTAGCTCTGTGCTCAACCCGCTGCGCCACCGGGGAAGCCCATGTTTATTTATTTTCTAATTTTTCCTCCCCAAAATACAAAGTCCATCCTCTACATTACAGAGAGTAAAATCAGGTAGCAATGGCTAGATGTATAGAGATTAATTAAAGCAACATTCCAACCAAGATTGGTTTCCTTTTTTTAAATTATAAAATAGAATTCCCTTAATTTTAATTCCAATTATTTTGTTTTGCACAGCCAATGTACTTGTACTATTTGAATATCTTTTAAACAGAGTCAATCTAGTTATTCAAAATATTGGCAGCCATTAAGAGTGACTGTGTTAACTCCTGGAAGAATTCCATTCTACTTCAAAACCTGTCACAGGTTTTAGGTCTATCAAGGAAAAGTGGCTGAGAGGACTGTCCTTTCAGGTTTGCTGCCCTTTTTCAGCAAACGTTGAGGGGTCAACCAGGTGTCACCACCATGGTGTGGGCTGGGGATGTAGACTCAAATAAAACAAAATGTTCTCATGGATCTGAAATTCTAGAAACAAGTGATAAAGTGGGGCTGGAAATAGGAGTTTGAAAACCATTATGCGGGCCTCCCCTGGTGGTGCAGCGGTTGAGTGCTGGGCTGAGAGGCTGCCCGCAGGCTCTGCAGCGCCAGTTCGATCCTCGGCCACCGGCGAGGGTCCCACAAAAAAATAAAAAAATAAAAATAAAATAAAAAACCATTATGCATGGATGACATTGAAAACCACAGAACTAAGTATAAAGAAAAAGATGGAGCCTTGAGTTCTCCAAGATTTCTACATTGGGAAGATGTTGAAGATCTAGCAAAAGTAACAGAAGGAGCCACAAGGAGTTGAGAGGAAATCCAGAAGAGTCTGGGCTTCTGGAAGACTTCGGAGAAAAGTTTTCAAGAAGGTGGCTCAGCTCAATTGCCGCGGACCAGCACAGCAGTAGACGATGAGGCCACCTCAGGGTTGAGAGAAGCGTGCCGGGTGGTCAGGGCATCGGTGAAAGAAATGACAAACAGACACACTTCAAGAGTGAAAATCTGAGTGTAATTTTCTTTGAGTTTGTGACCAGTATATATATGTTTTCCAAAAGCACAGGAATGAATATCAAAGAAATTAGCTTGCTCATGGGCTCAGTCTATCACCATCAGGGAGGTGATCTACATAACAAGCAATGACCATTATAGAAGAAAGAAGGAAGTTTAGAAAGACAAATAAGGGATTAAAGTTTGTAGTTCTAGAAAGACGGGATAAGATTTTTAGCATTCTTGTAGTGGTTCTTGGTGGTCGTTATCTTTTGATAAGCTTCTGCCTTTTCAGGGAACTTTCGCTGAACTTCCTCTGCTTCAGGGTGTTATGCTGTTCTCCCCCTGCGCGCTGGTTGCCCAGCCGGACCTAGGGACCGTGGCGAAAGCCATTCCTAAAGATCACTGCGGGGGGAGGTGCAGCAGGTACGTAGGGTTTTGCTGTTCTCTCCCTGCGCGCTGGTTGCCCAGCCGGACCTAGGGCCGGTTAACCCTAAAGGTCACTGCAGGGGGAGGTGCAGCACTCAATGGTGTTAAATGCCACAGACAGGGCAAGTCTGATCATTTTAGCAACAAGAAAGTCATAGGATACATGGACAAGAGCCATTTCAGGAGCTGTGGACACAAACACCTGATTGGAGTGGATTCTAGAAAGAAATCATCGATTCATTCAGTGTTCACTGAGCACCTATTATGTGCCAGGCACTATTCCAGGCAATGCAGATTGCGAGCCAACAAAAAAACCAGACAGAAACCTCTATCACCAGTGTACATTCTGGTTGGGGGAAACTGATGCTAAGGACGGCTCCTCATAGGCGAATGAGAGAGAAGGAATGGGCACATTTCCTTTCAACATCCCTTTCAAGGGTCTATGATGTGAGTGGGAGCATGAAAGTAGGGGGCTGGTATTCAGAGAATGATCTGGTCTCAAAGAAGGGCCTGTTTGGTTTTTAAAAATAGGAGACATCACAGCATGTTTGTGGCTGATGAAAATGAGCCTAGAGAGAAGAAACTGATAACAAAGCAGGGGTGGAGGGGTGGGAGAATAATTCTAGAAAACAAGTCCCTGAGTGTGCAGAAAGGGAGAGGATCCAGCATGGCTGTGCTGTGGGGACCCATCACTGTTACCCGTCACTGGCTAGCACTACTACTATGTCTGTTTTGGCCACAGCTAGCCCGTTCACTCTTCTGAGCCCTGAACTGCCTTATCTGTTACTTGAATTCACCCCTCCCACCCCTGGGGTTCGCAGCTCACACAGCATTTCCATAAGCCTTGTCCCGGGAGGTCCACACAGTGGCAGAACCAGTGACATGGCTGTCAGGGGTGAGCCAGGTCCTAGGAATCCTACCCCTGCAGCCTGGTCACATCTTCAGATGCCACTTCTGTGGCCTCTGCACATACTGTCCCTTTTGTCTGGTACCCTTTCTGCATCCCATATGTCTGGAAAATTCTTAATCATCCTTCAAGCTCCAGCTGGAGTGACACCTCTTCTCTGAAGCCTTTCCAGCCCCTGAAACACAATTAATCACTCTCTGTCCTGTGCTCCACAGTCTAACTGTGCATCAACTTGTTCTGTCTCCCCCCAGCGCAATGGACTCTGAGCCACAGTCCTTTGGTGTGCAAAGGACCCCGGCCAAAGGCTGCACTGGACAGTCATGACTCTGGGGGGGGGGGCCAGAGAGTGGTCAGTAATATGTGGAAGAAGAAACAAAGGTACTGAAACTCATGACTGGCTTAGCTATTCCTGCCTCAGGGGCTACTCTACTATTTATTGCCCCCTGAGCTGCCCAGGCTGGCTGAAGTGGGGTCCAGTTTCTGTCAGGTCGTCACTGCCATCAGCTTCTCAGAACCGCCCTCGGCCAGGGACGCTGCCTCACCACTGGCCCCTGGTCTCCTGGAAGCAGCAGCCTTCCAGGTTAGTTGACCCCAGGACTTGACTAGTTGAACCCCCCAACCCCAGCTGGACCTCTAAGCCTCAGTGCTTCCCTCAGGGCAGGCTGAGGTGGCTCTACAGACCACTCTCCTAGTTCAAATCCCCTGCCCGACCACCTCGCTGTCTTCACACCCCGACAGTAACGGGGTACTGTCGACACTCCCACGGCACCTCAATAACTGTGCACTTGAACCTCCCTCCAGGGTCGGTTTCCGACCGAAAACAAGCCCTGGAGGCCCAGTCCAGGGCGCTGTCCGGCACATAGATGTTCCACAAGTATTATGGAAGGAGTGTGCCCCTGTTTGTGTTCTCCTGGCTCTGCCGCACCCCCCCATCCCCGCCTTTCCAGGCCTGGCCATCAACAAACTCTCCATAAATGCCCTCGCGCTGGTACTGGAGGGCGGGGAGACAGCGCCCCACACAGCTGACCGTCACCCCAACACCCTCAGAGCCCCCGCGAGCCCGAGCGTCGGCAACTTGGGGCCTCAGCCCCGCCCCCGCCCGGACGCGGGAGGAGAGGGAAGCCGGGGGGGGGGGGGGTCTCCCCCCTGGGGCGCCCCGGGACCAGCCGAGACGGCGGCGGCGCGCGGTCCCCGCCCGGCCGGCCCCGCGGAGCGGCCACTTTTTAAAACGCCAAAATGGCGGAACTCTTCTTATCCTTTTTCTTTATGGCCAAAATAATCATCCTCCAATTTTCCGTTGTAAAAACCGGAAATTAATGGTCGGGAAGAGAAAGTTTGCCAAATGATTCATTTCCTGAGAAACCCCAAACCCCGCCCTCCACACCCGCTTCCATTAATGAAAAACTCTTAATGGACGGCGTCGCCCGGAAAACGCAGCCTCTCCCTGCGACCCCTCGGGCTCGCGGTCGGCGCGGCCCCCCGCCCCCCCGCCCCCCGAGGACCCCCGCCCCGCAGCCTCGCCGCGGCCCCGCGCGCCGCCCGGACCCCGCCGCGCGCCGGCGGCCCCAGCTCCCCCCGGGCGCGCGGCGAGGGCGCCCCGGGCTCCCGCCGGGCTGGGCGGGCCGGGAGGCGCGGCGCCCCGCGCGCGGGGGGCCCGCGGGGACCCCTACCTGAGGCCGGCCCCGCCGCCCGCGCCCAGTGCGGTCCGAGCCGCCGGCGCGCGCCTGCGCGCACTGGGGACGGGCGCGCCTCCCGCAGACCCGGGCGCGAGCCGCGCGCCTCGCAGGTTCAGGGGGCGCGGGCCCCCGCCCCGCAGCGCCCGCGCCCGCAGGTCTTCCCTTAGAGCCCGGGGGCCCTGCCCTGGGGGCCGGCTGCTCTGCGGGCCGGGCGAGGCCCCCTCTCCGGCCCCACCCCTGCCCACCGCGCGCGGCGCGAGGGGACGCGGGAACCACCCGGACCCCCAACCCGGGGGAGGGGCCGGGGACGAAAATGGAAAGTCGTGCCCTCAGGCGCCCCCGCCGCGCCGCCGCGCTACCCCACGCCTTCCCGCCCCGCCTGGCCCACACCTGGAAAAGGGGAGCCAGCGCGCTCAAGATGGGTGAAGGGGTGTGCCGCCGGGGGAGGGAGGCCTGCGCGACCAGCGACGTGGGTTCTAATCCCGGCCCTGCCGGCGTCAAGGGCAGCGCCAGCCGCGTCTGCCTTTGATGACCCCCCACACACACACACAGCTGTGGGCGGATGCTGTGAGCTGGGGCACCCCACTAACCTGGTCCTCCCGGTCTCCATCTGTGAACACTTCTGTGTGGCACGCGCAAGGCTGTGCGCTGTTGCCTTGGGCAAGTCCATGCTTCCCTGTGCTTCAATTTCCTCGGCTGATCATGCTGGCGCCACAGTGAGGCATGCGCAAATCTTCCTTTATCTGCTCCAGAGCACGCAACACCTCCTTCTTACACATCACAGCTGTGACTTCACATAGATTTGTGTTGTTCAAGAGGTTAAAAGACTGCAGACCCCCAGAGGGAAGGAAACAGGTTAGTTTTTGCTTTTTTTTTTTTTTTTAAAGATTTATTTATTTATTTATGCATACAAGAGCTGGGGTACAGGCCAGAGATGGGGGGGCAGCGGAGAGGATTCACCAGAGACAGAGCAGGGAACAGAACAGGCAGACTGACTGAAATACACTGCTGAGGGGAGCAGCCGGTGAGACAGGAGAGGTCTGCTGCGCCATGTGGGTAGCTCCCTGGCAGGCCAGGGATTGAACTCGTGCTGCAGAGGCTGTAGATTGCTTCATAGTGCGGTGCTTAACCCCTTGCTCCACCAGGGAGGCCCCAGGTCAGTTTTTGTGTCCCTAGTAGCTGGCACAGAGCTGGACACTGAGTGGGCTGACTAACTGATGTACTACATGCAGAAGAAAACAGAACTCTTGGAAAACTGCAGCCTCCTTCCCACAGGGATGATTTAATCCAATCCCTTATTTTACAGAAAAGGACATTTGGCCAAAGGTCATAGCTACAGGTCAGATCTCTAGGCTCCTGACTTCCAGTGTGGATGGAAAAGGGGTTCCTAATTGATGGTAGGCAACCCCCCCCCCCAAGCTGTTGTGATCATCGGGTTTAAATTTATGCAGACTTAACTATTCTGGTTGCCACGCCAACGCATTACATGTTTTCGGCCTCACTGCAATGTCAATTTTTAATCACATCTTGTATTATTGGGAAGAGGATTGCATCAGTTGAGGATGCTGGTTGCCATAACAATGGAAGTCTCTTTATACACACTAATACACACATACAACCATGCACTCATTTTCCTCTTGTCTCTACCCAGACTGCTTGTTTTGGATTCCAAAAGGTTTATTTTAGGTGTTCAGATTACATGAAAGTGGTGGAACTATACAAACACACGGCTTCTCAATAAGGCCTTTTTTTAGACGTTTAAGATCAGTTAAGTGGAACCTGAGTGGGGTGGGTGGGTAACCAGGAACAAACAAATAACAAGCCAGTGATTTGACTTGCTCAGACATTATTTTCCTGCTCACTAACCTATTTGGTGGTCTTGATACCTTTCGTGACCAGCTTGCTGGAACATCGTCAGGAATGGAGAGCGTGTCCCAAATGGATGTGATTTGGGGCAAGTTCAAGTTCTGCCTTTTGTATAGTGGGAGTTGGTTCTGCCAGTCCACTCTGTCCTCAGGATCAGCCCTCCTCTCAAGTGGCATCTCCCTTTTCTACAAGTTAATAATGCCCGCTCTCAAGTTACCCCCTATCCAAGAATGGACTGATTTTTTTTTAAATGTTGATGAATAGGAGCACGAAAAAACTATTGTTTGTAAGCAGCACGCACCGTTCTGTTCCTGAAGGTGACTTGAATCCATGGGCAGTCCATGTATTTGAGGAAAAAATCAGGATATGCCCCTCATGTTAAGTACCAAAACCACTACCAGGGGCCTTCCTGGTGGCACTAGGGATTAAGTCTCAGGACTATGAAGTTATAGGCAGTCACTAGAGCACAAGTTCAATCCCCGGCCAGGAATCCACATGGTGCAGCAGACCTCTCCTGTCTTGCCCGCTGCTCCCCTCAGCAGTGTATTTCAGTAGATCCACCTGTTCTGCTTCCCACTCTATCTCTGGGGAATCCTCTCACCACCACCCCCCCCCAGACCCCACACCTCTACCCTGTACCCCAGTTCTTGTATGCATAAATAAATAAATAAATAAATCTTTAAAAAAAAAAAACACTTCTGGGTCTAGGGAATGGCTGACTTTGCTAATAGGGAGCACATTCTAGCACAAATACCTTAATAATCTAGGATAAAAGCTTATAAGAAAGGAGACAGTTGAGGAAGGAAAGCAAACTCATTGCTGAACTTTCAAGAATGGGCAATCAGCAGGAGCCAGAAACAAAAAGGGAAACAGGAGGGGAGATGGGAGGGGGGCCGTGATCCCTGATATCTTCCTTGTCCAGGAGGTGCCTATTGGACAGAGGCAGGAACTCGCTGCTAGGGACTTGGGTTTCATCACACACATAATGTAGAAGATTGGGATCTTGGGTCCCTGGAACACTGGGAGTTGGATCTGAACCCCCTGTAAAAACACTGGACACTCCTAACCCCAGACTTGTGGGTCCCATGGTGGACAAGGCAGGGGAAGCGCAAGTTTCCAAATTAGATAAAGTTTAGGTCTGCTTCCCCTCTACGCATGGATTTATGTTATCCAGAACATCAAAGACTGACAACGTTGAGCTATGACTTCGAGAATTTACCATTGCAGCTTTTATTTGTCAGAAAATCGGTCTGTAACCACTAGGAAAATTTGCTCCATGAGTATCAGAGCCTCAGCTATTTCCCTTCCCCCAGCCTGCTACATACCTGAATTCTGTCCTCAACATATGGGTAGTATTTCCCAACAAAAAGAATCTGCTGGGGCCTCCCCTGGTGGCCCAGGCGGTTGAGCACTGCACTGTGAAGCTGTCCGCAGCCTCTGCAATGCTGATTTGATCCCCGCAGGCTGCGGAGATACACACGTGGCTTGACAGACCTCTCCTGTCTCGCCTGCTGCTCCCCTCAGCAGTGTATTTTGTCAGTCTGCCTGTTCTGTTCCCCACTCTGTCTCTGGTGAATCCTCTCACCCTCCCGCGCATCTGGCCTGTGCCCTGGTTCTTATATAAATAAATAAATCGTTAAAAAAATAAAATAAAATGTCACTTTTGGGTGAATGACCTGTGGGATGTATGGAACGTGGCCTCCACACAGGCTTGAGATAAAGGCAGAGTGCTCTGGGGGATGACGCCACCAGTGGTCACATGCCGGCTGCGCTGAGAGTTTAAAGATTCTGAGTTTCCCTAACAAAATGGATAGAACCTTAAAATAAAATGCCACCTCACTCTACCTTCAATCAGCAGCAAGTCCTAAAACAGAGCCCAGAGCACACTACATTTTCTCCCCTCCTCAACCACACTCTCTCCTCGATAGGCTTCAGGAACATTCTCCCAGACCATGCAGGAGTGCCAGGCTCCCATCACCACTCAGTCTAAATCCCAACTCTTCACAGAGACAGCCTGCCCCTCCGCTCTCATTCCTAACGTCTAACACACCCATGTGTCTCTAACACACCCTCGTTATCTTGTCTCTGGTCCTGACTTGCTGTTCCTCTTTCCAGAATGCTCTTCCCTGAATGTTTTTTAAAAGATTTATTTATTTATACATACAAGAGTTGGGTACAGGCCAGAGATGTGAGGAGTGAGAGGATTCACCAGAGACAGAGTGGGGAACAGAACAGGTGGATCTACTGAAATATACTGCTGAGGGGAGCAGAGGGTGAGACAGGAGAGGTCTGTTGCACCATGTGGGTTGCTCCCTGGCCGGTTGGGAATCTAACTCTGCTGCAGAAGCTTCGGATTGCTTCATAGTGCAGTGCTTAACCCCTTGCGCCACCAGGAAATCTCCTCTTCCCTGAATTTTTAAAAGCTGTCTGACTTCTGTAGGCCCAATGTCCCAATGATACACCAATCATTCTAGACAACATACATCCACTCCATCACTCACTCCATTGTTTTTATTTTCATGAGTCCTATCATTAAACTGTTTGTTTACTGTCTCCCTCCCTGGTAGTAAAAACTCCAAGAGGCCAAGACATCATGAGTCATGCTCACCACTCCATCTCCAGTGTTTACAACAGAGCCTGGCACAGGACAGGAGTGGAACAGGTACTTGCAGAATGAGTATTATCATTGTGTGAGGGTACACAAACTGAAAAGCTAGATAGGACTGTACAACCTCTCTTAGAAGCATAAAAAAGCCTGCTTTCTTTCCCAGTACCAAGCATTTTCTCCTGAAGGAATTACTTTATCAAGTGGAGACATCACTCCAGAAAGATGATAAAGAATTGAAAGTTTCTTTAGAAGCCATTATCTTGCTTTGCTCACAATGTCTGCCCCAGGTAATCTTTTGGTTCCATTTATCAGGTCCCTTCATGTCTTAGCGTGTTCAGGTTGCTATGACAGAACACCATACGCTGGCTGGCTTATAACAACAGAAATCTATTTCTCACAGTTGTGGAAGCTGGCAAGTCCCAGATCAAGGCACTGAGCCATCTTCTGTCTTTAGAAGGCAGAAGCATGAAGGCAGCTCTGGGGTTTCTTTCATAAAAGCACCGATCCCACTCAGGAGGGCTCTACCTCCAAATCTTACCAGGGGTTATTTTTACA